GCTGACCAGTATTTTCTTGGCTTGTGTGTTTATGCATATATGTAAGCACATGTATGCATATAGCACTTATATTTGAAGAAGAAGCTATTTTCTTACAAAGTTTCCTTATTGGCAAATTTAGTTTTTCCTTAATTCCATCAGAACACCAGTACCCTAGAAAAGTTCAAGACAACTTCAAGCTAAGCCAAAATACTGAACCCAGAAAAAGATAAGTATGTGTGTGTTGTTGGTAGTGGTGGTAGTGGTGGTGATGGTGATGGTGGTGATGATGGTACCAGAGCTTGAACTCATTTGAGTTCCTGGTCCTCAAGCTTTCTGCCTTTCTTACCCGTAAATTGTACTCTATAGCTTGAGCTTCTCCTCCAATTCATAAGTATAGAAAAAGAAAAAAGCAGGGCTGAGAAGGTGGTTCAGTGGTAGAGCATTTGCCTTGCCTGCCTGAGGCCCTGGGTTCTATTCCTCAACACCACATAAGCAAAAAGAAAAAAGCCGGAAGTGGTGCTGTGGCTCAAGTGGTAGAGCACTAGCCTTGAGCTGAAGAGCTGAGGGATAGTGCCCAGGCTCAGAGTTCAGGCCCCATGACTGGACCCCTCCCCCCCAAAAAAAAAGAAAAAGAAAAAAGCAGCATCAACCGCAGAAGACCCTAACCAATAAACAAATCTATGAACGTGGTGCTGATATGGTTTCTTAGAACAAAAAGAAATACATACTTTAACTGGCTGCATTTATTATTGCAATGGTAGTAGACACAATTAGAGCTAAGTTTGACATCCAGACTTGACATATCCTTAGGAGTATCTCTAGTCATTCTTTTTTCTTTTCTTTTCTTTTCCTTCTTTTTTTTTTTTTTTTGCCAGCCCTGGGGCTTGAACTCAGGGCCTGGGCACTGTCCCTGAGCTTCTTTTGCTTGAGGCTAGCGCTCTACTACTTGAGCCACAGAGCCACTTCCTACTTTTTCTGCTTAGGTGGTACTGAGGAATTGAACCCAAGGCTTCATGTATGCTAGGCAAGCGCTCTACCACTAAGCCACATTCCTAATCCTCTGGTCATTCTTGATGCATCATTTTATTCAATGAACTGCAAGGTGTGAATGATGTCATCACTCACTGTACTTGTATTTCTACATTTCTCAATTTGTTATCTAGGAGAGACAGATATTACATTTTGTGTTCACTTTAAATTAAACAAAGGTCAATTAAATTAACCAAATATTAAGTGCTCGGTATACATAAGGTACTAATTCAGTTTATAAGAAGTAAAAAGAACTAATGTTTTGATCACCTATTACGTGTGTTAAGAGCCATTGCTATTAAGTCCTTTAGATGTCTTATTTTAATTTTTGCATAACCCTATAACATACATATCACTACAAATTCTATGGTGGAAATTGAAGCATGAAGAACATGACCAAGTTATATAGTTAGTAAGTGGTTCATCCAGACTTTAAACCTAGGCTTGTTTGACTCTAGGGTTCCACTATGGGGACAAAGGATCTTTGTATGTGCAGAACTTTCAATAGTAGAATTTCTCTAATGGTAGGTGCACAATATCATGAAAAGTAAGGGTGGAAGAGCATCTACAAAGTATGAGCAATCATGGAATTTTTTTCCTGTAGCTTTGGGGCTAGTATTAAAGAATGTGGCAGAAATTCTGAGCCAGTGTAATACGTGTTCCAGGTTAGAAAAATAAAAGCCTAGAGGTAGGTCTGAGTAGATTGTGTCTGAGATCCTCTTGGCTCAAATGTAAAGTTCCTATTCAATGTATCACTTCCCTTATAATTTAAGGGAAATTATAATAGTCATTATTTATTTTACTATTTATTTCTATGTTATTGTCAGACGCTTGACAGATGCTACTTATCAGGTTTAGCAACCCCATGGGGGTAGAAAGCCTTCATTTCCATATGGTATTTAGAAACTTAATAAATGGTTGTATAGGAGCAAGCCATACAGAGGAATATATAATATCCATGAGCTTTTGAGCCTCTTCTAAGAAGGATGTTCTGTGATAGTTTTAACAGCAACACAGAGGGCATGAGGAAGAGCTGGCTTTCTAAGATTGAACAAAGGGAAAATTACTTTTGGGAAATGCAGATGCTGATGACTTCTGTTATTTATGTGAAAATGGATATCACCTAATTGGAGATTAAGTTTGTGATCAAGACCCAGTTACAAGCTGGGCACTGGTGGCTCATGCCTGTAATCCTAGCTACTCAGGAGGCTGAAATCTGGGGATAATAGTTTGAAGCCAGCTGGGGGAAGAAAAATCTCTGTGAGACTCTTATCTCCAATTAACCACACAAAAACTGGAAGTGGTGCTGTGTCTCAATGTGTTAGAGAGCTGGCCATGAGTAAAAGAGCTCAGGGATAGTGTCTAGGTTCTGAGTTTAAGCCCTATTACTGACCAAAAAAATTAGAAGCGTGACATTGATCACGATGCATTGTACTCATACTTTGTTGAATGGCAACTCCTTTGTACAACTACTTAAAGATAACATATGTAAACCTATTAATCTATCTATCCACCTATCCATCTACTTATCAATAATTAGAAAAGCCACTTGTGGTGTGTGTCTGTAGCCCTGCTTATTTGGGAGGCTAATGTGAATGATCTTTGAGCCCAGGTATCGGACTATATGGAGACCCTGTCTTAGAAAAAAAAAAGTAGGAGGAAAAAAAGATGCCACATTGAACATATATCATTTCCCTAATCTTGGACAGATCTCTCTCAGTGCAGATCTCTGCACTGAACTTCCAGTCTTGCTCCTAAGATTAATTACTCTCATCAAATCATGAGCAAATAATTATTTTGCCTTAAAATACTCAAGGCCAAACTCTAGAATATAAACAATGAGTTGCCCGGTGCTGGTGACTCACACCTGTAATCCTAGCTACTCAGGAGGCTGAGATCTGGGAATCATGGTTTAAAGCCAGCCTTAAAACTCTTATCTCCAATAAACCACCAGAAAACCAGAAGTGGCACTGTGGCTCAAGCAGTAGAGTGCTAGCCTTGAGCTGAAGAATGCAGGGACAGAGCCCAAGCCCAGACAGGGCTCAAGCCTCACTACCGACCAAAAACAGTAAGTTTAAGGTGTCAAATAGGACATTGACGTGTGTGGATTATTTGGGAGATGAGGGAGAGGACAGATCAGCAGAGTATACAGAGATGGACAGTGAACATAGGTTGAGACCAGCAGCTCACACCTTAACAGACATTTTTCCTATTGACTCTGTTGCCCAGGAGGTACGATGGTGGTAAGACACATACATTAGATTTAGACTAAAGGAGTCATTACATCTTAGGTCTCCTTATTGTTGATGGTACAGTATTGGACAAATAACTTAGCTTTTCAGAGCCCATTTTTTCTTTTTTAAAAAAAAAGTGAGTAAAGGCTGGCGATGGTGGCTCACACCTGTAATCCTAGCTACTCAGGAGGCTGAGATCTGAGGATCATGGTTCAAAGCCAGCCCGGGCAGGAAAGTCCATGAGACTCTTATCCCCAATTAACCACCAGAAAACCAGAAGTGGCGCTGCTCCAGTGGTAGAGAGCTAGCCTTGAGCTGAAGAGCTGAGGGACAGCGCCCAGGCTCAGAGTTAAAGCCCCACGATCACCACCACCAACAAAAAGTATAATTAATAACATGATTTCTACATTCAAGGAAAAAAAAAATACATGGTGAGGTTGGGGAAAACTGTACTTTATCCTTGACGTTGTTTTCCTTGCTATCATCCGTGTGGTTGGGCTAGTCCCATTTCCTCTTCCCTCCTGGAGGCTCCCACAGTACAAGTTGTTGTTATGCGTGCCGGACTTTGGTCGACATCTCCCTAGCTCCCATTCAGGCATAGGAAGAGGAAGCGGTTCCTGCCTTCTGTTTTGATTGATACGATCGAGTTGATATTTATTTAGTAGCTACAAAGTCCTCGTTACTGTGTTAGGTCCTACTGGGCACTACAAAATGAGAAACTACCTCTGAGTACATAAACTATTGGGAGTCGAGGAGGTGAAGGAAAGTGATGAGGCGAGCTTTTGTGCGCAGCGAACGCCTAGTGGAAGGCATTCTTTGCAGCAGGGCTGTCCTTTAAATCGTGACAGATGACAGATTTCACCATGCGGAGAGACTGGAAAAAAAAAAGAAGACAAAAGACGTGAGAAAATCGACCGACCCAGAGGGCTTCTCAAAGCACACGAGTGTCAATGCCAGCGCTGACAGCGAGGGGACGTCATCTGCGGACCCCTCCGCCAGTAGGCAGAGGGAGGGTACGCAGGACCGGCCGTGACCCCCGCGAACCAAACTGCCCCAGTGACAGCAAGCTGGCTGCAGCAGCCGCGGGCTGCGATCGCTCCGAGGCCGGCTGGAGCAGGGTTTATCCGGCCCTCCACTGCTGTCGCATCGCAAACTCTTAGCTGCAGTTTTCTGATTTCATCCTTTTCATCCCCCCCCCCCCCCCTCCATCGTCTTTTCTCTTCCTGGGGGTGAAACGCGCCGCCACTAGCGTCCGAGGGAAGGAAAGGGGGTGGTGGTCTCCTCTGCGGATGTACTCGGGCTCCTCCCGAGCTCGGCCAGGCTCAAACTTCGCCACACTCAACATGGCTTCCTGCCGCTTCCTTTTCTTCTGGGTAGCTCACGCTCACCTTCACGCCACACTCAACATGGCACGAACCCAAGGTCGCATTCCTAAGGAACCGTCTCCGGACAGTTCTCGCGAGGGTTTGGCTAAGGGTGTGGGGGGCCTCCCCCCCCCCCCCCCCCCCGCGCCGCGCCTCCCCGCCCGGATTGCTCCCGCCCTGCCTCGCGCCGCCGCCTCCACCGCTGCCGCCGGCGCCGCTCCTCCTCCGTGTCAGTTGTTGGTCTGTAATGGCGACTGGGCCGGCGCTGCCGAAGTGACTCCCGGGCGGGGGAGTGGGGACGGACCTGCGCCGGAGAGAACTGCAGAGAGCCGCAGCTCGAGGGGGTGGCTTGCTGCGGGGGAGGGGAAGGAAGCTTTTCCGCCTCTCCTTCCTTCCCTGCCGACCAGCGGATCGCGGTAGCCGGTGCGAGGCAGACGCCCGGTGCGTCCCCGGAGCGGGGAGGCCTGGCCGGGCAGCCCTGGGGCCGGTCGGGGCGGCGTCACTGCACCCTCCGCCAGGCCCCGCGGGATGCACCGTGGGCGCCGAGGGCGGAGGCGACATTCTCAGGTGAGCTGCGGCAGGACCCGGCGGAGACTGCGGACGCTCGCGCGGCCTCGGCTGCCTCTGTCCGCGGTCCCCGCTCCCCGGTCCCCGGTCCCGGGCGGTGGCGAGAGAGGCGGGGCGGGGCCGCCTGGCCTGGCCTGGCGTTTCCCTCGGAACCTGCTTGGGTCCCGGGGCTGTTGGGAGAGGTCATCCTGAGACGTGGGTTTCGGGTCCCTCTCGTCGGTGTCACAGACACCTTTCCTCGCCTACCCGTGTGTCCCCCGCTCTCTGCCTCGCCCCTCCTCTCCCCTGCCGGTGGGTGAGGTGCCGCTCACCTTCGGTCTCCCGGGGACCGTCCTTTCTTGGGTTGGAGATGTAGCATATTTTGGGAGATTCCCGGGGCTGGTTTCAGTGGATGATCAGTTTTCCTCTTTTCCACGGGGGTAACGTTCTCAAATGCAGTACAGGGAAAACTTTAATCCGCTCCAGTCGGGCAGTTGCTGAATGTAGCCTCCCAGTTCATTCACAGATGATTCGGGGGAGGGGGGTTTGAGGTTCGCTTTGGAAGTGGTCGCTGTCCCCCCCCCCCCCTTCTTTTAAATGCAGTCCAGTGTGCTTAAATAATGTGTAGCTAATGTCACACATACAGACTGGAAGTTTGCCAGATTTAATTTTTCTTTTCAACTAGGAAGTTGCACAGAGGTATAGATTTTAATATGGCTTTGATGGGGTAACAGATTTTTCATTTGGGGAAAAAAAAAAAAGTAGGTAGTGTAGTCTGTAACCATGAACTCTTAATTGTTTTGGTAGTGATCCTGTTTTGAATTTGGAGGAGTCGTTGTTGTTGCCATGTTAACCTTTCTTCCTGGCTTGTATTTTAAGGAGAGTCAGTTTCAGACCTATTTAACAAACTGAGTTTTGTAGAAGTAACAAATACTACAAGCTACTCTCCATTGAAAAAACGTCTCAGTTTTACATTGGTTTTAATCAAGGTACTGTGTTGCTAATAACATGAGATTGTGACTTTGGGGGGTTAGTTAGACTCCATGCTTAGACCCATGAACTTATAATAGTTTTGTTATGCTTAACTGACGAACTATTCAGTGTAATAAATCTGAACTGTCACTGATTACATTGAGATACTTTAATGCTTGAGCTAGAATACATTGTATGTGTGGATGTGTATTTTGTCATCTTAAAGTATAATATATATGTTATACCATATGTCATTTATATGGTATATTGTGATATTTCACATATGTGAAATGTGATACATATGATAATATGATATATGTGAAATTATATATGATATATAGTTCATATATGTGATATAGCATATATATGAGTGATTTTATTCATATGTGAGAGATTTAAACAATTTCCAAGTATATAGTGTAATGTTATGTAAGAAAGTTAATACTTGGGACAGTCATCTTTCTGTTGTGTTATCAATTTATTATTTATTAGTTATCTTTTTTTTTCTTCTGCTTCTGATTGCCAGTCTTTTACAACCATTTTTAGCTTTCTACCATATTATGGACAGAAAAACGGCAATGAAGTCCTGGTATAAGTACTTTCATTTGCTAAATTGTTATAACTTATAGTGAGAATGCAGCCTGAAATAGTTGACATTGAACGTATTGGTAAATGTGTATCTTGTCTTTATTTTTTTGTATGTATGTACTTCTACATACATTATTTTACTTGGTCTTCATACAATCTTATTTTGCAGTTGTGGAAATTGACATTTGAAACCACTTATTTATATAATAACTAGTGCTCTTAATTCTGCAGATGATCTAGAATTTGTTATATTTTAGATTAAATATTAGAATAGATAAATTTAGCATTTGCTTTTATTTCAAAATACTAAGGAAATTCTGTTCTTGTTTCTTGTTTCTTTTTCTTTTTGGTCAGTTGTGGGGCTTGAACTCTGGGCCTGGGCACTGTCCCTTAGCTCTTCAGCTCAAGGCTAGTGCTCTGTCACTTGAGCCACATCATCACTTCTGATTTTCTGGTGGTTAAATGGAGATGAGAGTCTCATGGACTTTCCTGCCTAGGCTGGCTTTTCAACAGTGATCCTTAGATCTCAGCATCCTGAGTAGCTAGGATTGCAGGTGTGAGCCACTGGCACCCGGCCCTTGTTTCTTTTACATGCCCCATTTACATCTTATGTTGATAGTTAATTCTTCAAAAGTATTAGCATTTTCATAACAGTTTAATTATAAAGAAGTCATGAATTATCTTGTATCATTTTTTTTTTCTTTTAGTTTTTGCTTCTTTTTTCTTTGCCTTTTTTTCTTTTCTTTGTGCCAGTATTGGGTCTTGAACTCAGGTCCCTTAGATTTTTTTCCACTCAAGCATGTCATGATTAGTTGGATGTTGCTGCCAGGATTGGCTTTGAAATATGATCTTCAGATCTCAGCCTGAGTAGCTGGAATTACAGGTGTGAGGCATGAGTGCCCAGCTAAACAAGGTTCTTAAATTGTAGTGGGTGGTGGAGGTGTGGCCCAGTGGTACAGTGCTGGCCTAGTATACCTGAGGAGCTAGATTTGATTCCCAGGATTAAAAAAAAACAAACTTGTAGTGAATTTATTGTGTTCTTCTTCTTCTTTTTTTTTTGCTCAGTCTTGGGACTTGAACTCTGGGCTTGGGCGCTGTCCTGTACTCTTCAGCTCAAGGCAAGCACCACAGTGCTACTTCTGGTTTTCTAGTGGTTAATTGGAGATAAGAGTCTCGTGGCTTTGAACCCTCATCATCAGATCTCAGCCTCCTGAGTAGCTGGGATTACAGGCATGAGCCACTGGTACCCAGCTGTGAATTTATTATTACTATTTTTTTGGGTCCAGTCATGGGGCCTGAACTCTGGGCTTGGGCGCTGTCCCTCAGCTCTTCAGCTCAAGGCTAGCGCTCTACCACTTGAGCCACAGCGCCACTTCCGTCTTTTTTCTTTTTGCTTATATGGTGCTGAGGAATCGAACCCAGGGCCTCATGCATGCAAGGCAAGCGTTCTACCACTGAGCCACCTTCCCAGCCCCCGAATTTACTGTTTTTAAGTTTGTTTGGTTACACAATTCTGACATCTTTGAATTTTCAGATCATTTATACTCTTAGTTATTTTTTTTTTTGGATCCGGTCGTGGGGCCTGAACTCTGGGCCTGGGCGCTGTCCCTCAGCTCTTCAGCTCAAGGCTAGCGCTCTACCACTTGAGCCATAGCGCCACTTCCGGCTTATGTGGTGCTGAGGAATCGAACCCAGGGCCTCAGGCATGCAAAGCAAGCGCTCTGCCACTGAGCCACCTTCTCAGCCCCTATACTCTTAGTTATTATGTAAAACCAATGTTCGGGCTGGGAAGGTGGCTCAGTGATAGAGCACCTGCCTTGCATCCTCAAGGCCCTGGGTTCAATTCCTCAGCACCACATAAGCAAAAAGAAAAAGCCTGAAGTGGCGCTGTGGCTCAAGTGGTAGAGAGCTAGCCTTGAGCTGAAGAGCTGAGGGACAGCGCCCAGGCCCAGAGTTCAGGCCCTACGACCAGACACCCCCCCCCCAAAAAAAAATGTTCAAGCCATATGACCAGTAGTAACATAACTGAACAGTATTAATATCTTGCTGATTTTATTATAGAAACAATTGATGTAAAAATTTTTCTCTAAGTTCGGTGCTGGTGGCCTATGCCTTTAATCTTAGCTACTCAGAAGGCTGAAATCTAAGGATGGAGGTTTGAAGTCAGCCTGGGCAGAAAAAGTCCCCATGAGACACTTACCTCCAATTAACCACTCAAAAACTGAAAGTGGAGCTGTGGCTTAACAAAAGAGCTCAGGGACAGTGCCCAGGCCCTGAGTTCAAGCCCCACAACCAGAAAAAAGTTAACTCTTGTGATTGTTATTTTTATCATGTGGGGCAAGTTGTGATACAGTTTTCCTTATTGACTTTTTTAAAAAACTGTTATAGTTAAGATTAAAAGGACTGCATGGTTTTTTCTGCACTGATTTTTTTTTTGGTTCATTCTTTTCTTTTTTTCTTCCTTTTGTTTTGTTTTGTTTTTTTTTTGTCAGTCATGGGGCTTGAACTTGGCCTGGGCACTGTCCTTCATCTTTTCAGCTCAAGGCTAGGGCTCTGCCACTTGAGTCACAGCACCACTTTCTGGCTTTTTCTGCTTATGTGGTGCTGAGGTATTGAACCCAGGGCCTCATGCTGCAAGGCAAACACTCTACCACTGAGCCACCTTCCCAGCCCCTATTCATTCTTTTTATAAGAGTAACTTTACATCTATGTTTGGGAATTGTGGTATATTTGCATTTCTTCATCTGGCCTGTAATTTCCATGATGGCACGGATTCTCTATTTACTGTTGTGAAACCAGTTCTTAGCATGTAGTAAGATAGCCAATAAATATTAGTGATTAATTGACTAAAGAGTAGTTTCACGATAATGCTTTAAAAACAAAACAAAACAAAATGGTTCTTAGTTCCTAGGCACATCTCAGCTCTACTGAGGAATATACTCTAGAGGTCTGTTCAAGTTTGTTAGGTAGCAGGGGAATAATCTCCTGTGATTTAAAAGTCACCGAGAAAAAGCAACAGATGGATCCCAAAAAGTTTATTGACTATTTTAATAACTTGCTTAGGTGTTCTGGCAGTAGTTGTAATTTAAAGAAAAAAGAAGCTTTAAGACCCTGATCTGTTATACTATCACTATAATTATAGGCTTGTAATAATTTTAAGTCACTTCTAAATCACAGCATTGGGTCTTGTAAATCTTAAAGGCCAGCCAGTCCGATTTTCATCTTTTATACTTAAGAAAACAGGTTCATATAGGGGAAATATCTTACTCATAGTTGGATTCATTAGTAGAAGAATCCTCTATATACCTGCTAAGTTTACATTTTTAATGTGCTAGATAATTATTAAATGAGAGGTTAATTATGATCAGCTTGACAGTCTATTCTATATATTAATTAAAAAGTCAAAATGTGCCTTGTTTTCATGAATAAAAAACATTTGCTAACTTAAAAATGAGTTTGAACCCTTTTTTCTGTCATTGGCGACTGGATGATTGTGCAAGTGGAACAACTTTTCTGGGAGAATTTGGCATTGCCTTTCAACATTAAAAAAATAAGCATCATTTTTGGGGGTTTATCTTTTGTAAATTTTAACACAAGGGTACAGGAATAAATCTGTAAGCATGTTTGTTTAGCATTATTACAAATAAGTACCAGCATTTATAAGTAACAAAACATGCTGTAAATGTCTGTTGGTAAAGGAATAGTTAAAATTCCAGTCTTTGTATGCTGTGAGGTGCTTTTCAGTTGTTAACAGATTTGGGTGTATTTAAGTTTACTTGATGAATTTAGTTGAGCCTGTCCTTTTAGTTCACGGACCACACAGCAGACACTCTGGGTTCATATCCTAATTGCTGTGCTAGCTTAGTTACTTAAATAAATCTATAACATGACTATGGGGCTACTTGAAGAAGTAAATCAGTATTTATTCTCTAAGTAAGGACAGTATGTATCAGTATGCTGTTACTGTTATGTACTGACATGAAACATTGTTCTTTGAATGCAAGTCATAAGTTGTACTACATAATGTAATATTATTTGAGTTATAAAAAGTAGACACAGGGAAAGAAATACTGTTTTTATTATATATTATATGTCTGTCTGTCTCTATCCATTGTCAGGATTTTATCCCTGAGGGGAGTGGATGCTTTTCCTTTACCTTTGTGTTGTTTTATTTATTCCAAGCCCTATTTTTATATTTTTTTTTTTTTGGTTGGTCTTGGGGCTTGAACTCTGGGACTGGGTGCTGTTCCTCAGCTCTTCATCTCAAGGCTAGTGCTCTAACACTTGAGACACAGTGCCCCTTCTGGTTTTCTGGTGGTTTTTATTAGAGATAAGAGTCTCACGGACTTTCCTGCGCGGGCTGGCTTTGAATTGAGATCCTCAGATATGTTTCCTGAGTAGCTAGGATTACAGGCGTGAGCCACCGGTGCCCAGCTATTTTTATACTTTTTTGAAACTTCTTTTTTTTTGCCAGTTCTGGAGCTTGAACTCAGGGTCTAGGCTTTGTCCCTGAGCCTCTCTGTGCTCAAGACTAGTGCTCTACTACTTGAGCCACAGCATCACTTGCAGCTTTTTCTGTTTATATGGTACTGAGGAATCGAACCCAGAGCTTCAAGCATGCTAGACAAGCACTCTTATCACTAAGCCACTTTACCAGCCTTTAAGCTTTTTTCTAAAAAAACTTGATGAGTAAGTTTTATTATATGGTGATATAAATGTATTCTTAATACAGTTTTCCAGAGATCTACAGCTTTTATAGAATATCATATGATTAGATCATGTTTACAAAATATAATTTTGGAATACTGAAGTTAATGTATGAAAATTTTCTAAAAATATGTATTTATTTTTTAAGTAGCTTCATGACTGCCACTCTTTTTTTTTTTTTTTTTGGTCATGGGGCTTGAACTCTGGGCTTGGGCGCTATCCCTGTGCTCTTCAGCTCAAGGAGAGCTCTCTACCACTTGAGCCACAGCACCACTTCCGGTTTTCTGGTGGTTAATTGGAGGTAAGAGTCTCATTGCCTGGGCTGGCTTCGAACCGTGATCCTCAGATCTCTGCCTCCTCAGTAGCTAGGATTACAGGCATGAGCCACTGGCGCCCGGCATGACCTCCACTCTTATTACTTAGTTTATAGAATAAGCCAGTTGTCCAGATTATTGTTTCTATCCAGGGTTCTCAAAAACTGTACTGAGATACCATAGAGTATTACAGAAAACTCACATGGACATTGTAGAATATTTGAAAAAATGTGAGGGAAACTTAGCAATATTTGACAGTTGTAAGACCCTGAAGAAGCTACCACTTTCGTGTGGTATTCATGAGATTGGTGCATTTATTTTGATGACAAAATGCTAGGTTGAGGGAGCTGCTGTCATTAAGAATCAGGTACTATGCAAAATTCATGTGGAATAGCTCCTGTGAATGGAAAATTTGCTATCAGAGGGCCCTTAAGAACTGGTGCTTGAACTCAGAGCCTCTTGGTCTTGCTTTTTTTTTTTTTTCCTCTCACAGTGTTTTATTGCTTGAGCAGTGTAACTCCACTTCTGGCTCTTCTCCCTTCCCGCCATTTGCAGTTAAGAGGCTCATGGATTTGTCTGTCTGGGCTTGTTCTGAGTGATTCTCACATCTAAGCATCCTAAGTAGCTAGGATTATAGACATGAACCATCTACACCCAGCAAGAATTGAGTATTTATTTTTTTATATATTGTCAGTTGTGGGGCTTGAATTCAGGGCCTGGGCACTATACTTGAGCTCTTTTGCTCAAAGCTAGCCCTCTGCCTTTGAAGTGGTCTTTGAGTGGCTAATTGGAGATAAGAATCTCAAGGGGACTTTTCTGTTTGGTCTGGCTTTGAACTTGGATCCTTAGATCTCAGCTTCTTGAATAACTAGGATTACAGGCGTGAGCCATTGGCATCCAGCCAAGATTGACTATTAAAAAAATGCCATTTTATATCTTAATTGTATATATGCCACAGGTGTAGATCAGTGTTCAGACTTTATGGTGTCAATACCACTTTATACACTTGAGTTACTGAGGATTCAACAGAGCTTCTCTTGATGTTGATATTAATGATTTCTAAAAATAAATATTTAGTGAAAAAAACATTGTCATATTTCAAATCCTTTTTTAATATCTGGCTTAATGGAAGACATCTGGATTTTCATGTCTGCTGTATTCAATCTGCTGTAATACCATATTATGTGTCTTTGGAAAACTTCATTATACACTAATGAGAGAATGGAGTGAAAAAGAGAAAGCCAGTTTAATATTATTATGTGAATAGTTTTGACTTAAAAAATACCCCTGAAAGGATCTAAGACACCCTCAAAAATCTCTGGGAAACACTTAGAGAACTGTTAGGTGTAGATTATAAGTTCAGAGTGAGAAATGTCATAGATGTTTTTGGCTTATGAATATCTCAGTCATCCAGTTGTGCAACTGGATGTTGTTGCTTGTTTGTTTTTTAGGGAATCATCATGAGTTGGCTTTTGGAGATTTTGAATCTGATGTGCCTTTGAGATTTCTGAATAAGTAGTTTGATATGCAGGTAAGGCTATTAGAGGTAAGATCTGGGCTGAAGTTTTGGTAATCTTGTTATACATAGATGCTTTATGGTATTTTTTTCCCCCTTTGGGCAAAGATGTTTACCCAGGGAGAGAATAGTGTAAGAAAGGAAAAAAAATCCCAAAAAAACAGTATGAAACTCCCTTGAACTTCAAGATATAAAAGCTAGTTAGAGAAGGACTAGCCAGCAAAGGAGACTTGAGTAAGAGAACTAGGAAAGTAGGAAAATCAGAGTATAGTATATAAAAGCCAGGGGGAAAAAAGAGTATTTTGAAAAATCAATTGGAACAATTTGTCTCTGCAGGTCAAATTCCTCAAATTTTTCTCCTCTTAGGAAATAAAAGTTTTGATACCATAGGCATTAACCAATCAACTAGCTATTGGTTATTTGGAAATTGTTAAAGACCAGTGTGTTCAAACTTTGCTGCATATTTTACAATATATAGTTCAGACTGGATCTAGTGTGTATTTTGATTTGCTGGGCTGCTTATAATTCAGCTTCTCCTTTGTTTCCAACCTTTGTTTCCACCTTTTATTTCTACCTCTTTACATGTATTCCCTCATCAACAAGTGTAAAACAAAGTGCAAGATCATGAAAAGAGTTCACAATATATGGACTCATATTTAGCCAAATTTGTATAGTATGATACATTTGGAAATGATGCTTTTAGTTCTCTTTTATTACATATGCCAGAACAATTTCCTGTTAATTTGATGTTTTGAGTAGTATGATTTTCCTTTTACTGCATATATCAGGGACACATTCTTCAATTGAATACATCTGAGAGGGAAATTGTTCATTTGATCTATATTGAGAGTCATCTGAACGTTGACAAAGAGGTCAAGTAGGTTGAAGACTGAAAATATTAATTAGATTTGGAAATGAAGATTTGGTCCTTGGTTGTGGTAGAGAAATGGGGGTAGTAACAATACTGTAGTTACTTGAAGTGTGACTGAAAATTATCTTTAAATGAATACTGAGTTTTTTCATTCTTTATGAGGAAATCTTTTTGGACAGATTGTAAAGGAGAGGAGTGTTTGAGGGATTTTTTGTTTTGTTTTTTTGTTTTTTGTTTTTGTTTTTGGGTCTGGTCGTGGGGCCTGAACTCTGGGCCTGGGCGCTGTCCCTCAGCTCTTCAGCTCAAGGCTAGAACTCCAACATTTGAGCCACAGTGCCACTTCCGGCTTTTTTTTTCTGCTATGTGGTGCTAAGGAATCGAACCCAGGGCCTCATGCATGCAAGGCAAGCGCTCTACCACTGAGCCACCTTCCCAGCCCCGAGGGATTTTTTTCTTTTTTAAAGTAAGAAGATGTGATAAAATATAAATGTTGTTAGAAGGCATCTCCTAAAGGGAGGAGATTGGAGAAACAAGAGAAAAATATAGTTGATTGTGAGGTTACTTGAGAGAACCTGGGTGAGGAAATTAGAAACAGGTGAAATATACTTATTGCTCCATTTTGCTAATAATTACTTGCTTCATTCTTTTCCTATTCTCTGCATATGTAAATTCAAAACCTGCATGATAGGAAAGAAAGTTAAGCAATAAATGTAATCCTTTTGTATTTCTTGGCTGCTGTTAATTTCATGCCATCTTTATGAGGTAAATGTTATGGTGGTTCTTGAAGTGTAGCTCATTGTTGTCTATTAAATAGTCAAATAAGTTTTTAAAGTTATATCCTTATTTGATGTGTCTGCTTTTTATCTGTGTTTGCCTTTTTTTTTTTTTGTTGGTTGTGGGGCTTGGGCCTGGGCACTCTCCTTGAGCTTTTGTGCTCAAGGCTAGTGTTCTGCTACTTTGAGCTACAGCTCCACATCCAGTGGTGGTTAATTGGAGATAAATCTCATGGACTTTCCTGCTCAGGTTGGCTTTGAACCATGATCCTTAGAACTCAGCCTCCTGAGTAGCTAGGATTACAGGCTTGAGCCACCAGTTCCTGGCTACAATTTGTTTCTATACAAGATGCAAGTTGACATCATTGTAAAGTGGACAGTAGAATAAAATAAAATGAACAATAAAGCTATTCTTAAATTTGAATTTAAGAACCTGTTATGTGCATAGCAGGTACTATGAGACCCTTTTATTTTTTTAATCTTACTTTCATCCCATTTATAATACTATAATACATGTTTAATGTAGTCTTTTAGACTTTTTTTTTTTTTGGTGACAGTTGTGGGGCTTGAACTCAGGGCCTAGGCACTGTCCCTGAGCTTCTTTTGCTCAAGGCTAGCTAGCACACTACTATTTGAGCCACAGTGTCACTTCCAGCCTTTTCTGTTTATATGGTACTGAGGAATCGAGTCCAGGGCTTCATACATGCTAAGCAAGCACTCTACCACTAAACCACATTCCCAGCCCTCTTTTAGACTTCTTGAGGACCAGAACTATGTTTTGTTCTTGGCGTTACTATATGCCCACTGCTTAGCACTATGCTTGGCACCCACCAGATATTTGTTAAATAAATGAAAGACATAGATACATAGATGACCTTGAAGAAAAGGTTATCCTGATTGTGGAAGGAGGGTAATGCCTGATCCAGCAATGCGAGGATGAAGGAGGGTTTTTTTGGTTTTCATTTTTGGTGCCAGTCTTGGGGCTTAAACTCAGGGCCTGGGCACTTTTTTGCTCAAAGCTAGAGCGTAGAGTCACAGCTCCACTTCCAGCTTTTTTTTTTTTTTTTTTTTCTGTGTGTGGTTAATTGGAGATAATAGTTTCATGGACTTTCCTGCTCAGGGTGGCTTTGAACTCCATTTGATGTTGGACACTGGTGGCTCACACCGGTAATCCTAGGTATTCAGGAGGTTGGGATCTGAGGATTGAACCTTCCTTCCTGTCTTCCTGCCTTCCTGCCTGCCTTTCTCCTTCCTTTCCTCCCTCCCTCCTTCCTCTCCTACCTCTCTTCTTTCGACCATCTTCCCCCTTTTCCCTTTTTTCTCTCTGTCTTTGTCTCTTTGAGGCAAATTGCTACATAGCCCAGGTTGCCATCAGACTTGCCATCATTTGCCTCTGCCTGCCTGCTGGCCTCCTTTCTTTTTCTTTCCTTTCCTTCCTTTCTTTTTTCTTTCTTTCTTTTTTTTTTTTTTGGGTTGGTGTGGAGCTTGAACTCAGGGTTCAAGCATTGTCCCTGAGCTTTCTCACTCAAGGCAAGCACTCTACCACTTTGAGCCACAGCACCACTTCAGTTTTCTGGTGATTAATTGGACATAATAGTCTCACTATTTTCTTGTCTGAGCTGGCTTTTGAACCATGATCCTCAGATCTCAGCCTGCTGAGAAGCTAGGATTATAGGCATGAGCCACTAGCTGGCTGCCTCACCTTTTTGTCTGGGCAGTCCCAGCACTTATATTTTTTAAATTAAATTTGGGTTTTTTTTGGGGGGGGGGGTGCGGGGGAGACTGATACATATCTTCTATTTGTTACTTTACTATGGCCCTAATCATGATGTATACTGTTAATTTATGTGTATCTAATAGATTGTGAGCATTAAATGCTCAATGAATAGTCATTGAGTAAGTTATATATGTACATGTATCGTATGTATATACGTATGTATATACTGTTAAAAAGCAAACAGTAGGAAAGATGAAATAGTAATTCATTAGAGCAGTCTGAGAATTCTTATGGGAGAAGACATTGAAGTTTGGCCTTGAAGGGCATTCTTTGTAGAGAAAATTTAAGAAAAAAATACAGAAATAGCATAATTTTCCGGCATTTTGGAAAATGCTTACTAGATATGGCTATATATGATAGGAACAGTTGGTAAACAGTGAAGATTGCAAGAGGCGAAGACTGTAAATTGATGTCCTGAGGGATTTTAAGTGTCATGTGAAGCAGTTTGCAACTTTATCCCATAGAGGAAAGTTACTAAACATTTATAAACACTGAACTGTTTGTTTCTGTTTTAGAAAGGTAACTTTAGTTGCAGTATGGAGAATGGGTTAAGAGCAGTATAAGAAGTTTTGTTTTTTTTTTTAACAGTAATTTAGCCAAAAATTGATGCTTTGATCAGAGATAAGGAGTGGAGAGAGATAAATTAGAAAAGCAACTTTCTTGTTTTTAAAGATGTTTTTTTAGAGGCATGTACCACCTACATCCAAATAAATGTTTTTTTTAGAAATCTTTTCCAAGTATATGGTTTAGTGGCTTCCTCCTCACCTTTTAAGTTAGCTCAATTAATAGGAAATTTTTTAGAAGGCTTCCGTGAAATAAGTCTTAAGGAATGCAAGGACAAAAAGTAAAGTATTGATACTAGGGGGCCTGGAAAATTGTCATGAACAAGACTTTTTCTCTGATGCACATGTTTTATCATTTATTTTTCTTTGATGTTTCTTTTGCTTTTTCATCATGAATTTTTGGTTTAGCTTCTCACAAATCAGTTCAGTTGCTTAGTTTTTCATTTCCAAAATTCTGTGTGATCTTATTTTCCAAGGACTAGATAGACTTCTCTTGAGTCAGTTCCTCACTCTATATTGCCAGTTATAAGTAGGTGAGGGTCTTGTGGATTAGGCAGACTGACATACATACTAGATTCATAGGGATTTTCATTTAACAAGTCTTTTCGAGAACATTATAGGACATAATTTGAGATCAGTTGTTTGGAGCACAATACAAAGGATATCCATTAAAAATTTCTTTTTGATAGTACTAGAGATTGAGCTCAGAGCCTCAAGTTTGGTAGACAGGTACTCTTCCATTGTGATTTGTACCTGCTACCCCTTTTTGCATTAGCTATTTTTGGGATAGTGTCTTGATGTAGGCCTGGGCTGGCCTAGATTGTGATCTTCCAGTTTAAGTTTTCTTGTATTGCTGGATTGACAGGCATGTGCCACTGCCTAGCCTTTGGTTGAGGTAGAGTTCCAAGAACTTCTTTTTCTTCCCCCAGATTGGCCTTTCTGAACCACAATCCCCCAGTCTTCACCTTTCAAGTAGCTAGAATTATAGACTTGAGGTAACATACCTGATGTCATTTTCAGCTTTTGAAAAATAGAGTTAAAGAAAAATGTACTTTCCGGGCATTGGTGGATCATGCCTGTAATCATAGCTACTCAGGAGGCTGAGATCTGAGGACCTTGGTTCAAAGCCAGACCGGGCAGGAAAATACATGAGACTCTTATCTCCAATAAACCACCAGAAAAAATGGCCAACCACCCAAGAAAAAGAAAAAAGAAAAGAACAATGTACATGATACCAGATTTACGATAGTAGTACTATATCTTTTTTTTTTTTTTTTTGGGTCCGGTCGTGGGGCCTGAACTCTGGGCCTGGGCGCTGTCCCTCAGCTCTTTTAGCTCAAGGCTAGCACTCTACCACTTGCCACAGCGCCACTTCTGGCTTTTTTCTTTTTGCTTAAGTGGTGCTGGGAAATCAAACCCAGGGCCTCATGCATGCAAGGCAAGTGCTCTACCACTGAGCCACCTCCTCAGTCCTAGTATTATATCTTAGTCAAAGTAAGAGATAGATATGAGTCAAGGTACATAAGAGGCTTTTGTCAAATTTGTAAGAGTTTATTAAATTGAGGGTTGAGTACATAGTTGTATACCTTAACTATGCATAGTAAATTTAAAACTTAATGAAGAAGTTGGGCACTGGTGGCTTGTGCCTGTAATCCTAGCTACTTAAAAGGCTGAGATTATTTAGAACTGAAGTTTGAAACAAGCCTGGCCAGGAAAGTCTGTGAGATACTATTTCAATTGAACACCAAAAAAGCTGGTAGTGGAGCTGTGGCTCAAGTAATAGAGTGCTAGCCTTGAGGAAAAAAGCTTAAGGACAGTGCCCAGGCATAATGAAGTATAAAGAAGAGGAAAGTCTATTTGTGGATAACTGAGGAACATTTAATTATACCCTGCAGACAATAAGTCTCAAGATATAAAGCAGTCTAGAAAGCTGTTGAAAATTTGTCATCCTTTTCCTTAATGTCAAAATAATTGACAAAATGTTTCTTAGCTTTTATTCCATAGTGAATAAAATTTATAAAATTGCTTTAAAAATGTTAATTAGGCCAGGCATTGGTGGCTCTAACCTGTAATCCTTGCTTCTCCGGAGGCTGAGATGTGAGGATTGCTGTTTGATGTCAGTCTGGGCAGGAAAGTCTATGAGACGATTTCTTTTTTTTTTTTTTTTTTTTTGGGTCAGTCATGAGGCTTGAACTGTGGGCCTGGGTGCTGTCCCTCAGCTCTTCAGCTCAAGGCTAGTGCTCTACAACTTGAGTCACAGCGCCACTTCCGACTTTTTCTGCTTATATGGTGCTGAGGAAATGAACCCAGGGCCTCATGCATGCAAGGCAAGCACTCTACCACTGACCCACCTTCCCAGCCCAGTCTATGAGACTTCTATCTCCAGTTAAGCACCAAAAAAGCTAGAAGTGGAGCTGTGGCTCAAGTAATCGAGTCCTTGCCTTGAGCACAAATGCTCAAGGATAGTGCCCAAGCCCTGAGTTCAAGCCTCAGGACCTGCACACATGCATGCGCACACACACACAAAATATTAACTAGATATTCTGGTCTAACTTAGAAGCATTTGTACAGAAAACCAACGTTATTTATCAGTATGAAAGCTGAGGGTTATGGCAAGTTTATTACTTAATAACAGAATGCAAGCTTTGTAACCTGATATGTTGATAACTTTAGTGTTCCTGAATCAAAATTGTCTTTGTTCTGTTCTCTGTTCTTCATTTAGACATTAATATGGCATCCTTAAGAATATTCTTCCCAGGAACCTAATGGATATTCCCTAGTAGAATTAATGCATCCTTTATTATAATCATACATATATCCTCTGTCATTGTCCCGATTGTTATATTTCTCAGTTAAAGAAATACAAAAGATTCAGGGTTGGGAATGTAGCTTAGTGGTAGAGTGCTTGCCTAGCATGCATGAAACCCTCAGTTTGATTCCTCAGTTCTACATCAAGAGAAAAAGCTGGAAGTGGTGCTGTGGCTCAAGTGGTAGAGTACTAGCCTTGAGCAAAAGAAGCTCGGGGACAGTGTCTAGGCCCTGAGTTCAAGCTCCAGGGCTGCCCCTTCCCCCCAAAAAAAGCCATAAAATAAGATAAAATAAATCATACAAAATAGAATTGAATACTAAAATACATTTCTCTGGGGACAAAGTAATAATGTTTTACTGATGGAGTATAAAATCTATACTGACAACAACTTTGAGCTTTTCTACACCAAGTAATGATAAAATAACATGTTATTGAAAGGTTAAATTTTTTATTGTTATTGTAATGGTGATGTAGAGAGGGGGAAAGGTTAACTTTTAGAAATATAAAGACAAGTGGAGAAAAAGTCAATTGACATATGCTTTTGTCCATCCATCATCTTGAATAATTTTATAAGCAAAAGACAATCTATAAATGTCCAAGAAGTAACTTCAAATTTCTATGTAGGTGTAGAATAAAATTGTGGCCATGAAGTTTCTTAATACAGTTGTCTGAGAAGGTAGTTTTTTTATTCCCCAAGTAGTGATTTGCAGTTGGCTAGAAAAAGGCATTTTGCAGATTGAGAGTTACACTTTAAAGATAGTAAGAGTTACTAGACTTCTGTGGTTCATCCCTCTAATCATGGCTACACAGGAGGTTGAGTTTTCACTCCCAGTGTTAGGGCTTAAACTCAGTGCCTCATGCTATTCAGTGCCTCATGCTTTTATTCAGCTTACTTACTCATGGTTGGTGCTCATCCACTTGAGCCACATCTCTAGACTAGCCTTTTGCTGGTTAATTGGAGATGGAGTCTCATGGACTTCTCTGTCTTCCTGGCTTGGACCTACAGTCTTGAATTTCAGCCTCCTGAATTGCTAGGATTATGGGCATGAACCACTAGTACTTGTCTTGATTGTTTCTTTGTAAGTTCCCACCAACATTATAAGGCTCTAATTTTTCCACATCTTTGCTAGCACTTTTTTTTCCTATGTTTTAAATAGTAGCCACCTGTTGACAATATACTGTGAGATAGTCACAATATAATTTTTATAATTTTTACTGGTTATTTTTACTGGTTTATTTTTCTAAAGAAAGATAAAATTATTGAATTATGGAATACTTATGAGCATATAAAGATATATTTTATTTATTTATTTATTTATTTATTTTTTATTTTTTGGGTCCGGTCATGGGGCCTGAACTCTGGGCCTGGACACTGTCCCTCAGCTCTTCAGCTCAAGGCTAGTGCTCTACCACTTGAGCCACAGCACCACTTCCAGCTTTTTTCTATTTCCTTATGTGGTGCAGAGGAATCAAACCCAGGGCCTCATGCATGCAGGGCAAGTGCTTTACCACCGAGCCACCTTCCCAGCCCCTAAAGATATATTTTAGACATGACAAAATTATTTCATAACTTTTATGAAGGTCAAGAAGTCAGGACATTTCTGTACTGGTATTTAGTGAATACTAATGATATAATTGCAGGTAAATTGGCAAAATGAGGAGCAGCAAATCAAAAGAGGTGCCTTTACTAAATCCAAGGAACTCTCAAAGCAAGGATACTGTTCAAGGTATGATTTTTTTAAAACTGAACTTAGAAGTCTTGTTTTCTGCATAGGGAACAGGAAATGGTTCTCTTTTTCTATTTCTCTTTAGCCCTGTTCTAGAAAAACGAAAAACTTTTAGGCTTATATATTAAGTTCTGGGCTGATGTGTAAATGAAGATTATACATATATTTTGATTTATAAAAAATGTATAATTGTGATTTCAAATTGAATATACAGAGCATTTTACTTTCAAAGGCATCCTTTTTTTTTTTTTTGGTCTGTCATGAGGCCTGAACTTTGGGCCTGGGTGCTCTTCCTCAGCTCTTCAGCTCAAGGCTAGCCTCTACCACTTGAGCCACAGCACCATTTCTGGCCTTTTCTGTTCATGTGGTGTTGAGGAATGGAACCCAGGGCCTCATACATACAAGGCAAGCACTCTACCACTGAACCACCTTCCCAGCCCCTGATAAACTTTTGTACGGAAGCATCTTTTAATAAAATACATTAGTATGCATAAAATGAATTTTGTACCCTTTTTCCCAGAAATTCTGATCTTAATATGGTTAGTATCATATAGCTTCTGATGTAATTATAAGCCTATACAGATACCAAAATTGTAATTTTATTGAATGCATTTCTAATATTAGTGATAACTAAGGTATGATATAAGACGAGATAAAAAAACTGGATTATATCTGGTGAAAGAGTTTTGAGTTTGTGAGGGAACTAGGGTTCAAGTCACATGAGGATTGTTTGGAGGAAATGAAAATATTCTAGTAAAGGATGACTCATAGGAAAGATGTTGCTTTAAATTATTTGAAGGGCTGTTATCTGAAAGTGAAAAATTAGATTTGTTTCTACCTATAGATTGGAATCTGCAATAATTTTCTAATCTTGTTCATATTATATTGTTAACTATAAAACAGTGAAAAATATTTTATTTGGTTGGACATGTGTGCACATCTATAATCCCAACACATGGGAGACTGAAGCAGGTAGATCATGAGTTGGAGGCCAGTCTGGGCTGCATGGAAAAACTGGTTTTGGAGCCCAGTACCAGTGGCTCACGCCTGTAGTCCTAGCATCTCAGGAGGCTGAGATCTGAGGATTGTAGCCTGAGCAGGATAGTCTGTGAGAATTATCTCTAATAAACTACTCAGAAAAAGCTGGAAGTGGTGCTATGGCTCAAGTGGTAGTGCACTCACCAAAAGAAACTCAGGGACAGCCAGGCCCAGAGTTCAAGCCCCAGGACCAGCATTAAAAAAAGACTAGTTTTGTATTTGTTCAGCCAATTGGTGTAAACTGAGGATACTGTTTATTTTTGAATGTCAGTCCAATTGTCCTAAGAACTAATGCTGTACTGTTGGTATTTATTAAACTGTTGATATGGTTTACAACATGATAGGGAGACAGAGAAAAACCTATTTTGGATCAATATAAGGCATTTGCTGAGGAATAACTCTGCATAATAGAGTAGTTCTCAAAACTTATGATCAATTTGGAAGTGTATTAAAACTTTCATTCTGAGATCTTCAGAGGTTCTAATTCTTAAATATCACTATTTCCAGCAGATAGAACCACATCGTGGGACGCACTTTCTCAGACCAAGGCTGCTGTAAGAAAGTTTAGCTTCCATTTATTTATTTGTTTTAAAATTGACACCTTGTTAAGATTTGGTTGAGTAAAACATTTTTTTCTAGCACTTTTTAAAAAAGGAAAATAAAGGTAATCATTGTGGCAAGAAGTTAAATATGTTATATAGTGAACATAAAGTACAACTTTTAAGCAATAAAGGAGTAAACAAGACCCTACTTTTGGAATCAGGAGCATTAACACAATGGTATATAAATATTAAAAGAACTTATACTGATTCACTTTTAATTAATTTGTTTCTTTTGTATGGAGAAATGAAGATTTAAACAGAATGAATTTGGGAGGTTGGCCTGTGTCTATATAGAAGGCTTATTGTAAGGGAGGAGTGAAAGAACCAGCTTTTCCTTTAATGAACTGTGAGTGACCTCTTTTTTGTGTAGTAACAGGCTATTTTTTGTTATACTACTGAAGGACTATGTAGGCAACTTGTTCCCATTTGTGTTCTTTCAAGTCTTGTCTGGATATTAGGAATCTAAATTTTGCAAAATAACATACAGTCCTTTATATACTCCTATTTTCATTTGTTTTCTGGGTTCAATACACTTTTGATATGCCTGTTTGATTTTGTGTGTCACCTGGAGTCATATCACCTGCTTCTTCATTGTCTGAGGTTTGGGGTTTTTGTTTTTGTTTTTTTTTCCTGTGTGTGTTTGTGTTGGTAATGGGGCTTGAACTCTGTACCTTGAACTCTGTTCAAAGCTTGTACTGTACCACATGAGCTCCACTTCTGGCTTTTAAATTTTTCTATTTTTGGTGGTTAAGTGGAGATAAGAGTCTCACAGCCTTTTTCTACCTGGGCTGACTTTGAATTGTGATCCTTAGATCCCAGCCTCTTGAGAAGTTAGGAATCGAGTAAAGGAATTATAGTGTATATTTGGTCTCAGTGTTGAGTCAAGTTTTGGCCTTATGAATAATCAATGTAAAGTCTTCTTTCTATATGAAATTATACATCTGCCATGTCAGGATAGTTTTTATTCCTCAGTTTAACTTAGAGCTAAACTATTAGTAGTTGTTTTTCAAAACTATTCGATATTGCTGAAAAGTTTGTTTTTGTTTTTGTTTTGTTTTTTTGGGGGGTCGGTCATGGGGCATGAACTCTGGGCCTGGGCCCTGTCCCTGAACTCCTCAGCTCAAGGCTGGTGCTCTACCACTTGAGCCATAGCGCCACTTCCTGCTTTTTCTGCTTATGTGGTGCTGAGGAATGGAACCCGCGGCCTCATGCATGCAAGGCAAGCAGTCACCACTGAGCCACCTTCCCAGCCCTGCTGAAGAGTTTTTCAAGAGACTACTAGTGTAGGTTGTGGGGCAGTCTGATACAGAAATAGTAAAGGATTAGTACAATTTATTTTTAGCATAGCACACTGTAAAAATGTGAAAGAAGGTAAGTTTTATACAAAATATTTCAAAGTGATAGAATATTTTATTTTTTGCTTTTTAAAACAGTCATTATGTATCCTAGACTGGCTATGAACTTATGATCTCCTGCCCCAGTTAGCTTTGGTAGAATTTTGATTTTAATTTTTATTATATATACATATTTTTTCTGTTTTTAAATATTCTACTATAAGCCTATCATACAGGCTTCTAGAGTTCAGTTTCTCTTAAACTTTACTGTTTAGGATAAAGTGCTTCTTGAACATGGCAGTTATACCAAAAGTTGAGTTATCTTGCAAAATATATATGAAACCTGTTTATTATCCTGTGAATTTGTCTTTATTAGAAATGTATTTAGTCCAGTTAAATTATTCTTTCCTCATTTTTGCATGAAAATATATAATATTTTATTAATCTAATTATATGGAATATACAATATCATATAATTTACTGCTTCAAAAAAACTCATCAACTAAAAATATTGAATATCATATTTGTTGGGAAAATGGAGAAGAATGGAAGAGGAATAGGCCGGACTTAATCGTCAACAGGCAAGGACTATTTATTGAGGAACAACGAGGGATACAGACTTTCCCATGGGTTTGGAGGTTGTGCAAGGGACTGGATTTTGGAGTGGGCTTATATAGGGCTTAACAGGGAAGCAGAGAATTAAAAATAGGCTATGGTCTCCTTGGAATCAAGGGTCATGTCCTTGGCCAGGCCTACAGTGGAATGCTTTGTGTGGGGGCTATTGTCTCCTGGGGGCCAAGGTGGGAATGACCTGCCTATGGATAAGCACATACTTGGTGCTTTGCTTGACCCTGGGAAATAAGGCAGGACTTAGCCCTTCAATGTTGACTAGAAACTCTTCATTAGTCTTTTTGATATTATGTTCAAATTTGATATTCTTGTTCAAAGCATGGTTACAACTGAAGTAATAAGTGATATAAAACTAATATATATAAAGTATATAGGCTTGGCTAAAGTGGTAGAGCACCTGCCTACTAAGCACAAGTCCCTGGTTCAAACCTAGTACTAATAAAATAAGATGCAACATGTTATCATATTGTGAATCCCGTAACAGAGAAGGAAGAAAAATGCTATTAATAAAAGAAAGCATTTGAGTTTTTCTGCTTTGGAGAATATACTTTGGCAATATAGTTTTCAATAACTGTGTAAATCAATGTGAACTCTTTTCAGAATTAACTAATATATTGTGACATTATTTGAACTTTAGCTGAGGCACATTGAAAACAAATTAGAAGTAGCTCCTACAAGTACGGCTGTGTTTGATTCTGTCATGGATGCCAAGAAGTCTACAAGTGCTACCCGAAAAATAAGTAGAAAAGGTATGTATGAAGTGACTCCCAAAGATACAGCTATTAAATGTGGTTATTTGATGCTGGCTTTGATTCAGTTTAATATTTTATTGATAGTTCCATGTGTTTGCTTGCTTTTCTTGTTGGAGACTGAACTTCATTAGCATTTGAGTGTTTTCCTTTTATAATAATGAATTAGTTATGAATTAGCTCATGGTCAGTGATTGTCAATGGTCTGTTCACTATCATTTGATCAGGAACCATAGCACTATTGTAGCATCTTTGACAGGAAGTTTTCATTTGTTTGTATTACTGATGTATTTTTTTGAGATGATATAGTCCTATTTCATAAAATTTGTAGGTATGTTTTGAAAGTGACATTTTAATAAGGCTGGGTGCTGGTGGCTCACATCTGTAATCCTAGCAACTCAGGAGGCTGAGATCTGAGAATAGAGATTCAAAGCCAGCCCGGGTAAGAAAATCTGTGACTCTTATCTCCATAAACCACTAGAAAACCAGAAGTGGTACTATGGCTCAAGTGGTAGAGCTCTAGCCATGAGCTGAAGAGCTGAGAGATAGCTCCTAGGCCCAGATTTCAAGCCCTATAACCGACAGAAAAAACCAAACAAAACTCATAATAAGTTGTGTATTTATTGGAGTTTTAAATTGTAAATGGAATATCTTTCCTACAGATAGTAATACCGTGTAAATAGTTGGCTGCTTATCACATTTTTTTTTTTTTTTTGGTTGTGGGCTTTGAACTCAGGGCCTGGGCATTGTCCCTGTACTTTTTTTTCCTCAAGGCTAGTGCTTTACCACTTTGAGCCACAGTTCCACTTCTGGTTTTGAGTGGCTAATTGGAGATTAGAGTGTCACGAGGACTTTTCTGTCTGAACTGGCTTCAAACTGTGATCTTCAGATCTCAGCCTTCTGAGTATCTAGGCTTATAGGTGTGAGCCTCCAGCACCCAGTGACACTTGATTTTGTGATTTCCTTCTCTTTTTTTCTTTTTGCAGTATTGGGGTTTGAACTTATCAAGTCCTATTTTTTGCTGATTATTTTTTGAGAATAGTGTCTTGCTTTCTGCCTAGGCATGTGCCCAGGTGCAATCAGCCTTTGTTAGGCTTCCTGTTGTAACTAGGATAGCTGGTATGTGCTGCCACATTCAGCTCTGTGCTGAGAAAGGGTCTCCTAAACGTTTCTGCCTAGATTAGCCTCAAATCACAGTCCTCTAGGTCTTAACCTCTCAAGTAGCTAGGATTACAAGCTTCAGACATTAACACCTAGCTTGATTGTGTGGTTTCTTAATTGTTGGGCTAAAAGTTGTAAGTTGATATGCTCTATTTAAACTGGCCTTAAAAAAAACCTATCAGTTTTTTGGTTTTAATCTAATACTTTTAAGTGAATGAGTAAGGAATTTTATGTATAAATTTTTTTTTGTGATACTGGGGTTTGACTTTGGGCCTTATGCTTGCTAGGCAGGGGTTCTACCACTTGAGTCATACACCATCCCTTTTTTGTTATAGTTATTTTTCAGGTAGCATATGACATCTTTTCCTAGGGTTAGCTTCTAATCTCAATTCTTTTTTTTTTTTTTTGGGTCTAGTCACGGGGCCTGAACTCTGGGCCTGGGTGCTGTCCCTCAGCTCTGTAGCTCAAGCCTAGAGCTCTACCGCTTTAGCTACAGTGCTACTTCCGGCTTTTTTTTTTTTTGCTTATGTGGTGCTGAGGAATCGAACCCAGGGCCTCATGCATGCAAGGCAAGTGCTCTACCACTGAGCCACCTTCCCAGCCTCTGATCTCAATTCTTGTAGTCCAGTATCCCATGTAGCTGGAATAACAGGTGTCGCTCCCATATCCAAATTACTGATGGAAATAAGGTCCTGCTGATTTTTTTCCTGGCTAGTCTTGACCCTCAATCCATCAAACATCTACTTCATGAGTAGCTAGGATTTATTAAGTATGAGCCCAACAAGCCTAGCCTCTCTAATACAGCTTTTTACTCATCAAATCCAGAAATTGTCAAGTTTTTTTTTTTTTTTTTTTGGTAGAAATTGTCAAGTTTTATACCATATTCCTTTTCTTTCAGATGGTAGATACTTGGATGATTCTTGGAGTAATGCTCCAGCCTCCAAATCTAAATCAAGAAAAGAGAAATCTCGTAGTCCTCTTAGAGCTACCACCCTGGAGAGTAATGTAAAGAAAAACAATCGTGTGGAATTTCGTGAACCTTTGGCTTCTTACAGGTCAGTATTATAAAAAAGGTAGCCCTTTGTGTGAATTTATAGTATTTATGATAGCGACATGATTTATTTTTGTCTTGTATAGTACTTGCTCTATATGAAGTAGTAATAGTCTAGTTCTTTTTTTTTTTTTTTTTTGGGTCCGGTCGTGGGGCCTGAACTCTGGGCTTGGGCGCTGTCCCTCAGCTCTTCAGCTCAAGGCTAGCGCTCTACCACTTGAGCCACAGCGCCACGTCTGGCTTTTTTCTTTTTGCTTATGTGGTGCTGAGGAATCGAACCCAGGGCCTCAGGCATGCAAGGCAAGCGCTCTACCACTGAGCCACCTTCCCAGCCCCCAGTAGTTCTTTAGTGTTATTGACTTCCCACAAAAGATGGTACAAAAATATTTTCATATTATAAATTAGTATCCTCTTTTATTTTATTTATTTTTTGTCATGCTGGGGAATAAACCTAAGGTAAGTACTATCACTGAGAGGACCTGGCTCTTCCCAAGCCCTTTATCCGTTTTTGCAGATAATTTTTTTTTGATAGCTGTATTCAGCCATCTGAATTTTGTCTCATTATGAATGTAAGTTAGTTATTGTTTCATTTGGGGCCCACAGCTCCATTCTGCTTAGGTATTCAAGGTTAATATATACATTTAATAAGATAGAAAATACAAATCTTTCCGTTTTTACTAGCATGGTTTAGTGTAGTCAGCTGTTTTGACTGATTACTTCTTGGTAGACAGAAACCACCAAGGAAGAGAGTGGAATTCAGTGAGATGATACAGACGTGACGGGCATGGCCCTTATAACGTACTTCTTCTAGTGAGATGTTACATCCTAAAGTTTTGGGAGTCTTCTGAAATAGTGCTACTATCTAGGGACCAAGCATTTAACATAAGCTTCTGGGGCATTTCATAGTGAAACCATAATACTTTGTCATTTCATTTTCCCTACCAAATTAGTCTTTGTTCCAATAATATTATGAGAATTCTGTTGCAGAATTTATAGTATTGTGCTAGGTGCCTTTGGCTCATGCCTGTAATCCTAGCTACTCAGGAGGATGAGATCTGAGGATCGTGGTTCAAAGCTAGCCTGGGCAAGAAAGGCCTTGAGACTCTTATTTCTAATTAATCACAAAAAACTGTAGCTGTAGCTACAGTGGTAGAGCATTAGCCTTGAGCAAAAGAGCTCAGGGATGGCACCCAGGCCTTGAGTTTAAGCCCTGTGACTGGCACCAAAAAAACCCCCCAAAACAGAATTTATACATTATATATTTTGATCTCATGTTTGTCCATTACACTAATCTTTATAAAAGCCTAAATCTTGTATTCTTCCCAAAGCAGTAGCTTAATGTCTGATGCACTACATACTCAATACTTAATCTAATATTTTAATATGAAATATTTAAAATTTATAGAAAAGTAGAGAAATTACATAGTGAATATTTAGTGATTGAAAGACTGAAATTACTTTGTCTTTGTATTTTTTTTCCCTTTTGAGATTGAAAGGTAATTTATAACCTGTCATTTTATGCTTTATTTTCTACATGTGGTAATTTTAGTCTTAAATAGTTTTAGCAGTGAATTGTTACTGTACTTAGTCCTAGTCTCTGATAGTAGTAGAGTAATAGAACAATTTCTCATCCTATTTTGCTCAATCCTCTCCAAACAGGCTGTCAAGGTTTTTGAGTTTGCATCCCATAAGAGTCTATTGAAAGCTGTAGGAAATGTAAATGTTCATATGTACTCACTATAGAAATAATTACCAAATTATGTTGTACTAGACTCATGATTTTAGGAATTTTCATGATCTTTAGTGTTTTATGTTTTAGGAATTTTCATGATCTTTAGTGTTTTTATGTCTTGATGTGAAATAGATTAGTAAAGCACATACAGAAGTTAAACATTTTTAGGAGGTATACAAAAAATGTTTTATATTCCTGAAGCTTTGTAATCTAATATTAAACTTTTATTTCAGCACTTCTTAGTTTGGATTAATCATGTCTCTCATTTGCTCAGTAGCCAATTTTAGACTTTGCAGGTCCAAACTGTTAAGTCTGTTTGTGGTCCAAACTGTTGAGTCTCACTTATTTTATTTTATTTTTTTGTTGGTTGTGGGGCTTGAACTCAGCCTGGGCGCTGTCCCTCAGCTCTTCAGCTCAAAGCTAGAGCTCTACTACTTGAGCCATAGTGCCACTTCCAGTTTTCTGGTGGTTTTATTGGAGATAAGAGTCTCACCGACTTTCTTGCCGGAGCTGGCTTTGAACTGTGATCCTCAGATCTCAGCTTCCTGAATAGCTAGGATTATAAGCGTGAGCCACCAGTGCCTGGCCAAACTGTTAAGACTTAATATATATGTTGGGTATTTTTCCTTGTTCATGTTTGTGTTATAGCTATCTTATTTATCTTCATTGACTTCTCTTTTAATGATCTACTTTATTAAAAAACACACAGAAAAAAAACCTTGTTAGAATGGTGTGTCAGTAATATATGAGGGACTGGGAGTGCGGCTCAGTGGTAGAATGCTTGCCTAGCATACATGAAGCCCTGGTTCAATTCCTCAGTACCACATAAACAGAAAAGGCTGGAAGGGGCATTGCGACTCAAATGGTAGAGTGGCTAGCCTTGAGCAAAAGAACCTCAGAAACAGTGCCCACACCCTGAGTTCAAGCCCCAGACCAGGAAAAAAAAATAGTATAAGAAAGAAGACTTTCGTAGGTGTTCTTATGAACAGAGGATATAGACTATAGTAGTACTTTGGCTCTACCCAGTTTGCTTACTCTGGAGTTTCTAAATATACTTTACGTGGTTTAAAGCTATCAAAATGTACTCTGTGGTTAAGAAAGGTTTAATTTACTGACCACATTTCTTTAATATCCATTATCTTTCCATTTTGTTCTATTCCCAATCTGTTTGTTAATCTGGAATGTTACATAGAAGTTACATTTATGAGATGCCAGTTTGAGAACTTTTTTTCCCTAATACTTCATATGTAATAAGGAATAAATTATATATTTTTTGGTAACATTAAATGAATACCTACAGTCAGATTATAATCCTCTTTGTAGTTTATTTGTTTGTTTGTTTGTTTTTTGGGTCCGGTCGTGGGGCCTGAACTCTGGGCCTGGGCGCTGTCCCTCAGCTCTTCAGCTCAAGGCTAGCGCTCTACCACTTGAGCCACAGCGCCACTTCCTGCTTTTTTCTTTTTGCTTATGTGGTGCTGGGAATCGAACCCAGGGCCTCAGGCATGCAAGACAAGCGCTCTACCACTGAGCCACCTTCCCAGCCCCCCTCTTTGTAGTTTAAAAAGAAAACTTTCGGGGCTGGGAAGTTGGCTCAGTGGTAGAGCGCTTGCCTTGCATGTCTGAGGTCCTGGGTTCGATTCCTCAGCACCACATAAGCAAAAAGAAAAAAGTCGGAAGTGGCGCTGTGGCTCAAGTGGTAGAGTGCTAGCTTTGAGCTGAAGAGCTGAGGGACAGTGCCCAGGCCCAGAGTTCAGGCCCCACAACCAGACCCAAAAAAGAAAAAGAAAACTTTCCACAAGTATTTTGCATATTTCTCATTTTATAACATACAGATTGCTATTTTGATTATTTTCCATTTGGTGCAAAGGGCATTGAGCATTGATTAAGCAAGGAGAATAAGGATTAGTACCATTGTATTAGTCATAGTTTATTTTTGAGACAGGGATGCATTATATATCTGAGATTAGCCTCACACTCACTCATGAACCTCCTGCCACAACCTCCCAAATGCAGTTTTTTTTTCCTTATTTTAAACTTTTTTTTTTTTCCTGAGACAGGATCTCACCACATAGTTTAAGCTAGCCTCAAAATCATAATCTTATGATCCTGTGATTCTGTTCCTATTGAGTGCTGGGGATTACAAGTGTGCATCACTACACTACCTCTGGCTATTTTACTACTTTTAACTTAGAGGAATTTCTAATTTTTGTTTTTGTTGGTTTTTTCTTTTCTTTTCTTTTTTCTTTAGATTGGGAGGTGGCATCTACTGGTAGCTCTAAGTTCTCAATTCAGTTTCTCTTACTGATTTTTTTTTTTTGTATTAGAAAGCTTTTGCTTTAAAAAATAAATTTATTAATATGACAAGTAAAAATCATTTATATTTATTTTACTTTTTGTTGGTCATGGGGCTTGAACTCTGGGTCTGGCGCTGTCCCTCAGCTCTTCAGCTCAAGGTGAGCACACACCACTTGTGCCACAGAGCTACTTCCACTTTTCTGGTGGTTAATTGGAGATGAGTCTCATGGACTTTCATGTCCAGGTTGGCTTTGAACCATGATCCTCAGATCTCAGCCTCCTGAGTAGCTAGGATTACAGGTGTAGACCACCAGCACCCAGCATCATTTATGTTTATAAAAAAATATTTTATCCAGGCTGGGAAGTTGGCTCAGTGGTAGAGCGCTTGCCTTACATGCCTGAGGCCCTGGGTTCGATTCCTCAGCACCACATAAGAAAAAAGCCAGAAGTGGTGCTGTGGCTCAAGTGGTAGAGCGCTAGCCTTGAGCTGAAGAGCTGAGGGATAGCGCCCAGGCCCAGAGTTCAGGCCCCACAACTGGACCCAAAAAAAGAAAAAAATAGGTGTGTGAGCAATTCTACAATACACATATATATCCAAACACTATACTGGATAAATTTTTTTTTTCTTTTTTTGGGTCCGGTCGTGGGGCCTGAACTCTGGGCTTGGGCGCTGTCCCTCAGCTCTTCAGCTCAAGGCTAGCGCTCTACCACTTGAGCCACAGCGCCACTTCTGGTTTTTTTCTTTTCGCTTTTGTGGTGCTGAGGAATTGAACCCAGCCTCAGGCATGCAAGGCAAGCGCTCTACCACTGAGCCACCTTCCCAGCCCTGCTCACACAACCTATTCCTGCGTACATTGCTTAACATTCTTACTTTTTTGTGGTGTAAAAGTTAAAAATCTATTCTTGGCAATAATATTTCAAGTGTATAATATATTGTTTTAGCTATAGTCTGAAAGCTTTTTATTTTTTTGTTACAGGGAAATCCATGGTACACCTTCCAACTTAAGTCCCAGCCATGTAGAGTCAAAGCATGTATATTGTATAGATGATGTTAATGAAGATACGGTTGAGAGTGGTAACCAGATGTTATGCAATCGAGAACAACAGAATATACGTTGTGATTTTGAGAGCTCTAAATCATCTGTCATGAGTGACACGATTGTTAGGTTTTTAAATGATCGACCAGCAATTGATGCATTGCACAATTCTGAATGTTTAATTAAAATGGGAGCTATGAGAACTGAAGAAGAAATACCTAATAGAGCAAAAAGAAATGAAAACAATTCAAAGCCTTCGGTGAGTCAGATGGACCTTGATGTTGATCCAAAAGTGTTATGGTTAACAGACTCATCTCCGTCATCTACAAGTACTTGTAATTCCCAAAGATTAGACATTTTAAAGCGAAGACAACATGATGTCAAGTTGGAAAAACTCAAGGAGCGAATTAGGAAACAGTGGGAACACTCAGAAGAAATAAATGGCCGGGGCCAGAATCTGGATCATGTTAACCATCCAGTAATGGTTGTTAATGTTGATAGTTCAGTGACAGCAAAAGTCAGGAAAGTGGCAACAGCACCACCTGCTCCAACATATAAAGGTTTGTTTAGTTTTTGTATCTTTCTTTGTCTTCCTTTCTTCTTTCCCTTTTCTCCTAGTATGTACTTTAATAGAGTAGACCATCTTTAGAACAGGTTGTGATTCTCAGATTTGATGCACAAAATAATTATGTCAGTGACATAGATCAAGTGCATTGTACTCATAACCTGACTAATGCAATTGTGATGTCTTTGTACAATAACTTAATAATCCAAAAAAATTATGTCAAGAAAAATGTTGTAAAGGCAGATGCCTAGATTCACCACTAAGTTTCTTGGATGGGATCCAGAATTATAATTTTTTTTTTTTTTTGGTCCGGTCATAGGGCCTGAACTCTGGGCCTGGGTGCTGTCCCTCAACTCTTCAGCTCAAGGCTAGCACTCTACCACTTGAGCCACAGCGCCACTTCCGGCTTTTTTCTTTTTGCTTATGTGGTGCTGAGGAATCGAACCCAGGGCTCAGGCATGCAAGGCAAGCACTCTACCACTGAGCCACCTTCCCAGCTCCCAGAATTATAATTTTTAACAAGTTAGAGGATTCTTAAAGTTTGAGACTCATGAATGTCTAATAAGTTTATATAAAACAGGAAATAAGGATTAGTACTATTTTGAGAGAACAAAGAATACTGTGCTTAATATTTGTAATTAATAGGAATTATTTCAAAATTTAATATTTGTGGTAATATATGTGAATAATCCAAGCTACTTTTATTTATTTATTTATTTATTTTTGGGTCCAGTCGTGGGGCCTGAACTCTGGGCCTGGGCACTGTCCCTCAGCTCTTCAGCTCAAGGCTAGCGCTCTACCACTTGAGCCACAGCGCCACTTCTGGCTTTTTTCTTTTTGCTTATGTGGTGCCGAGGAATTGAACCCAGGGCCTCAGGCATGCAAGGCAAGTGCTCTACCACTCTGCCACCTTCTCAGCCCAATCCAAGCTACTTTGAAGGCTGAGACAGGAAGATTTTAAGTTTGAGGCCATCTTGAGCTAAATAGTAAGTTCAAGGTCATTTTGGGCTATGTAAGACAAGCACGACCCAGTCTGAAAATGAAAACTTTATAACACATTAGGGACATAGCTTGTAGTAGAGCAATTGTCTAGCGTGTACAAGAATCTGAATTTAATAACCAGTATTGAAAATAAAAACTATTTAAAAAAATCAGTTTCTAGTTTCTAGTGAATATTCAAATATTTGGCTAAACATTATTTTGGAACTGACATTAAAACTCAAGTTTTGAGTTTTGCTTTACTGAATTAATTTTTTTCTTGAATTTTTTATTATTGTTATAAAGGTGATGTAGAGAATAGCTATTACATAAGTCAGGTAATGAGTACTTTACTTTTTGGACAATGCCATTCTCATTCTCTCTTTTTTCTTTTTTAGCCAGTTCTTTTTTGATTTTGAGGGATGTCTTTTTTGTTTTGGTTTGTTTTTTGGTTGGTCATAGGGCTTGAACTCTGGGCTTGGGTGCTGTCCTTGCACTCTTCAACTCAAGGTGAGCGCTCTACCCCTTGAGCCACAGGGCCACTTCCGGTTTTCTAGTGGTTTATTGAAGATAAGAGTCTCACGGACTTTCCTGCCCGGGCTGGCTTTGAACTGCCATCCTCCCTCCTGAGTAGCTAGGATTACAGGTGTGAGCCACCGGTGTCCAGCTTCAGAATGTCTATTTTGTATTTATATACCTCAATTTCTTTTCCTTTTTTTTTTTTTTGGTCTGTCATGGGGCTTGAACTCTGGGCCTGGGCACTGTCCGAGAGCTCTTCAGCTCAAAGCTAGCACAATACCACTTGAGCCATAGCACCACTTCCGGTTTTCTGGTGGTTAATTGGAGATCAGAGTTCCACGGTTGTTCCTGCCTGGCCTGGCTTTGAACCTTAGTCCTCAGATCTCAGCCTCCTGTGTTGGAAGCACTAACATGGAACCACTGGTGGAAGATTTTATACCTGACCTCATGCAGTACTTTACAGTCAAAATGCACGTGTACAACACAGTTTATTCAAAATCTCCAAGAGATAAAAAAGAGACTCTTCTAGCCTTTCCCTTTCAGCTGTGATGTGTCTTTACATAGTACATACTCAAATTCCCCTACTCAGCTGCTCAGCCATGTTCACAATGGTTAATAAAATGGCATGTATGTAGGCTGGACTCTGAATAGTATTTACCCATAATAGTGTACATGGCACCAAGACCCATGTACATTTCTCTTAATACCTTTTGCTTATTCTCTGCTTGTGGTGTAAAGATAGTGCTGAAAATGTTTAAATGTTCTACATATGCCCTTATGAGTAGCAATAATTTTTTAAAAAGTGGAAGCATTTATGTTGATCAGTAGCACTGAAAGTCAAGCTGGACAGCAATGTAAATGTATAGTAGAATGTGATGTTGGAATGATCAGCATACATGGCCTGAAGAAACAGAAGCTTTTGAAATTCTATACTCAAAGTGATAAACAGAAAAATATAAAAATACTACATAAAGCTAACGATGAAGGTCTTGATTATGTTTTGCAAGAATGAATCTGTCATCACAGAACACATACCATTGAATGAATGGTATACTAATCATGAAACAAAGATCTATCACAGTGAGCTGAAATTGAAGAGAACTATGAATATTCAAAGGCTGGTTTCAGAAATTTAAGAAAGACCCAGTTTTAATTTTTTACAGATTTGTGGTGATAAAGCATCTGCTATTTACAGAACCACAGATACTCAATGTCTAGTTTGCCAAAGTCATTGCTGTTGAAAATCTGATACTAGTCAGTCTATAATACTGATGAAACATCACTATTTTGGCATTATTGCCCCAGAAAGATCTTAACTACAACTGATGAGACAGCCACCACAGAAATTAAGGATGCAAAGGACAGAATAACCATGCTGGGAGGTGTTAATGCAGCAGGCACGTGCTTGGTGTGAACTTGCTGTGACAGGCAAAAGCTTGCATAGTTTCTATTATTACTCCTAACAAAAGGCATGGATAACTGAGAACATCTTTTCTGATTGATTTCACAAACGTTTGTACTAGCAGCTTGTTTTCACTGCTGGGAAGCTGGATTGTATGATCACTACAAGATTTTGTTATTCCTTCACAACTGTTCAGTTTATCTTAAAAAATATTACTTACAGTATAAAAGGGTATATAGCTCAGTGCTAAGGAGCTCATAGTAACCTTGGGATTTGATCTCCAGCACCACAGAAAAACTTAAACCTAAAAGCAGTGCCCCCCCCCCCCCCAGCAACCCCTCCAAATGATGTTTATGCCATATTGTGAATAAATGTGGCATAATTAATATGACTGTTAATTAAACTATGTGACAAGGATGTCCTCAGATCAATGAAGAGAATAAAAATACTTTCTGGAATAGCATGCTAAAAGTCATCAGAGGTATAAGTTTGGAACGTTTTCAAAGTATAACAAGAGGACACTTACTTATGCTGTTGTCACTGCTTGGAACGTCTGGCCTACAGCTGTTCAGTTGTAGGTACTAAACACAGTGGTGTCAAGTGACAAAAAGATGTACAACCTCACATATGCAAACCTTTGGAGTCTTATCAGTAAGCTGGAGGAAGTGAAGATTGAGGTTTTGAATATCAATAATGAGGCCATAATTTGTTGACTAATTTTGAAATAGCTAAAATGATTCTGAAACATGGCGGTCATGACAATAGCAATGATGAAGATGTGAAGTTAACACTGCAGAAAAAAATGTAGTTGTACTGATAAGCGTGATGTGCTTATTGGAGGACTTAGAGCAATGTGTATTCATAACTAAAATAAATCATGTCAATTTATAAAGCAGAGGCAAGGAATGATTTTTAACACAATTTGCTAATGAGTAGGTGACTCTGGGGAAAAAAAAAACCGCATATCAAAACATCTTAAAAAGGCATTCACAAGAATGCTTCTTCGTTCTAGAGGTGCTATTTCCCAATTGCTTAACTGCTTCTTGTGTTTTTTTTCTCACCGAAAGAAGGAAAATTTGATGGACAGTAACTTGTCAGTCATAACTCAGCCTTGTATAAACTGAAAGTTGCTATTTGCTGTTTTTGTTGTTTGAAGCAGCTGATGCAGGGATTCTAGTGATGTTTCTATGTTGCAGAGTTACAAACTTTTCTCTGTAATCATACAATATTTTTTACTGTTAATTCACGCAGAAATTAATGTTAGAAAATGATTGCTATATGGTAGTGTATAAATTCAATGTGAGAACTGATAGTGATGTCATACAAACAAAAGTTATAAAGCAATTTTGATAATCTGTATTGTTGGCCTGTGTTAGGTTTCAACCCTTCAGAGACTAAGATTCGCACACCTGATGGGAAAGTGTGGCAAGAGGCAGAATTTCAGCACCTGAGTAGAGAACTGTACCGAGACTTAGCACTTCACCTTGCAGGTGAGAGTAGTATTTTTTTAAATTTTATCATACAACTTATCTAATAATTTTAAACATGAAAATATTACTGAAGTATTTATTGAGTGTTAAAAATTTTCCCTTTTCTAACAGCATTGTATAAACTAAAGTAGTAGTGATTTGAGTCATGAGGCCAATTTAGCCTCTAGGCTCTCTTCCAAGGTTAAAATTGGCCTACATGGTTGGTGAAACAGAAACTAGGCTATTTTTAAAGGAGGGACTATTGGAATTAAGACTGTCTGGGGGGGGGGAGGGGAGGAGGTTTGGGTGGAAAGGTAGGGATCGGATGGGATGGGAAGGGGAAACAAAGGAGGAGGCTACAATGCTTGATAAGAAATATACTCATTATCTTGCCCATGTAATTGTAACCCCTCTGTACAATATTTTCACAATAACAAAAAAAAGAAGAAAAAAAAAAAGACTGTCTGGTTTGAAGGTTAAGATGGGAGAGCCTAATCGAGGCAGAATAGATGAAAGAAAGATAAACATTTGAGATGAAGTGTATTTAGAGAACTGGAAATAAGAGGAACCTATGCAAGATGGAAAGAGAAATAGAAATATTACAGTAATAATGTTGCTACTTACAACATGTAGTGTTATCGAGCAAGATGCTAGATGCTTAATTTTGTGACCTTTTTTTATTTTGCATGCTAGTTCTGGAGCTTGAACTCAGGGACTGGGCACTTGCTACACTGACAATCACTCCATGTCAGTTATTTTTATTTATTCAATACTGGGATTTGAACTCAGAGCCTCTTGCTTACTATGTAACTGAGCCATACCAGCAGTCCTTTTACTTTAGATTTATTTCAGATAGTTCCTCACACTTTTGCCCAGGGCTGATGTATTTTGACCTCTGCTTCCTGCATACCTTGTCCACCAGAGTGGACCATCAAACCTGACTTGGCTTGTTGAAATAAGTAAGGCCTTACTGATTTGCCAGGACTGGACTCGAACCTTGATCTTCCCATCTTCACCTTCACGTGGCTAGCATTAGCATGTGCTGATATATCTATCTGGTACTATATTAGTTGATCTAATCCTTTCATTTATTCAGACTCAGATCTTTCCCCTACCTATTTCTCTCATACCTTATATCAATATATTTTTCTGAAATATATTGATAATATAACCACTTTTACTCCTCTGTAACTATCCAGTATCTAAGCCTAAGCCACAATCAATTTCTTCCCTGTTATTATTGGGGTGATAATCCTAACGGGTCTCCTTTCTTTTTTCCTTTGTCTCATGAGTTTTTATTTTTATCATAGCTGCCAGAGTAAGCTTGTTAAAGTTTAATTTAAATCATGTAACTCTTTTTGTTTCAAAGCTTCCAGAATCTTTTCATCCCACATTTAAGAGCTGATGTTCTTTTCTTTGTTTTAAAGTTAATTATAAATTTTAATCTGTGATAGAAAAGTGTTAGTTAGACACTAGAAAACAAAATATAGTGAACAGATTCAATTTTGTACATACTTCTGTGGATTTGACCATATTGTATTTTGTTTGCCTTCTGAAAACCACATTATATAGCAAAACTATATAAATACACAGCCAGGTGCCAGTGGCTCATGCTTGTAATCCTAGCTACTCATATGGCTGAGATCTCAGGACTGCAGTTCAAAGCCAGCCCAGTCAGGAATATCTGAGACTCTTATTACCAATGAACCACCCAAAAGCCCTATGTAAAAATGTGGCTCAAGTGGTAGTATCAGCTTTAAGCTAAAAATCTAAGGGACAATTTCCCAGGACCTGAGTTCAAGCCCAGAATATGAACACACACACACACACACACACACACACACACACACACACACACACACACACACACACACACACACACACACACACACACACACACACACACACACACACACACACACACACACACACACACACACACACACACACGGTAGTATCAGCTTTAAGCTAAAAATCTAAGGGACAATTTCCCAGAATATGAACACACACACACACACACACACACACACACACACACACACACACACACACACACACACACACACACACACACACACACACACACACACAGGTAGTATCAGCTTTAAGCTAAAAATCTAAGGGACAATTTCCCAGGACCTGAGTTCAAGCACACACACACACACATACACCCTTAAAATTCTTACACACACACACACACCCTTCTTAATTGTTATTACAGATGTGGTATAGTATTTACTAACTCCACACTAAACAGCAGGCATATTTACCCAGGAGGCTGAGATTTGAAGGATCTAGCCCGGGCAGAAAATTCCTTGAGTTTACATCTCCAGTCAGTAAAATACCAGACCAGAGGTTTGGCTCATGTAGATGCCAGCCATGACTGATCCAGCTGAGTAAGAGCACAAGTCCCTGAGTTCAAACCCTGGTATAGGCAACAAAGAAAAAAATATTAAAAAAAATCACCACATTAACCCACTGAATCCATTTAACTCAGTAATACATTCCCTCATGTAGAATAAAATACAAAACTCCAAAAGTTCCATGAAATCGTAATTTCTCCAGTGTAGTCAGGGCCAGGGGACACTAAGGGTATTGCATATACCATCTTGCCTGTATCAATGTACATATTCTCAGAAGAGCTGAAATTCTTACGGTTCTATAAACCTTGCCTAATCTGACTCAATTATTATAACATTTCCTACTATTCTCTGGTTACTCACTCTGACTTCCTTAGTGTTTCTTCACAGTTTGTTTCTGCTTTAGGGCCTTTTACTTATATTTACCTGCTTATAATGCAGAGCTCTACATGTCTTTTCAAATTGCATATATTCATACATACAACTGAGGTTAAGTTTTTAAATTTTTATGTATAGTAGTATCTTTCCCCAGACCGGTATTAAAAAAATGAGCAGTAATTTGTCTGTGAAATACCTATTTGAAATACACAAATACCTATTTGAAATACACAAAACACACAAATATCTATTTGAAATATACAAATCTAATTATAAAAAACTTTACTTTGAGACTATTGACTATGTAGAATTTTTTAAATGAGCCAAGCACTCATGGTGGTTCATGCCTGTAATCCTAGCTACTCAAGGGGCTGAGATCTGAGAACCATGGTTCAAAGCCAATCTGGGCAGACAAATCTTTGAGACTCTTATCTTCAACTAACCATAAAAAGCTAGAAATGGAGGTGTGGCTTAAGGGGTAGAGCACCAGCCTTGAGCAAAACAGCTATGTAAGGGCTGGGAAGTTGGCTCAGTGGTAGAGCGCTTGCCTTGCATGCCTGAGGCCCTGGGTTCGATTCCTCAGCACCACATAAGCAAAAAGAAAAAAGCCGGAAGTGGCGCTGTGGCTCAAGTGGTAGAGCGCTAGCCTTGAGCTGAAGAGCTGAGGGACAGCGCCCAGGCCCGGAGTTCAGGCCCCACAACCGGACCCCCCTCCTCCCCCCAAAAAAAACCAGCTATGTAAGAGTATGAGGCCCTGCATTCAAGTCCTAGTACCAATACACACAAAAATTTTTTAAAATGAGATAGGAATCTATGAAAGCACTTGCTTTGAAATTTTATACATGATCCTGGCTTTGAAAACATTATTGTAGCTTTTTTTCTATTTGTGAGAATGAAGTAAATTTTAAAAAAAAAATTTTTTTTTTTTTGGTCCAGTCCTGGGCCTGAACTCTGGGCCTGGGCGCTGTCCCTCAGCTCTTCAGCTCAAGGCTAGCGCTCTACCACTTGAGCCACAGTGCCACTTCCGGCTTTTTCTTTTTGCTTATGTGGTGCTGAGGAATTGAAATCAGGGCCTCAGGCATGCAAGGCAAGCGCTCTACCACTGAGCCACCTTCCCAGCCCTGAAGTAAATTTTTAACAGGTCTTCTGATGGAAGAAAAATCAAATAGTTGGAATCTAACAATGAAATAGTGGAGTGGTAATTTCCAGATTTTTCTAGGAGGAGTTGACATTGGTCATAGTAATATATATTAGCTTGTCGTAATAACAGTTCACTTTGAAAGTTTCTTTGTCCCATCGTCAATATTGTGTTTTATAATTTAGTAGTATTCCATCTTGTCCACTGGAAATACTTCCAAGAACCCCAGAGGATGCCTGAATAACACTAAACCCTATTTATTCAGTTTTTTTCCTATACATACTAGTGATAATATTTAATATATAAATTCAGTATAGTAAGAGGTTAACTATGACTTATTGTAGATTGTAGCAGTTTTTTTCAGCATGTAATTCTTTGCCTCTATTAAATCAGCAACTTTCTCTTATTTGGCATACTCAAATTGCCATCATTACGATTCTTGAGCTTGGGGGTCATTAAAATAAAGTTTGCTTGAATACAAGTTCTACAGTACCATAATAGGCACAGTCCAATTATTAAGATGGCTACAGAGTGACTAATCAGTGAGTAATAGACCGGTAACATACACAGCATAGATATGCTCAATAAAGGGATGGCTTGCTTTGGGATGGATGGAACTGGTTAATGAAAGATTTCATCATACTACTCAGAATGAAGTACGGTCTACTAATTGTAAATTGTTTATTTTTGGAATTTTCCGTTTAGTGTTTTAGACTGCGCTTGTACTTGGGTAACTGAAACTGTAGAAAGCGAACCACTGATATGGGGGGAATATTATACTGATAATAGTTTTCTTAGTAGGGGAGGATTGGAAGATGAGAGGGAAGCATAATGATTTGCTGTAAATGTTTCTGGTTTTCAGATGATACCTCTTTAAGAGAGAAACCTGCTGAAAAAATTAAAGAGAAGAAAGTGGTCAAGCCAGTACGAAAAGTCCAAAAGGTAACACAGTTATCAAGTCCAGAATGCAAAACAGGTTAGTTTTTCAATAGCATGTTCATCCTAAAGTTATATATTGTTGAAATCGAATTTTTTAAAAATTGTATACCTTTTATTATTTATGCAGGGAATGAGGTGAAACCCAATACATTCATGTGAATTATAGACCTAAATGTAAAAGAATCATAAAGCTAGCTAACTATTCAGGAGGCTGAAATCTGAGGATCATGGTTTCAAGCCAAGCAAGGCATAACTTTTGTCTATTTTCAATTCAAAATAGTTTTATTCTTTTACTTTTTAAAAATTTTTAAAATTATCTTTAAGTAGTTGTACAAAGAAGTTCCCATTCTACAAAACAGTATGTGAGTACAAAGTGTCTGACAACATTGGCATCCATCTCTCTTAACCCATCCCTTCTCTCACTTTTTCAAATCGAATTTATACGGATATAAATATCTATTAATAGGAGTTTTCATTATTTAGCAATATGAAAATCTGATATATATGTCATTATTATGTGTCCTTTAAATTATAATTGACAGGATAATGCATATTTATTTACAGCTGTACAATTTGAAAGGTTTCATATCTGTGTATATCCATAAAATTTTATTCATATGTGTATAATTCTAAACACTACCTCCAAGTCTTTTTCTATCATTTTTTAAAGATATAATTTTATTGTTACTATTAAGGTGTTATATAGAGAGGTTATTTCATAAGTCAGGTAATGAGTATATTTCTGTTTTGGACAGTGTCATCCCATCCTTTGTTTTCTCCCACTTTCCTCCTCCTCTTCCTGCGTACACTCTTTAAGCACCCCCCTCCCAAAGAAAGAAAATAAACTCCAAAGCAAAAACAAACAAAAAAACCCATGTCTCCCTTTCCTGGAATTCTATCATTATTTTTAATAGAAACCAACCAGGTTAAATATCAGTATTTTAAAGTAATGATACATATGTACATACATACAAACACATCCATACATGGAGAAAAAGCCCTGGCTTTATGTGAGGCACTGTACTATATACTGTACTAAACTTAAGCAATGATCATGAAGATGCACAATTCCTTCTTTTGTAGAGTAGATATAAATTACAATAAAGTGTGTTACATGTGTTAAGTGATCACAAGGTCATCAGGGATGTAGAATAAGAATGATGAGCCAGGCCCCAGTGGCTCACGCCTGTAATCCTAGTTCCTCAGAGGCTGAGATATGAGGATCACGGTTCAAGGCCAGCCTGGGCAGGAAAGTCCATGAGACTCTTATCTGCGATAAACCATCAGAAAACCAGAAGTGGTGCTGTGGCTCAAAGTGGTAGAGTGCTAGCCTTGGGCTGAAGAGCACATGTACAGTGCCCAAGCCCAGAATTCCAGCCCCATGACTAACCCTCCCCCCCAAAAAACTTTTTTTTTATAAGAACATGAATAATCTCAGTATTTCAGTAGTAACTAGTTCTTAAATCTAAAACTACTATTATTTTCATTTAGTATTTATGTAAAATACTGCTGTCAGGATCATAGTTTCAAGTGAAACCAGGGAACAGTGTAACTTGCAAACATTAACTTTAGATCATGTTTATCCAGTTTTCTAGTAGTCTGAGTTTTGTGGATCCAGACAGAAAAATCATTAAATGTGATAAAGCTATATTAATAGTTTATCTAGTGAAAGTTATCTTCCATTGACTCTATGAGACTTTTTAGGTAGTCAGAATTTAGAAACAATCACAGAACATATTGAGAAGCTAACATTTATGAATGGCTACCCAGTGTACTTGTTTGTTTTTGTTTTGCCAGTCCTGGGACTTAAACTCAGGGCCTAGGCACTGTCTCTGATGTTCTTTTGCTCAAGGCACTTGAGCCACAGAGCTATGTCTGGCTTTTCTGTTTATGTGGTACCGAGGAATCGAATCCAGGGCTTCATGAATATTAGGCAAGCACTCTACCACTAAGCTACATTCCCAGCCCTTGTTTGTTTTTAACTCAGAAAGTTGAGCTAAAATTGAAAAGACACCTGGCTGGCTTATTCTTCTCTCCCTCCTTCTGTCACTCTCCCTTCTTCTCTTGAACTTCCTTTACTTCCTGTGCAATGACCACTGAACAACACCTCTAGACCCTCCCCCCTTTTTTGCATTGGTTATTTTTTAAAAAATATTTTTTATTGTTAGCGGGGTGCAAGTGGCTCACACCTGTAATCCTAGTTACTCAGGAGGCTGAGAACTGAGGATCACAGTTCAAAGCCAGCCCGGGCAGGAAAGTCTGTGAAACTCTTATTTCCAATTTATCACCAGAAAATTGGAAGTGGCACTGTAGCCCATAGTAGTAAGAGTGCTAGACTTGAGTGAAAAACCTCAGAGACAGCATCCAGGCTCGTAAGTTCAAGCCTCACAAACAACAAATATTATTAAGATGTTGTACAGAGGGGTTACCATTTCATAAGTCAGGTAATGAATACAGTTCTTTTTTTATTCTGTACTGAATACCATGGTTGAATTCAGGGCCCTACTCCTTGAAGTTTCAGAAATAATTATGATTTGGTACTTAATTTTCAAAGCATTTGACATTGAAATGTAGCAAAGCAAGATATAAACAATCTGTTAGGGGCTGGGAAGGTGGCTCAGTGGTAGAGCGCTTGCCTTGCATGCATGAGGCCCTGAGTTCGATTCCTCAGCACCACATAAGCAAAAAGAAAAAAGCCGGAAGTGGTGCTGTGACTCAAGTGGTAGAGTGCCAGCCTTGAGCTGAAGAGCTGAGGGACAGCGCCCAGGTCCAGAGTTCAAGCCCCACGACCGGACCCAAATAAACCAAAAAAACCCCCCAACAATCTGTTATCCAATTGTAATGTCTTAGAGTTAAAATATACTTATGTTGTGAGCCTTTTGATTTTGATGAGAGGTAAATGTAAATTATTACATCTATATAGCTAAGTCAGTGTACTTAAGGCTAAAATATAAGTTTTAGATTTCAATGCATTATATATATTTTAGGGAATAGTCATCTGATAAGCACCTCTTCTTGGCGAGATGGACAAAAACTAGTAAAGAAGATTCTGGGACCTGCACCGAGAATGGAGCAAAAAGAACGAAGAACAGCATCAAGTGACAGAAGTGGAAGAGAAAAAGCTAATAAATCTGGTGGGTGGCTTTAATTAACATTGTTGCAAAAAATATTCAATGACTCCCACATGTAATCCTAGCTACTCAGGAGGCTGATACCTGCAGGATTGTGGTTTGATAGCAGCCTAGGCCTAAATGCCTAGGAGACTCTCTCTCCAAAATAACTGGTAAAGAGTCAGCTAGAGGTGTGGTTAAAATACCAGTCAAGCATGTGGAGTAAGCACAAGACCCTGATTTCACCACACACATGCACATACAACCTTTCTTTTCTTTCTTTTTCCCCCACCCCTATGCCATGTAAGACCTTAGGAAAGTACTAATAGGAATGCTTTAAGACTTTAAGACTTCTCATTCTTTTTTTTCTTTTCTTTTTTGTGGGTCATGGGGCCTAAACTCTGGGCTTGGGTACTGTCCCTCAGCTCTTCAGTTCAAGGCTAGCACTCTACCACTTGAGCTATAGCGCCACTTCTGACTTTTTCTACTTATGTGGTGCTGAGGAATGGAACCCAGGGCCTCATGAATACAAGACAAGCACTCTACCACTGAGCCAGTCCTTTTTTTTCCTTTTTTATGATTACAGCTCAAAAAGGAGAAAATTTGCTGTTAAGCTTGTCCGGATAATCTCTACATATGTTAATGTTCATCTTTACTAAGAATTCAGTTTTAAATTACATTAATTACTTTAGCTGTCATTGTGACTATCAGTGTATTATTTCAATCAAATATGTTTTGGGCTTTAGAATCAAGCCACTTGGTCTCATATACAGGCAAGCATTCAAAAGATTACATATTATTACTGTTACTCTTCTTGTTTTTGTTATTCTGTTATAATTTGGACAGTTTAAAAAACAGGCCCTGAAAACAAGTGATTTTTTTTTCTGGGATATATAATCAAGGATGGCAAAATTTGATGTAAGATCTAGAACTCAAAAAATTTGACCCTGAAATCCATTGCTTTATTCTTTTTTTTTCAAGTGTGCTTATGTGTATTTTAACACATATTTTTAAAAGAAGACAAAGGCTTTACACACCCATATGCTTCAAGACGCTAATTTTACAGTTGTCTCTGAGACTCCAAACTACACACTTAGTAGGGGGTAGGGACATCAGGAAAGAAGGACTTTGATTGCACAGTAAGACTCCTGTCTACACTGTCTTATACTTAGAATACCATCCCTTGACAAAAACTGTTGCAAAGCAGGGGGAGCTAGGCCAAGAGAAAAGATTCCAGGACTACTGCAGTATTGCTGAGTTTGTGGAACTTTCCTGAACTTGTTACTTTACTCAGAAAGAAATTCCAGACTTAACGAGTTCAGTATGTAGGCCAAAGAGCAGGGAAGAAAAGCTGGGTACACACCTTGTAAGGCTCTTTCCTTAATCTCCTCTACTCCATTCACTCTCAACCAACCTCAACTCAAAGGCTGCACCATCTTTAAGTTATACCTCATTTGCATATGAGCCTTTCCTTTGGTCTCTAGAGGCTCTTACAATGACCTTTGCCAAGTTCAATCAAGAGTAACCATACCCTTCACTTGCAAGTCACCCTCTAGTGACCACTACAGTTCATGGCACAGCATGAACTGTCGTATTGGTAGCTTTTGTGCTCATAAAGAGCTGGTGAGAGGCTTTGTGTTCCCCACCTCGTGTCCCATCTTGGTCATTACTTTATTCTTTTTGTAGTACCTTGAGTGCTGCTATTTGACTAACTTATTTTTTTTTCATTAATACTAACTTTTTCTTTTTTTCCCTGGTATCAAGGCATGAACTGTGATCTTTTTCAGCTTACTTGCTCATGGCTGGCACACTAGCATTTGGTCCACACCTCCAACCTGCTTTTTTTGCTGGTTAATTCAAGATGGATTCTCACTGACTTTTCTGCTCCAGTTGGCTTCAAACTTAGATCTTTCATATCTAAGATTACAATCCATGAATGACCCCATGGATAAGCCATCCATTTCTAGCACATTAATGCTAGTTTGAGAAATGAACTATTAATACCTATAGGCCAGTTTTTCTTTCTGGGGAAAGGGTTGATCCTGGGGTGTGAACTCAGGGCCTTCATTTGATCAGTTTACTTGCTCTGGTGGCACTCTGCCACTTAAGCCATGCTTCCAACCCTGTTTTTTATTGGTTATTTTGGACATAGGAGAATTATCTTCTTTTTCTGCCTAAACTAGCTTTGAACTGTAAGCTTTCTGGCTTCAGTAGGCATGGGCCACCAAACACTTGTCCAGCTTTTCTTTTGAGAAGCAAAATTTGCCTTAGCTAATTGTGTTTCTGGAATAGATTCAGTAAGTAATGCAGTCATAATTGCAATAATGTACTTTATATTTCTTCCTCTTCATGTTTTTCCATCTTTTTTCAAATAAGCTAACTCATATGCATTATAAATTAAGCCATGTCAACAAATATTGAGATGATAAAGTGATTGCTTTTATATATGCTGTTTATTATTTATTTATGTATTTAGTGATACTGGGATTTGAACTCAGAGCCTTGTGCTTGCTAACTAAGCAGGTCCTATACTGATTAGTTATAGCTCTAGCCCCTTTTTGGACTGTCTTAATTTTGAGATTGCAAAAAAGATCTCACTTCATACCTGGGTAATGCCTGGACTGTGTTTTACAGATATTATTAAAATATAAATGTGGGCTGGTCACTGGTGGCTCACACCTGTAATCTTAGCATCAGGAGACTGAGATCTAAGGATTGTAGGTTCAAGCCAGCCCAGGCAGTAACGTCTGAGAAAGACTCTTCAGTTACCTAGCAAAAAGCTGAAAGTGGAGCTGTGGTTCAAGTGATAGAGAGCCAGCTTCAGAAAAGCTAAGGGACAACATCCATGCCCTGAGTTCATGGCCCAGTAACAGCAACACAAAAAAATAACAACTTTTTTTTAATATGTTTTGGTTCTAACTAATATGCCTTTGCTTAAAAATTACTGATTTCTAAGCAACATTTTTTTTAAAAAGGGAAATATGCATGTGAGATAGAAATAATAATGTTAAATATTCATATTAACCATAAGGAACATTAAAAGAAATCCAAGGAAATAAGGCTTTTTCAAAGTACTGAAATTCTTTTACTGCTAAAAAAGGGAATTTTCCTTCCTTTTATAGCATTCTTTAGACTAGGATATGTAAATTTGGGTTTAAGATCAATTTAATTTTCTTTCTTTTACGTATTACATGCTTTTACTACAATTTAATTTTCTTTCTTAATTTTCCCTTACTTCATTTTTATACTTTATATGCTTTTGTTATAAAACATCTGATCAAAAGAAAGAAATTCTTCCTTTGGTATTTGCTAGGTTTTTTATTATTAAAATAAATCTTAAGAGTGAATATAGAATTTTCATGTGTCACCAACAATTCATACATTCCAGGGGCTCATATTGGAAGAGCAGAATCCGATCCTAGGTTGGATGTTTCACATAGACATCTTCCTCGCAGCTCAGAACGTTCAAGAAGTAGAACTCGCTCTGAAAATAATATAAAGAAATCTGCGCCGTCTCTTCTAGACAATAAGCAAGAGGATAATGTTGCCTTAAACAAGGACTTTTTACCTGTTGAAATTCGTGGAATTCTTGATGACCTGCAGCTGGATTCCACAGCTCAGACTGTGAGGCAAGAGACTGGAGAGATACAGAATCCAAAGTTATCCGCATCTGTACCAGCTTCTCGGAGTCATAGCCTAGTGAAAAGAAAACCTGACAAAATAACAGCTAATGAAGATCCCCCTGTCATTTCCAAAAAGCGCCACTATGACACAGATGAAGTACGACAATACATTGTTAGACAACAGGAGGAAAGGAAAAGGAAACAAAATGAAGAGAAGAAGGCTCAAAAGGAGGCTACTGAACAGAAAAACAAACGATTACAAGAGCTCTACCGGAAACAGAAAGAAGCCTTTACTAAAGCAAAAAATGTGCCTCCATCTGATCCATCAACAGCTAGGCGACTTCAGGAAACGTACTCCAAACTGCTAATAGAAAAGACTTTGCTGGAAGAGCCAGCCCATCAACATGTTACACAGGAAGCACAGGTAATAGTAGCAGAAACACGAAGGTCAGAAAAAAGTTATTTCCTATACAATGTTATTTAAAAATTACCCACCATCCTATTATTCAGGTAAATGCTCACATAATATTTTTAACAGTCATGGTCTTTTATGAAATTTATTACATATGAAGAAAAATTTGGACAATATGATGGGAAAAAAAGAGATGAAGAATAGCATTGATTGCTACTGATGTTCTTTGTCATTGCTATTATATTCCTGCTTAGTTGTCATTATAGTACTGAGTAAATACTTAGCCTATAATATGTAAGCTAGATTACGTTAATGAAATATTTAGTTTGGTATATTTTTCAAAATTAGAAAACATTTTCGTTTGATGTGCTAATGTTTTTAGAATAACTGAATATGCATTGAGGTATTGCACACTGTTGTAAAGGCTTTGTTTAATATGATTAAGCTTTAGTAAATCATAACCCTGCAAAGGTTAGGTAAACTACATTTTTTACTTATTTTGAAAAAACAGGGTAAAAAGGATATTACTTCATCCTAATTATGCAGTTAGGATTAGATGTCCTGCTTGGATTTTAGATGATGTTTGCTGTTAATTATAATAGTTGTTTTTAAGACAAACTGAATTTGATTGTTTTATTATGTGGAAAAATCCTCTGGTTTATCGATTCATTAAAGTTAAGATCATTCTGATAGTTATACTGAAATGACTTATGAGTTCCTTATGTGCTACTTGAAGAGATCTTCGTGATGAGATGGCTTTTTCTTCTAGGCAAGACCAGGGTATCAGCCATCTGGGGAATCTGATAAAGAAAACAAAGTACAGGAGCGTCCCCCAAGTGCATCTTCCAGTAGTGACATGTCTCTGTCAGAACCACCACAGCCTCTTGCAAGGTAAAAAAGAGAATGAAAGATAATTAAGATTCTATCATTTAATTAAATTTATTGTAGTCTTATGTTAATTTACCCTATGCCTTACTTAGGTTTTCAAATGTTAGCTGTGATTGATTGATTGATTGTGCTGGTGATTGAATTTAGGACCTTGCATATGCTAGACAAATGCTTTTCCAAACTGTATCCTCAGCCCTTTAAGTTACGTTCCTCGTATAATTAAGTTTCCTCTACTATTATATTTCTCACTAGTTGTCATGTAATATAAACTAGAATACATTACTGAAAAACTTAATTTTATGTATTTATCAGAAGTAAAAAATATTCTATTTTGGTGTGTTTTAAGAATAAGAACTGAATGTATACCAGGTATTACACACAATTTTAAAAGCTTCAGTGCAGGGTATAATCCATTGTCAGTGTCAGTTCCTTCTTTAGTTGGAAACACTGTTGTCTTCACTGAACCAAACACATAATGAAATTTTGTTAGGTGGATATATCACAGCATAAAGTTGCATGGTTACACATTATACTTTGAAGAGGAAGATTTTGAAACTCTTAAGAATGCACAAATAGAAATCAAATCATTTTACAGTTTGTGGTTAATGCACACCATCCTCTTTTCTCTCACCCAGAAAATAAGATTGATAATATAGCTAATATTTATTGAACATTTCTTAGGTTTCAAGTATTTTGGGCTAGGGCTCAAACTCAGAGCCTCATGGATGGTAGCCATTTAAGAGATCTACCACTGAGTCAGATATTTAGTACAGACATAATTGTCTTTTCTGTTTCATAGAAGAGATGACTGAGACTTAGAATTAAATGTGTCTTCTCAAAGTCAAAACATTAGTGGTGGAGATAGTTTTGAACTTGGGCAGTATGACTCCAAAAGCTAATGCTTTAGCTAATGCTAAAGGTATGCATTTCATTCTAATAAGTAAAATGTTTCAAATGATTTGTTTACTGTTACAAATAAATTTGTAAATTTCAATCAAACACAAACTTTTATAAGTTGTAAATACTTTCTGGGTAGGGAATTCTCTTCATTTCACTATTGCTGTCAACCTACCTTATTGGATTCATGTCTCTAATTTTTACCTTTCTCTGAGATGTTTTATAATTCTAAACAAGTTACCCAGTATTAGAAGCACTCCAAACAGAAATCTTTTGTCAGATTCTAGTACCTGTTTCTCCCAACTTTCCCTCCTTCCTTTTAAATTTGTTGGTGTGTGTGTGTGTGTGTATGCACTGGCCCTGGGGCTTGAACTCAGGGCCTAGGGATTGTTCTTGAGATTTTTTGCTCAAGGCTAGTACTCTGTCCCTTAGCCTCTTAGTCACCCCACTTCCGGCTGTTTTTTGGTGCATAATTGGAGTTAAGAGTCTCACAAACTTTCCTGCCCTGGCTGGCTTCAAATTGCAATCCTCAGATCTCAATCTCCTGGGTAGCTAGGATTATAGGCATGAGCCACTGGTATCCAGCTTTAAAAAACAAAACCCCCAAAAACCAAACCTGACACATAAAAATTGAACATACAATTTAGAAGGTATTGTGTGTCATGTTTTAATATGTATATACATTGTGTCTCCTTCCTCTTACTATCAATCCTTTGACCTATGGTACCTACTTGTTGCTTTCATTTTCTTACTTCATTTTTCCTGTTTACATCATTCTAAGAATCATTTTATTTTTTGGATTTGAACTCAGGATCTTACGCTTGCTATATACTTATGTGCTCTACCACTATGCCATGCCTCTAGCCCTTTTTCTATTGGTTGTTGTTTGATACTGTCTCATTTTCTGCCTACATAGCCACAGATGCTATTCATCATAGTTGGGATGATACTCATCATGTCTTACCTTCTTTCTGCTAAGATGGAGTCTCATAGACTTTTTTGTCTGACCTCGTCTTGAACTATGATCCTTTCATTTTTAGCCTCCTAAGTAGCTAGGATTATTGATGTTTACCACCATTTTATTTTATTCTTAGAATATTGCATTTCTTTTCCAAGCTTTTATTTTTGTGTGGGTGAGAGGTGAGGTTGTGCCTAGCTGGGGCTTGAACTCAGGGACTGGGTGCTGTCTCTTAGTTTTTTCACACAAGTTGAAAATATTATGCCACTTGGGCCACAGTTCCACTTTGGACTTTTTGCTGGTTAATTGGAGATAAGAGTCTGGACTGACTTTTAGTCATGATTCTTCAATTCTCAGCTTCATGAGTAGCTACGATTATACATTTGTACCACTGGTACTGAGCTACTTTTCCATACTTTTCAATGCCCTATAATTTTATTACCTACCTGGAAAACTCCACACTATATATTTGACCTTGAACACTTTGAGATTCAACTAAAAAGTCACTTTGCTAGGCCAGCCATCTACATCGTATTGAACTTCATATATCTTTGCTTTAAAAGTCGTATAATCTTGTACTTCAGTTGTTTATTAATTTGTCAGCCTTGCTAGATCTTAAAACCATCAGGAAAAGTTTGAATCTTAACTGGACTAAGTGTTTTATTTTTATTTCCCCTGTTTTTCTGTCAACATAGCACTTGCATAAAATTGCCTCTCTTAAATATTTGAATTTAAAACACTTTTGGTATCTTTTCTTTCTTCTTTTTTTGACCTCAGAGACTTTTGCTTGCTAGCATGCATACTACTACTTTTCTTTTTTTCTTCTTTTTTTTTTATTTTTGGGTCCAGTTGTGGGGCCTGAACTCTGGGCCTGGGCGCTGTCCCTCAGCTCTTCAGCTCAAGGCTAGCGCTCTACCACTTGAGCCACAGCGCCACTTCTGGCTTTTTTCTTATGTGGTGCTGAGGAATCGAACCCAGGGCCTCAGGCATGTAAGGCAAGTGCTGTACACACACTGAGCCACCTTCCCAGCCCCTGCATACTACTACTTGAGCCAACTTCCAGAACTTTTTAAAAATTTTTCTCACTAGGGTTATACATATGTGCCTTGGCTAGCCTTCATTAATATCTCAGGATGCTATAATTTCCTTTGTATTCCTATTACTAGTAGCTTAGCTTAGACCCTAATGTCTTTCATTTTTAACAGCCTGTATTCTGTGACATATAATCTATATTCTAGTTTTCTTTGTTTTTCCTTTTTGGTCCCTCATGGGCTTGAACTCTGGGCCTGGGCGCTGTCCCTGAGCTCTTCAGCTCAAGGCAAGTGCTCTGCCACCTAAGCCACAGCGCCACTTCTGGTTTTCTGGTGGTTAATTGGAGGTAGGAGTTTCACGAACTTTCCTGCAGGGCTGCCTTTGAACCACGATCCTCAGATCTCAGTCTCCTGAATAGCTAGGATTACAGGTGTGAGCCACCAGCACCCAGCTTCTAGTTTTCTTTTAGTTGTTTCTTTTTTTTTTTTTTGTAGCCCTTCAGTATGAAAGAATGCTATAACTAAACTGTCAACCAAATCTTGTTTGACATACTTACCTGTTTCTTTATCACTTTGGTTACTCTCTTCCAGGTGGTACTTAACATTTTAGTTTAGTCTGAATTTTCAGCCTTTATAAATGATTTTGAATCAAATTTGGTCTTTTTTTTTTTTTTTTTTGTGGCAGCTATGGCTCCCAGTTTTCTGTCACCTGCAGATTTGATGTGTATCTTCATGTCATCAACTAAAAATAGTGCATAAGACCAAGTACAAAACTTGATGTTATTCTTTTTTTTGTTGGTCATGTGGCTTGAACTCTGAGCTTGGGCGCTGTCCCTCAGCTCTTCAGCTCAAGGTGGGCGCTCTACTGCTTGAGCCACAGTGCCACTTCCGGTTTTCTGGTGGTTTATTGGAGATAAGAGTCTCACGGACTTTCCTTGTCTGGGCTGGTTTTGAACCATGATCCTCAGATCTCAGCCTCTTCAGCAGCTAGGATTACAAGCATGAGCCGCTGGTGCTGGGCTTGATATTATTCTTTTAATAGTTAATATCTTTTTTTTTTTTTTTGGGTCCGGTTGTGGGGCCTGAACTCTGGGCCTGGGCACTGTCCCTCAGCTCTTCAGCTCAAGGCTAGTGCTCTACCACTTGAGCGACAGCACCACTTCCGGCTTTTTTGTTTTTGCTTATGTGGTGCTGAGGAATCGAACCCAGGGCCTCAGGCATGCAAGGCAAGCACTCTACCACTGAGCCACCTTTCCAGCCCCAATAGTTAATATCTTGGTTGATAAAAAGCACTGTGTTTGCCAGGCGCCGGTGGCTCATGCCTGTAATCCTAGCTACTCAAGAGGTTGAGATCTTAGAATCACAGTTCAAAGCCATTCTGGGCAGGAAACTCCGTGAGACTCTTTATCTCCAATAAATCACTAGAAAACCAGAAGTGGCACTGTGGCTCACACAATAGAGCGCTGGCCTTGAGCTGAAGAGTGTAGGGACAGTACCCAAGCCCAGAGTTCAAGCCTCATGACTGACCAAAATACAAACAAACAAAAAAAGCAGTGTGCTGGAAGTGGAGCTGTGGCTTAAGTGATAGAGCACTAACCTTGAGCAAAAGGAGCTCAGAGATAGCTCCCAGACCCAGAGTTTAAGGAAAAGCAAAAACAAAAATAACCTATAGGGCTGGGAATGTAACTTAGTGGTAGAGTGTTAGCCTAGCATACATGAAGCCCTAGGTTCGATTCCTCAGTACCACATAAACAGAAAAATCCGGAAGTGGCATTGTGGCTCAAATGGTAGAGTGTTAGCCTTGAGCAAAAGAAGCTCAGGGACAGCGCTAGGACTGGTTTAAAAAAAAAAAAAAAAAAGCAGTTTGCTAAGCCATATTATGATGCGATTCTGCCTGCCACATTCCACCTCCCCTCTCTGGTCCAGGAGTTTGAACTCTGGGCCTAGCTGCTGTCCCTGAGCCTCTTTGAAAGGCTAGCATTCTACCACTTGAGCCAAGTTCTGATTCTGGCTTTTTTGAGTAGTTTATTGAGATAAACTGGCTGGCTTTGAACTGTGATCCTGAGATCTCAGCCTCCTGAGGATCTAGGATTACAGATGTGTGCCGCCAGTGGCCGCTGTAATCTTACTTTTGTTCAAACAAAACTACCCAAAGCATAACATAGATACAGATATAGACTCAGACAGACAGACAGATAGATAGATAGAGATAGATGGATGGTTAGGAAGGGTATAAATATAAGCAAACATATTAATGGCTCATTTTCATTGTTTAGCTATGAATAATTTTACACTTTTAAGAGACTTGTGCTTGTTAGACAGCAAACAGTCTTTACCACTTGAGCTATAATTACCCTAGTCCATTTGTTTCAAGTATATATGCATTACTTTGAGGTGTTAGAGGGAAATAAAATTAATAAAATAATGATGATTTGGGCTTGGGATGTCTTGCAGTGGTAGAGTGCTTGACTAAGCCCCTGGACTTGTTCCCCCCCTCAGCAAGAACAGAGGAAAAAAAAATGCTTTATGAGTTGCTGTGTTAAATAACAAATTGTAACTTCCATTTACAGAAGAGACTTGGTGGACCCTACATGGATGCAGCCTGACAGATTGAGCCCACAAATTCACAGTTCCCAACCACAGCCTCTTGTTGGAACAGCTGGAAATTTACTCTCCCATCTCTTGAATTTAGAACATGTAGGAATTTTGCACAAGGATTTTGAATCTATTTTACCAGCCAAGAAGAGTCATAATATGGCTTCAGGACCATTAAGTTTTACACCTCAACCGTTTCTGACCTCACCAGCTGTAAATCCAGATGCCTTGTTAAAACCTAGTGCCAGTCAATATAAGAGTAAACTGGATCGTATTGAAGCCTTGAAGGCAACAGCTGCTTCTTTGTCTAGCAGGATTGAAAGTGAAGCCAAAAAATTAGCTGGAGCCAACATTAACTATGGATCAGTTTGGAACGCTGAGTTTGATGTACAGCAAGCACCTCAAGAAGATGGACCTTGGACCAAAGCTTTAAGTCCACCTGTGAAAGAAGATACAGAAGATGTTTTCTCGGCCCGAATTCAAAAGATGTTAGGAACCTGTGTATCTCATGCAACTTTTGATGATGATCTTCCTGGTGTAGGCAACCTTAGTGAATTTAAAAAGCTTCCTGAGATGATAAGACCTCAGAGTGCCATATCAAGCTTCAGAATGAGATCCCCTGGTCCCAAACCAGGAGGGCTGCTGGCACAGTTGTGTAAGAGACAGACTGACTCTTCTGGCTCTGATGTACAAGCTGGTTCTCAAGAAAAAGCCAAAAGATCTATTGGCTCCAGCACAGACTCAGTTAGTGAAGGGCCTCTTCTTAGTGAAGGGAGTCTCTCTGAAGAAGAAGGTGGCCAGGATAGACAGCCTCTTTTGAAGGTAGCAGAAATCTTAAAAGAGAAAGAATTTTGTGCTGGAGAAAAAAATCCTTATGAGCCCATCAAAGAGTTTCAGAAGGAAGCTGAGAAATTTTTGCCACTTTTTGGGCATCTGGGTGAGATGCATAGCAAAGGACCATGGGAAGAATTGGCAAAGGGAAGCCCACATAGTGTCATTAATATTTTTACCAAATCATATCAGCTATATGGAAAAGGAGAGAAAAGTAAAGGTGGGTACTATCTGGATGTTATCTTAAGATTAATTATTTATTTTTATAATTTCTATACAAAATTTGTACTAAGCCCACAACATTTTTCATTTTCATTACTTGAATATTGGAGAGTATCTGCAAGATTATTTAACTATAGCATTAATAGTTGAATCTTAAAATTTTTATTTTGTAGTTTTTGTTGTCATAAAATAGGTAGTTACAGAAATTTTGATATAGTTTAGAGAAATTCATACGTGTTGTATTGAGTATTGGATATATATCAAGCCTATATTAGTTTTTCTGTGGCCATACTTATATATTTAGACAAGTTAAATATGTTTGTTTTTGTGTGTGTATTATTATTTATATTAAAGATTGGACGCTGTCCCTTAGCTTTTTGGCTCAAGGCTGGTGCTCTACAACTTGAGTCACAGCTCTACTTCCATCCATTCTGGTTAATTGGAGATAAGAGTCTCACAGACTTTTCTCTCTGGGCTGGCTTCAAATTGCAATCCTCAGATTTCAGCCTCCTGAGTAGCTAGTATTATAGGTGTGAGCCACTGGTACCTGGCTCAGGTATGTTTCTAAACCAGTGATTTGTGACTACTGATAATATAGTGGTTAAGAATTGAAAAGGGCAATTACATAGAAATTACAGAAATATTATTTGCTAAAACAAATTTTAGGCTTTGAAGAACAATGTAGCTATATGTATATTTTTTGAGGCTTAAGATACATATGTATGTATGTGTATATGTGTATAGTTCTGGGGGTTGGACCCTGGGCCTTGTAAATCCTTGTACATCCTTGGCAGGTTCTCTACCATTGAGCTATGTTTTCATCTTCTCTAAGACTAGCTTCTAAATTTGTCTTTTTATTATGTAGTTCTGCATCCCAACTTCCCTCTTTGGTGAAGGTTTAGTTCCTTTTAAGTCTCTTTCTCTTTTTTTTTTTTTTTAATTTTTATTTTTGTCAGTCATGGGGCTTGAACTGTGGCCCTGGATGCTGTCCCTGAGCTCTTCAGAAAGCTCAAAACGAGCACTCTACCACTTTAGCCACAGTGCCACTTCTGGTTTTCTGGTGGTAATTGGAAATAAGAATCTCATGGATTTTCCTGCCCAGGCTGGCTTTGAACCATGATCCTCAGCTCTCAGCCTCCTGACTAGCTAGGATTACAAGCATGAGCCACCCGCCTGGCTCTTTCTATTTTATTTTGGTGGATTCTACCCAGCTTATACTACCACAGCTTTAGAACTTATTGGAAGTTTTTACTCTAAAGAGTAAGCAAATTATGACAAATGGATCTCTCATTTGTATCTCTTAGGCTCAACTGGCTGTTACATTGCTATTTCCTAGGATTTATGTTTATATTTAACTACTTCTTTATGATCTTGTATAATCTTTTATATAATGTTGCTCTCTCTCTCTCTTTTTTTTTTTTGTCAGTCATGGAGCTTGAACTCTGGGCTTGGGTGCTGTCCCTGTGCTCTTTAGCTCAAGGCGAACGCTCTACCACTTGAGCCACAGTGCCACTTCTGATTTTCTAGTGGTTTATTGGAGATAAAAGTCTCATGGAGTTTTCTGCCCTGGCTGGCTTTGAACCATGATCCTCAGATCTCAGCCTCCTGAGTAGCTAGGATTACAGGTGTGAGCCACCAGTGCCTGGCCTGTTTTTTTTTTGTTGTTGTTGTTGTTTTTTTGAGACTTAGTCTCACAGACATTTCTGTCTGAGCTAGCCTTGAACTATAATCCTCAGTTCCTAGACTCCTGAGTAGATAAGGATAATAGGCATGAACCACCAGCACTCAGCTCGATTTTTTTTTTTTTTTGATCAGTCGTGGGGCTTGAACTCTGGGCCCGGACACTTTCCCGGAGCTCTTCAGCTCAAGGCAAGCGCTCTACCACTTGAACCACAGTGCCACTTCCGGTTTTTTGAATGGTTTATTGGAGATAAGAGTCTCTCGGACTTTCCTTTAGGCTGGCTTTGAACCATGACCTCACATCTCAACCTTCTGAGTAGCTAGGATTACAAGCATGAGCCCCTGATGCCCGGCTATTTTTTTTTATAGTTATACTGAAATGTTGAGATATGAAATACTATGTTATATAGGATGTTTCAAAATAATCTGAGACATGGATGTGAGGAATAGGAGTTTTAATGATGGCTTATGTATTGGTCATTGTTGAAATTGAGTAATGGATACTTTGATTTCCCTATATTGTGTTATTTTCATTTATATTTGAAAATTTTCCTAATAAAATGTTCAAAATATACCTTGCTAGATAAGAAGGTAAATTGAAAATAGGCCCAGGTAAAAGCAAACAAGACTCTCTCTACATATCATTAATCTCTATTTTCTAGAATGCTTTGCTTTGCTGATAGTTTTTTTAAATTTTAGTTTTTAACTATGCTTCAATTATTTCTTTTAGCTGGTTTTGAAGACAGATTAGAAAGAGGAACATCAGCATCACAGCCTTTGAGTGCCCTCACAACCCCTTTAAGCAGTGTTTCATATGAAGATGATTTTGTCTCCTCTCCAGGGAGTGGAACTTTGACAGAAAAAAAGTCAACTCTTGAATCTAAGTAAGCAACATGGACTAAAATCTGAAGAGTAAAATAAACGTACAAATAAGAACTATGGCTTGAGAATAAGCCAAAATTTCTTGTTGAATGATACATTTAGAGGCTATATGTAGAAGAACATGGACTCTGGTTTTAAATCCTTAAAATCTCATTATTAGTTGCTTAGTATTTGTGCATATCACTTAACCTCTTTATGTGTAAGTTTCCTTTATTTTAAAATGGAGAAAATATTAGTATCTGCCTGCATCCCAGCATTCTTTTTTTCTGGGGGGGGGGGTTCTGGTCGTGGGGCCTGAACTCTGGGCCTGGGCGCTGTCCCTCAGCTCTTCAGCTCAAGGCTAGCGCTCTACCACTTGAGCCACACCACCACTTCCGGCTTTTTTTTCTGTTTATGTGGTGCTGAGGAATCGAACCCAGGGCCTCATGCATACAACGCAAGCGCTCTACCACTGAGCCAACTTCCCAGCCCCCAGCATTCTTTTTTTTTTTGGTCGGTTGTGGGGCTTGAACTCTGGGCTTGGGCGCTGTCCCTATGCTCTTCAGCTCAAGGCGAGCGCTTTACCACTTGAGCCACAGTACCACTTCCGGTTTTCTAGTGGTTTATTGGATATAAGAGTCTCATGGACTTTCTTGCCCCGGCTGGCTTTGAACCATGATCCTCAGATCTCAGCCTCCTGACTAGCTAGGATTATAGGTTTGAGCCATTGGTGCCTGGCAACATCCAATAATTTTTTGTTGTTGTTGTTGGTTGTGGGGCTTGAACTCTGGGCTTGAGTGCTGTCCCTGCACTCTTCAGCTCAAGGTGAGTGCTTTACCACTTGAGCCACAGTGCCACTTCCAGTTTTCTAGTGGTTTATTGGAGATAAGAGTCTCACTGACTTTCCTGCCTGGGCTGGGTTTGAACTGTGATCCTCAGATCTCATCCTCCTGAGTAGCTAGGATTACAGTAAGCATGAGCCACCAGAGCCTGGCCATCAGATAAATGCAAGGCATAGAACTGCAAGACTTTATATTAACTTATTTTTTTAAATAGCCTGAATGGGTATGATATTGATAATATTCCTGTTTTAGAGCAGAAACTGAAATGACTTATTAAGTGAATTAGACTTTGCTGGAAAGAATTTTTTTTTTAATGGTTAAAATAAATGAAAATAGGGGGCTGGGAAGGTGGCTCTGTGGTAGAGTGCTTGCCTAGCATGCATGAGGCCCTGGGTTCTATTCCTCAGCACCACATAAACAGAAAAAACGGGAAGTGGTATTGTGGCTCAAGTGGTAGAGTGCTAGTCTTGAGCTGAAGAGCTAAGGGACAGCACCTAGACCCAGAGTTCAGGCCCCAGGACCGGCAAAATAAGTAAATAAATAAATAAACAAATGAAAATACTAATTACATTAGTATATTTAGTTAATTAAAATTAACATGCGATTCTTCATATTTTTTGCACACCAAAGTTATAGTCCACATAAAATTATTTGATGAGCTCACAAAAATTAGATATAATTGGAAGAAGAAAAACAAATCTTATTAAAATTATACAGGAAAGGTATAGTTTTAACTTTTGAGCTATAAGAAAAGATCTTTAAAATACTTTAAAAGATTTAATGCTGTGACACTTACATCATCAATTAATATGATTTAATGCATTTTATCTGCAGGTTAATGTTAGTATTCTCTGTAAACTTACTGGAGAGAAATAGTTATGCTGTATAAAATTACAAAGTTGTGTAGAAATAGAGACCAAACTTCGTGGTATTCAACATCCTATTTTTTCTCTCCCACATCTGAAATACTAGTTTATTTATATTGGCTCAGCTTTAGTAAACAATTCACCTGACATTTTTCTGAATAATAAATTGAGCCATAGAGAACAATCTGGGCTTTATACTGACAAGGAAAAAAGAAGAATGGAAGCCACCTTTGGTTATAGTTAAATTCTTCTGGTGATTAAGTAGATTTCTTTCTTTTTTTTTTTTTTTGTCAGTCATAGGGCTTGTACTCGGGGCCTGGGTGCTGTCCCTCAGCTTTTCAGCTCAAGGCGTGCTCTCTACCACTTGAGCCACAGCGCCATTTCCCGTTTTCTGGTGGTTAATTGGAGATAAGAGTCTTATTGACTTTCCTGCCCAGGCTGCCTTTGAACCGTGATCCTCAGATCTCAGCCTCCTGAGTAGTGAGCCACCTGCACCTGGCTTAAATAGATTTTTAAATGTCTTTAGTTTAACCACGTTTTAAGACCTTTTTCTTATTTTCTTGATTTTTATAAGTTTACTTAATAAAAAGTTTAATACGAAATATACACGAACCACTTTTTGTATCAGTAAAAATAAGAAGACACATAGAGTTCTGTGCTCAAAGTCATTACCTTTATTTTAAGGCTTCTAACAAGATGATCCTGTTTCTTTTTTTCTTTTCTTTTCTTTTTTTTCTTTTTGGGTCCGGTTTTGGGGCCTGAACTCTGGGCCTGGGCGCTGTCCCTCAGCTCTTCAGCTCAAGGCTAGCGCTCTACCACTTGAGCCACAGTGCCACTTCTGGCTTTTTTCTTTTTTTGCTATGGGTGCTTGGGAATCGAACCCAGGGCCTCATGCATGCAAGGCAAGCGCTCTACCACTGAGCCACCTTCCCAGCCCTTTTAAATGTTTTCTTTTTTGTTTTCTTTTTTTTGGGTCCGGTCATGGGGCCTGAACTCTGGGCCTGGGCACTGTCCCTCAGTTCTTTCAGCTCAAGGCTAGTGTTCTACCACTTGAGCCACATCACCACTTCCGGCTTTTTACTTATGTGGTGCTGAGGAATCAAACCCAGGGCCTTAGGCATGCAAGGCAAGCGTTCTACCACTGAGCCACCTTCCCAGCGATCCTGTTTCTTGTATTTGCTCTATTTCAATACTCTGTTGCCCTCTAGTTGACATCTCTATACACTACCACAAAATTCATAAAGGGAGTTAGTTCTCACAATATTCTTTGGACATTCCTTTTCCTTTTAGCAGCTTCTTGTCGGGGATAGGCTTGGTTATTGTGTCTATTCTACACATTCAAAGTTGCTTAAAAATAGAATTGTAACCTCACTCAGACTCCATATTTTTTTCTTCAGCCACTTTTACTTTTTCTTTACAGTATTATTGGTAGCAATTTAAGCATTCAAGAGGGCCATTCTAGCAGAAAACTTGCCTATGATGTTTCTTCTACGGATGTTACTTCTCAGCACTCATCAGGAGCCCTGTCTGTTGCATCATCTCATTCATCTACTTCGAAAGGAAAGAAGGGAAAAAAGGAAAAGATGGAATGTAAGTGGAATTATGCATGGTGACTTTTTCTCTTACCAGTGATTTGATGGTAGTGCTCTAAAGTTATGATTTGATTCTATAAGAAGTTAGAGGAATTTCTTCATGATAGTAAAGAAGTGTAGGCCAGGTATGGTGGTATATTCCTGTAATACCAGCTACTCAGGAGGTAGTCATCAAGATGATTATAATTGAGGCCAGACAGGGTAAAAAGTTGGCCGAACCCATCTCAACAAACAAACTGGATGTATTAGTGCATGTCTATAGTTCCAGTTGTGTGGGAAGCATAGGAAGGATTATGATCCAAGGATAGCCTACGCAAAAAATGTGAGACCCTATCCAAATATAACTGAGGCAAAAAATAATTTTTCAATAATCTCAATAGGATATATCCCTACAAAGTAAGGTTACTTATTTATTTATTTTTGTGCCAGTCTTGGGGCTTGAACCCTGAGCTTTTTTGTTCAAGACTGGGGCTTTGCTGCTTGAACCACGGCTCCACTTTTGTCTTTTTGGTGATTAAGTTGAGATAAGAGTCTCATAGACTTTCTTGCCTGGCCTGGCTTTGAACTATGATTCTTGGATCTCAGCCTCCTGAGTTGCTAGTATTATAGGTGTGAGCCATCAGTAATTGGCAAAGTAAGTTCATTCTTAATCAGAGAATATAAACATTTTTTATGAATCTGGCTACACAGTTTTTACTATTATGGAATTTTCAAGAAGAATTGTGTAACTATGTTGGGAACTAATACTATTTTTCTCTTACCTCAGCATTTTATCTTTAAAAATCCTTATTTTTTGGTTATATTACTGGTTGAATAAAGAGCTGTTTATTAATATCAAGTAGAAGGTATTGATGGAAGACTTCACTTTCTTAAATGAGAAAGATTAAGTGCTTTATTTTAGGTCTAGAAAACACATTTTAAAATAAGTTAAAATTTCAAGTATTTTTGTCCATATTTTTCAAGTATTTTATTAAAATCTATAGGTTAGCTATATAGCTCAGTGTCTCTAATGTCAGTCATATTTATAAGAAATTTGTGTTCCAGGGTTTGATTCATTCACTGGAAATGTTCAGAACTTACTTGATGAGGAAAAAGTACAATCTAGTTCAGAAGGTGGCTCCCATCAAGGAAAGAAATCTAGGACCAGTGGTAAACTTTCTGCTAAAGATTATGAGCAGATTTTTGACACTGAAAGCACTTTAGAAGAACTTTCTGGGCATTCTGTGAGGTATAGTATTTTATATTTTGATTCACATATAACTAACATAATAGTATTAACATAATAGTGTGAAGAATCTATTTGGTAAATTTCAACCTAACAGTTAACTATGCATGTCTGAGCTACTGTAGATTGTGTATGTTGTAAATAGTAGACTTTATGACTTCGCTCATAGCTCTAGACTATATTTTAGAATGTGGTCACCTTTCACTTTAATTGCTCTAATCTTTCTAGGAATTTTGTGCCTCAAATATGACTAGTTTTGTGCCTGAAAGCCCTTTATTGCCATGGTATACTTGACTGTTTTTTGCAAAAGCATGTACTTTCCTAGAATGAAGTGCTTTGAAAAGACAATTACCCCATCAACTCAAACAACCTAATTCAACTTGAAGAGTTTTCACTGAACTACCATAAAGTATCTTATTTCCTTGTCTACAAAATTTTCTTCTCAGCTGTTTCTTCAACTCTTTAAATACAACTTCTTAGTATCTTTTTGTCATAGGGTTGATATTATTTATTCCTCTGAGCTTTTCTCTCCTGTGCTGCTGACTAACCACTCAAAAACAGATTTTGAGGTCTGGGAAGGTGGCTCAGTGGTAGTGTGATTGCCTTGCATGCATGAGGCCCTGCGTTTGATTCCTCAGCACCACATAAGCAGAAAAACCCGGAAGTGGCGCTGTGGCTCTAGTGGTAGAGTGCTAGCCTTGAGCTGAAGAGCTGAGAGACAGTACCCAGACCCAGAGTTCAGGCCCCACAACCAAAACAAAACAACAACAACAACAAAAAACACCCGGATTTTGAAATATCACTCTTATTGCTGACCTCAACACTTGCTCAAATCTTTTTAACATTATTTACTACTTACCTTGCTGTTTACAAATGAACTGTAGTCATTGCTTCCTGTGTAGTTGCTGTTCTTTTGTTCACATGACTTTTAAGTATGCACTGATTCTGTCCTTCTAGAAATTGAGGTTCTAAGGAAACAGAATCATCATTCTTCAGGGCTGGGAAGGTGGCTCAGTGGTGGAGCGCTTGCCTTGCATGCCTGAAGCCCTGGGTTCGATTCCTCAGCACCACATAAGCAAAAAGAAAAAAGCTTGAAATGGTCTGTGGCTCAAGAGCGCTAGCCTTGAGCTGAAGAGCTGAGGGACAGTGCCAGGTCTAGAGTTCAGGCCCCACAACCGGATTCTCCCCTTCCCCCCCCCCCCAAAAAAAAAATCATCTTTCTTCATTTACTCCTTTTTCTCTTCCCTTACTTTTCCCTTGCTCTTCTCCTTCTTTTTTTTTTTTGTCTGTAGTACTAGGTGTTAAAATCAGGGCCCTGCGGTTGCTAGACAGGCACTCTGCCTCTTGAGCCATCCCCTTTGTGCCCTGTTTACTTTTCACGGCTCCTTTATGATGAGGCCAACCAAGACTGTGAACCTCTACTTGTGCCTCCTCCTGTCACTGCCCCTAGCCATTAGCTGCAATAGAGTCTCATTCAGTTTTTGTCTGACTTGGCCTCAAGCCACAATGTGATTGAAATCACTATAAACATATTTTTGGAAATGCTGGTCAAAGTGAATCTTTTCTGCAATGGTAATAAACAATTATAAACTATACAAAGGATACTAAATTTGTATAAAACCATAGAATGAGATACAGAGAACTTACTTTGTCTGCTGTAGTGCTGTGATTTAAAATGATTATTCTTTTTAGGGTCCCTAGATGAATTTAGACACTGTTCAAAATATAGTAATGTTTCTTTATCTGTGGTTTTCCTTTCTGGGGTTTCAATTTAATCATGATCAGCTGTGGTACAAAAATATTAAATGATTCTTAATTTAAAGTACACATCATTCTGAGTATCATAATGAAATCTCACACCATATAACTTCATCTTCTCCCATGTGAATCATCTCTTTATCTAGTATACTTAAGCTGTATACACTCCCCATTTGTCAGTAGCCCTCTTGGTTACTAGATTGGCTGTCACTGCATTTCATAGTGCTTGTATTGAACTAAACTTTATTTTACTTTCTAGTGGCCCCAAAGTAAGGATATGCTTCCTTTAAGTAAAGAGGTAAAAGTTTTTGACTTAAAAAAAGTCACATGCTGAGGTCGCTAAGATCTGCTTGTAACAAGAATTATTTTCTGTATAAAATCATAAAGGAAAGAGAAATCCATGCACATCATATTGCAAAATTTGCAAATTCCAAAAATTGCCACTGTACTATGTGAAAAGTACTTAGTTAAGCTATGTATAGGAGGAATCACAATATGTATCAGTTTGATACTATCCAAAGTTTTAGACATTCAGTGGAGTTCTTGGAACATAACATCCACATATAAAAGGTAGCACTACTGTAATATTTCTACAAGCTTTCTATAGAAAATTAAAGGCTTTGTAAACAAGTGACTGGATTACTTTTAAAATTACTTTTTAAATATTCATGCTAGTTATAAGGAAAAACTTCTTAAATTTTATCTCATAATTTTATCAGAAGCTAAAGGAAAACTTGTTTTAGTCCAGTAGAAATCACTGAATTGTGCCAAATACTTTATATAGAGTATCTGAATAATTTATGCAATAAATAAAAATTTAGTGTAAGGGAACATGCTTGATATGATGAGAAATAATGTCTTTTTTTTAAATCTTTTCTTGCTGGTCCTGGGGCCTGGGTGCTGTCCTTGAGCTTCTTTTTCTTAAGCTTAGCTGCCTACAACTTGAGCCACAGTGCCAATGCCATTTCTGGCTTTTTTTGAATAGTTTATTAGAGATAAGAGTCTCATGGAGTTTTTGCCTTAGGAGGACTTTGAACTTCGATCCTCAGATCTCAGTCTCCTGAGTAGCTAGAATTACAAGCATGAGCCACCAGTGCCCAGAAAAATAATGAAATCAAGTTTTTAATGAGTTTACTGTCTGACAGAGAAACACTATCTACACATGACAGAGAAACACTATCTACACATGACAGAGAAACACTATCTACACATGACAGAGAAACACTATCTACACATGACAGAGAAACACTATCTACACATGACAGAGAAACACTATCTACAAATGACAGAGAAACACTATCTACACATGTGACTTATGTTGCACTAAATGCCTTAGAAGTTGTTACTATTAACTGTTTTGAGAGGCTATTTAATAGAAAGTATAGGGAAAAGGAATAGTCTTACAAGCTATATATAAACAGGTGAATATATGTGAAATAGATATGGATATTGTGAAAATATTTCTTATGTGATTCTGGGTCAGTGGAGAGAATCAACCATTTTTACATTGTAAATATAAAATGATATATAAAATATAACTTGTAAAATTATATTTTAAAACACTTATAGGATAATGTCTTTTACATATATTTGTGTTTTTATTGATACACAATGGTTATTTTAGAAGACTTTGTGATACCTGTACATTGTAGAAGGAAAGAAGTAACAATTTAATTGAGACCCCCTCTTTCCCATTTTATTTAAGGCACAGTTTGTGCCCAATTTGTTTACCACTGAACGTCTAGAAATGAAAGGAGCACTCATAGTCATTCATCATTGAATATAATTTTAACTTTATTGTTGTTAAAGAGATGATATGCAGAGGGTTTACATTTACGTGCGTCATAGTGTCATCTGTTCCCACACTCTCTCCCATTCCCACTCATGAGTTGCATAGTTCACTTTCATCCGTGCCCAGTGTGCTCTACAGCTGCACTTTTTAACCCTTTTTCCTCAGATTCTGAGCCCTCCCCCCACCCTTCTACAGATAAGGTAAAGAATACAGAATGATCAGAAAAAGAAAAAACATTGAAAAAAGTCCTTTGTTTCCCTTTCTTGGCAGTTTGTTTCAGTATGTATATTATGTAAACATGTGTGTGTAAACATATGAAGAGGTATTGGCTATTGCACCTTTGTGATCATCTCCTAAGACTATCCTCTTTTGGTCTCACTATGTGAGTATCTAGAATCCAGCCTAATTTATCATATGCTAGTGCATTTTAGAATTATCTTCCATACATCAGAGAGGATGTGCACCATTTGTCTCTCTGAAGCATACAGAAAGATTTTTGTAGGTTAATTTTATATCCTGCTACTTTGCCAAAGTGGTTGATCAGCTCTAAGAGTTTGGGAGTGGAATTTTTTGGATCCGTTAGATATGAGATCAAGTCATCTATAGATCAAGTCATCTGTATATTGGGATAGTTTAATTTCTTCTTTCCTTATGTGAATCTGAATCCCTTTTATATCCTTTTCTTGCCTTATTGATCTGGCTAAGAATTCCAGAACTATATTGAAGAGGAGTGAAGAGGGTGGGCATCCTTGCCTTATTCCTGATTTTAGGGGAAATAGCTTTGGTATTTCCCCATTTAGTATGATGTTGGCTATTGGTCTGTAATGTATAGCTTTTATTGTTTTAAGGAATGTTTCTTCTAAGTTTCTCCAAAGTTTTTAATATGAATGGATGTTGCATTTTGTTGAAGGCTTTTTTGGTGCGTCTATTGTGATAATCATGTAGTTCTTGTCCTTGGTGAATATAATTTTGAAAATAATTGTAAGTAGTTGTACACAGGGGCTTCCAGTCAGCATCTCAATTTCTGTGTACAACTACTTACAATTATTTTCTTGATCAATGTCACCCCTTCTAGCATTCTCTTCCATCCCATCTGTCTCAATCCTACCTGTATCCTCAAGTTTCCTAGTTCCATTTTTACATATGTGCATTGAGTGTTAGGACTTTTCACCCATGATTCCATTTTCCATTTGTTTCCCTCCCCCCAACTCTAACCTATCTCAGTAAACATTTTCAGATTTTCTGGTATTCATTTTGTTAATTGTTGAAAGGGGTTAAACCGTGGAAATTCATTCGAGTATACTATATATTTTAGTTAGGTTGATTTTGTGTGTGTGTGTGTGTGTGTGTGTGTGTGTGTGTGTATTGTGTGTATGGATATGGTCCTGGAAATGTTGCTTAAGAAAGAAGTGTGTATTGTGTATTGTTCTTATAATTTTTTTAGCTGGTTCTTGAAGTCATTTCCTTTTTCTAATGTCTTTATGAAACAAAACTACTTCTAGTGGCTCATCAGACAAGGGAAGATCTCAGAAAACTCCAACTTCACCTCTATCCCCAAGTTCTCAGAAATTGTTACAGTGTGACCTTCCAGGATCTTCAGTAGAGAGATCTAAGTCTCCAGTCGTGATACCTACAACTACAACAGGATTGAAGTCCACTGCAGCTTTCACTGATACAAACAAAACAGAGGCGGCTGCAACACCAGGCAAGTAGATTCATGCACTTACAAGTTTTTTTTTTTTTTTTTGTTGGTTGTTGGGCCTGAACTCTGGGCCTGGGCACTGTCCCTGAGCTCTTCAGCTCAAAGCTAGTGCTCTACCACTTGAGCCACAGTGCCACTTCTAGCTTTTTCTGCTTATGTGGTGCTGAGGAATCGAACCCAGGGCTTCATGCATTCAAGGCAAGCGCTCTACCACTGAGCCACCTTCCCAGCCCCACTTAGAAGTTTTTAACTGTGAATTTTTCCTGAAAATTCTTTATCTTTCAATTGAGCCATAAGGATATGTTATTTCAAGTCAATTTGATTATTCTTTAAATTATTTTTTAAAAAGTATAGGAACTTAAATACTGAAAAGCATGAGAGATTGAATAGTGGCAATTTTTCCCATGTTGCCATCATTCGTCAAAACTTACCTGAAGATATATCCCATATATGTATTTCTAAGTGCTTATAGGTGTGTGTGTGTGTGGTGTGTGTGTGTGGTGTGTGTGTGTGTGTGTGTGTGTTACACAGGTGCATCAGGAGATACTAAAATAACTATTAAAATACATTGTATTACTAAGTCACTGTTTTTGCTACAGAGGAAAGCAGAAATGATTTCAGTTCTTAAAATAAGAAATAAATTTCAGAAATCTGAAGTGTAATTTCATGTGAACTTTTCTATTTGACAATCATTATGCCCTCTAGGTTCTAAGCGTTTTTCTCCTGCTGGCCTCCAGCATCGTATGGCAGCAGAACTCAATTATCTGAGTGCTATTGAGGAGTCTGTGCGACAGCTGTCAGATGTGGAAAGAGTTAGAGGCATTTCACTTGCTCAGCAGGAGAGTGTTTCTCTGGCTCAGATCATAAAGGTATTGGTGGGATTGTCTTCTTTATTATTCTGTTTTTTTTTTCATCTTTTCTTTGTTAATTAAAATAGAACATATGGTAGAAGAACATTTGGTAAAAGAACAATTGTGTAGTCATTCTTTCTCAAACACTGTTTTCCATTAAGTATTGCTTTGTTTTAATGACAATGTGAAAATTAAATTCTTAATATTTTCTGTTTTCATTGACTGTTAGAGATGAGTGCAGTTATTTTGTTTAAATGCTTTGGTTGTTTCTGAGACCCAGGTGTTTGATAAAATCAGACAAATGAGGACTTTGGCTTAGCAGGCAAAAATCTAGAGGTCTAAGCCATGTTCCTCAGTGGTAGGCTATTGTTTTTTGTCATCGTTTATTTTTTAAGTGAGGTTTTAGTGACATTCAATAAAGTATGCAGTTTTGATGATTTTTTAAACACACACACACGCACACACACACACATTCAATAAAGTATGCAGTTTTGATGATTTTTTAAACACACACACACACACACACACACACACACTCTCTCTCTCTCTCTCTCTCTCTCTCTCTCTCTCATCTAATCCAGATACAGAATGGTTCAATTACTCCAGAAAGCTGATACATGCCCACTTGCAGTTACTCCCTCCACCCCTGCCCAGGAAATTGTCATTTTGATTTCTAGCACAATGAGTTTATTTTTGCCTATTCTAGAACTTCATGTAAGTTAAAATATAATTTGAACTCTTGTGGGTAGCCTATTTTAGTTGGTATAAATGTAATATTTATCCACATCATATCTTCCTACCCCCTGTCATATTAGGGTTGAGCTATGCTTTCAGCCATTTTTTACTTTAGTTATTTTAAGGTAGGGTCTCCTGCTTTTGCCTGTTTTGTCCTCTTACCTCGACATGGTTGGCATCACAGGCATCATGTACCATCATGACCAAATTATTGATTAGTAGAGGTCTTGCTAACTTCTCGCCTCACACTTGTCTTGAAGCATGATCCCTCCTGATCTGAGCAGCTGGAATTACAGGCACTTAGCGCTTTTTAATTTTTGCCTAGTAATATTCCAAGGATCAGTATGTCACAGTTTGTTTATTCAGTTGATACACATGTTTCTACTCTGAATCTGATTTATAGCTCTATGTATACAACATATTTCATTTTTCTTACAAAAATAACTGCTTTTTAATGGCTTGTTCAGTATAAATATTTGATTGCAAGAAGCTGCCTTACCATTTTCCAAAATGTTTGTAACATACTCATATAGAAGTAGGTAAGAATTTCAGTTGTACACAGTGCTTACTATCATTTAGTATTGTCAGTCTTTTTAAACTGTAGTCATTCTGAGTGTGAAGTAGTGTTGTTAAGGTTGTAATTTTTATTTCTCTTAAGAATAATGAAGTTGATCATCTTTTTTGTTTGTTTGTTTATTTATTTATTTATTTTGGGTTTGGTCATGGGGCTTGAACTCGGGGCCTGGGCGCTGTCCCTCAGCTCTTCAGCTCAAGGCTAGTGCTCTACCACTTGAGCCACTGCACCACTTCCAGCTTTTTTCTTTTTGCTTATGTGGTGCTAAGGAATCGAACCCAGGGCCTCATGCATGCAAGGCAAGTGCTTTACCACTGAGCCACCTTCCCAGCCCCTTTTTTTGTATATTTTAGTGACCATTCTTACATTTTTTTAACTTCAAATCTATTTTCTTTTAATTGCAGAGTTATAGGCATTCTTTATAAATTCTGAATCAAGTTTACTTTTTCCATTCTTAAAATTACTTTCTATAGTGCAATTTTTAATTTGATATAATCTTGTTTTTAACTTTTTTTCTGTAACTATAACCTTTTTCTCTTTTGGGTTTTGAGGACAGGGTCTCACTGTTCATATTCAGCCCAGGAAGGCATGGAAACCTTGATCATCCTTCCCCAGTCTCCCAAGCTCTAGGATCACAGATCTGGGTCACCATGCCCAGCTGAACCTTTTGTTTTCTAAGAGCTCTTTGCCTACCGTAGATGTTAAGATGTTTGAACAAAGATATTCTTATCCTTCCCAAATGTTTTTCAGTTTTTACTTTTAAGTGTGTGATCCTATCAGGTTAATTTGGGAATTTAAAATGAGCAAGGAGTCAAAATTTCATTTTTCCTTTATATGAATGTTCAGTTGTTTTAACATTATTTCCTTTAAAACATTTGAATTATATTAGTATTTATCATGCTTTTAAGTAATCACTTTCATGTAAATTTTAAATATAGACTTTGTTCTTTTTTCAGGATGGTTTTGGCTATGCTAGAGTTTTTACATTTCCACATAACTTTTAGAATTAGTTTGTCAATTTTTACCTCCCTTGCTCTCCCCTCCCCCCCAAAAAAGTGAAAACAAACTATGCCTAATGGGATTTTGATTAGAAAATCATATTGAATTTATAAATCAGTCTGGGAAGAATTCGCATCACAACAATAGTGTATCTTTCAAATTTATGAACTTAATATCTTTCTGTTTAAATACTTCAATCCAGAAGTATAATTTTGACATAGAGGTCTGACTGATTGATTTTAAACTTTATTCCCAAATATTTTATTTTTTTATACTATTGTGAATGTGTTTCTTTTGATCAATTTTATTTTCCAGTTATTCTTCCAAAAATACCTAAAGACAATTTTTTTTGTGTGGGACTATTCCATACTTCGCAGAGAGTTCAACATCCTGTACGCCTCCACTAAGTACTAGTGATTGGATAACACTGGCAGTACAACAGAAACTGTATAGACATTTCCAAATGCTCCCTACTAATAGATGGGAAGGGATTAATGTCAATTTTGTTGCAAATCACCATATTGAGGAAACTGGTCTTAATGCAGTGGAGCTATTCACCTTGAAATCTGAATAAGTAGTAAGACATTATGATACTTTTAGGTTACTTTATAATTCTGGATTTCCAAATTTGCTCTAAATATAACTGAGTCAGTTTTCTAGAAAACTTACATTATTTGATACTACAGAAGAAGCAAAATCATCTTATGTCTGTAGCTACTGTTATATGGAATAATGACAAAAAAAATCTTGATTAAAAGGAGAACAAAGACAACTTTTGTTGTTGTTGTCAGTTGTGGGACTTGAACTCAGGGCATGGGCGCTGTCACTGAGCCTCTTTGTGCTCAAGGCTAGTGCTGTACCACTTGAGCCACAGCTCCCTTCCAGTTTTTGAGTGGTTAGAGACAAGAGTCTCACAGTGACTTCTCTGCCCAGGCTGGCTTTGAACCACCATCCTCAGATCTCAGCCTCCTGAGTAGCTAGAATTACAGGTTGGTGCTCAGCCAAAGACAACATTTTTAATGACATTGGTTCTTACAGTCAAAATAAAACAAAATTGTCAGATGTGTGGAATTATCTTTGTGTTTTTACATAGGAATTTTTTTTATCTTAATGAACAAGTTTAAGGCTGTAAGTTTTGCTTTTCTAGCCAGCTTTTTGGTAGCAATTCTTAATCTTGCTGCCTTAACTTTTTTAATGTTTCTATGAAAAGTTACTAAAATTTTTTTATATATATGTGTCCCAGTGTAGGACTTGAATTCAAGGCCTATCTAAGTGCTTTCCCTGAGCTTCTTTTGTTCAAGGTGAGCACTCTACCACTTGAGCCACAGTTCTACTTCTGGCTTTTTGTTGGTTAATTGGAAAGAATCTCGCATGGGGCCTTTACTTCCTGGGCTGGCTTTGAATGGACATCCTCAGATCTTAGCCTCCTGAGTAGCTAGGGTAAATGATGAACAATTGCTGACTATCCTGTTTACCATCTTATTTTTTTTTGGGGGGGGGGTCTGGTCGTGGGGCCTGAACTCTGGGCCTGGGCGCTGTCCCTCAGCTCTTCAGCTCAAGGCTAGCGCTCTACCACTTGAGCCACAGCACCACTTCCGGCTTTTTTCTTTTGCTTATGTGGTGCTGAGGAATTGAACCCAGGGTCTCAGGCATGCAAGTCAAGCGCCTTACCACTGAGTCATCTTCCCAGCCCCCTGTTTACCATCTTTTCTTTAGGCTTAAAATGATCTAGATCATTTGTGTTAGAAAGCTAGCATTGTGAATCAGCTGAGTAGTTCATGTCTGAAAACACCATAAATTCAGATGGCCAGTTACAGTCTGTATTATACATGATAGGCAGATCTTGCCTCAAAGTAGAAAAACAAAGAAAACAATCAAAGAAATATAACATTGGGTTTTATATTCACTGTGTTAAAAATTACTTAGCTAGAATTAATATTTGGCTATTTCTTTAATTTCAAGGCTCAACAGCAACGCCATGAGAGAGATTTGGCTCTATTGAAACTGAAGGCTGAACAAGAAGCTCTAGAGTGTCAGAGACAGTTAGAAGAAACTCGAAATAAAGCAGCTCAGGTAACTTACTTTGCAGCAGATACTAATTATTTCCTTTTTTTTTCCTTTTGGTTGGTCATGGGGCTTGAATTTAGGGCCTGGGTATTGTCCCTGAGCTCTTTTTCTCAAGGCTAGCACTATACTACTTTGAGCCACAGCTCCACTTCCAGTTTTTGAATGGTTTAATTGGAGATTAGAGTCTCATGGGGAGTTTTCTGCCCCAGCTGGTTTCAGACTGCAGTTCTCAGATCTCAGCCTCCTGTGTAATTCTTTAATTCTGAATTTTTATCTTAGAAATTTCACTAGAAAGCTGGGTGCCAGTGGCTCATGCCTGTAATCCTAACTACTCAGGAGGCTGATATCTGAGGATTGCTGTTCAAAGCCAGTCTGGGTAGGAAAGTCCATGAGACGCTTGTCTACAATTAACAACCAGAAAACTGAAAGTGGTGCTGTGGCTCAAGTGGTGGAGCGCTAGCCTTGAGCTGAAGAGCTGAGGGACAGCGCCCAGGCCCACAGTTCAAGCCCCCAGGACTGACAAAAAAAAAAAAAATTCACTACAACATTCTTTAAGAGTAAAAAGAAAGAGTATAAATAGTATTATGTAAATTTGTGTAAGTTTCATATCATTTGGTTCTTCTTACAACATTATGAAATAAATAGTCAAGCATTATTTCCAATTCAAAAAACTAGCACCTGAGATACATAGTAGTTATTGGTTTGCAGACACATCAACTATGAATTACGGAGTTAAGACTAAATATGAAATTCAGATAGTAGTCAAGTGTATTTTTCACAAGGAGTCAGAGTTTTATAAATTGAAACTAGTTGGGTAGAGGAGAAAATGAGCCTAGCATTGTTTTGTTTTTTAATCTTTTATTGCTAGGTCCATGCAGAATCATTACAGCAGGTGGTTAAATCACAGAGGGAAGTGACTGAAGTCCTCCAAGAAGCAACTTGTAAAATAGCAGCTCAGCAAACTGAGACTGCTCGCCTTACCACAGATGCAGCTCGCCAGATCTGTGAGGTAGGAGCCACTTGCGAGAACTATGAAAAATTAAATTTTTTTTCAGTGTTAAAAGTTTTGAACTGGGGCTCTAGTTTGTGCTTAGCAGGAATTCTCAGCATGAAGTTATACCTCCAGTCCTAATTTTTGCTCCTTATTTTTGTTTTTAACTTTTTTTTTTTTGTCTTTTTGGGGACTGGGTATCAAACCCAGGATGTTGCACTTGCTAGGCAAGCACTTTGCCACTGAGCTACATCCTAGCCCTGCTCCTTATTTTTGACATTGGATCTGGCATCCTGTTTGGATATATAGCTATGTTAGGCTTCATGGTAAATAGGATATCAGAAGCATACCACTGAGTCCAGCTCTTACTTGATAAAGTCTCTCTCAAATTTCTTTCTGCTTGGGCTGGTCTTAAACCTCAACCCAGCCGGGCGCTGGTGGCTCACGCCTGTAATCCTAGCTACTCAGGAGGCTGAGATATGAGGATCGCGGTTCAAAGCTAGCCCGGGCAGGAGAGACTGTGAGACTCCTATCTCCAATAAACCGGAAGTGGCACTGTAGCTCAAGTGGTAGAGCGCTCACCTTGAGCTGAAGAGCTGAGGGACAACGCCCAGGCCCAGAGTTCAAGCCCCACGACCGACAAAAACAAACAAACAAAAAAATAAAAACAAAAAAAAACCTCAACCCAACAGCTTCAATCTCCCAAGTAGCTAGCATTACAAGCATGAACCACTCATATCCTTTGATAGCTTCCCTTTATGCTTTTTTAAAAGTCATTTTTAATTTTAATTTTATTTTCTTGAGTCCTTTCTCAAAATTTTAATGTGGAAACAGTAACAGAAGATTTCAAAAACACTTTTAAGTCATCAGTAGAATGAATATAACAAGTAGTAATTGAATAATACCAAATGCATAATGCACGTAATAATTGTAAAAGTGATTATGAATAAGACAAATATGTTTCACTATTACTTACTCAGAGAAGATTTGGAAAAGAAGAGCTAATTGAATTGATTATTACAGGAAGACTTTTTAGATTGATATAATTGGTAAAACATTAAAAATTATGTATTTAATCCTTGAATTTCATAAGATGAACCTGTTGGGACTCACAGAGGCTAAAACTTGCCCATAACATTTCGTATTAGTGCCAGAATTTGCTTGCTTTTGATCCAGTGAACTTTGATAAATACTGTACTTCTTCTCAGTTCTACTCTGGCATTGTCTTTTTCCATCTCTTTCTCTTTTCTGCATTTGTATTTAGATGGCAGAATTAACTCGAACTCATATCTCAGATGCCATCACTTCTTCTGGAGCTCCCCTAGTGACACTGTATGACCACCAGCGGCACCACCTTCCAGACTTCATGAAACAGCTTAGAACCAGAGCTGAATCAGACAGGTTAGTGCTCATTCATTCAGCAAATAATATAATGAAGTATCTTTTATGTCTTAGCCATTCTGGGCATACTGGCAAAACAATTGTAGGTATATAGTTCAATAGGGAAGATAAACATTAGGCACATATTCAGTTAAGTGAGTTAACACTTACAAACAGAAATAAGTGTTATGAAAGAAACCCATGTCTCAGAGATACAACTGGAATCTGAATAGCCTGTGGATGCAAGAAGGTCAGAGTAGGAGTTAAAGAGGAAGAAAAGAGGAAGTAAAGCTTACAGTGAGAGTTAGTAGATAAGGAATCAATCAGTGATGTAAGGGAGGGAAAGAGTAGACAGATTGAAAGGACTGAAGGAAGAGGAACATGACACATTAAAAAAAGACCAATGTGATTGGTGGGAGTTTTGAGAATAGTCTGACCTGATGTATCAGTGTAAGACCTGGCAGACTAGGATTTTGGAGTTTAATTTAAGAACAACGAAAAGTTATTAAAGAAGTTTTCAGACAGAACTGGGTGACACGATCATATTTGTGTATGTAGTTTTCAGCCCATTTTTCTCTCTTGGGATTTGAGTTCAGAGCTTAACTACCACTTGAGCTATGTCTTCAGCTTGGCTTTTTGCTAGTTATATTGAAGATGAAGTTTCCCAGACTTTTTTCCCAGGCTGAAATTGAACTATGATCCTCCCAATGTCAGCCTCTCCCAAGTAATACTAAAGCCACCAGTGACCAGTTTGTGTATATTTCAACATTTCTTGATCATAAATTTTAATTGATTTATATCCATTGATATCAGGAGTGATGATGCGTTTATTTCCCATAAGAAATATTATTTTTAGGGCTGGGAAGGTGGCTCAGTAGTAGAGTGCTTGCCTTGCATGCATGAGGCCCTGGGTTCGATTCCTCAGCATCACATAAGCAAAAAAGAAAAAAAAACCAACCAGAAGTGGCGCTGTGGCTCAAGTGGTAGAGCACTACCTTGACCTGAAGAGCTGAAGGACCGCGCCCAGGCCCAGAGTTGAGGCCCCACAACCGGACAAAAAAACAGAAACAAAAAAAAATATTATTTTTGTGTTTTTTTCTATTGAATGCCTTTTACTCTCAAATGCTTTCTAATACAGTTCATAATTTATCAGTTCATAATGCATTCAAGATTTTTTCTGGTTTTATGTTAAACAGTCTTTAAAACCTTTCTCTTACTGGTGACTGAATGTTTAATTGTATTTAAAATTTTTTCTTTGTAGGATAAGTCAGTCTGTTTCAGTCTCTCAGAGTAAAGGAGGAACCATTGATTCAAAACATCAGAAATATTCCCCTTCATATGATAACTATTCTGAGTCTTCAAGATACAAGAGTCATGATCGAAGGTGAACAGTTTTTATCAATACAGTTTGATAAACTCTGACATATAGTGTAAACATTGCTTGTCCTTGACTTTTTTGTTGTTGTTGCTGCTAGTACTGTTGGGCCTGAGCACTCACTGTCCCTGAGCTTTTATGCTTAAGACTAGCAATCTTTCCCTTGAGCCACAGCTCCATTTCTGGCATTTTAGTGGTTAATTGGGGATAATTGCCTGGGCTGGCTTTGAATGTAGATCCTTCTATCTCAGCCTTCTGAATAGCTAGGATCAACAGGGATGAGCCACCAATGTCTGGAACCCTTCAGAGTGCTGGCTGGCTTTCCCCATTTTTCACTCAAAGCTAGAACTCTATCACTTGGGCCACACCTCCACTTCCTGGTTCCCCTGTTTAATTAGCCATTGTATAAAATAGTTTGTAATAATAATACAGTCACTGTTGCTTGAGAGCCTAGTTACTTAAGCATATATCATCTTTTCTTTAATTGTCACAGCAGTCTACCAAGGCATTTCATACTAATTTTTTTTCATACTAATTTTACAGATTAGGGAATTAGATACTTATGGAGAGGTTAAGAAATTCACCTAACATCACATGGTAGTGATATAAAATTGAACCTTGATTTATCTAGTCCCAAAGCCTGTGTTCATTGCACATTTTTTTTTTTACTAACATGTATATTGTTGTTTATTTTTTCATGAAATGAGGGTTTCACTATGTTGGTCAGGCTGGCCTTCAACTTGCTAATACTGCCGCAGTCTCTCAAGTACCTGAAATTACAGCCATATAACTTTTCCCTGCTTCATCAGAATCTCTCTCCCACTCCTGCTCTTCTCACTCCTCTTTCCCTTTTCCTCTCCTCTTTTCTTTTTTCTTGTGCCAATACTGGTACTTGAACTAGGGCCTCATGCTCTTGCTTAACTTTTGTGTTCTCTGCTGGCACTCTACTGCTTGGGCCACATCTCTTCTTCTGGCTTTTTTTTTAACTAGTTAATTAAAGATAACAATCTTTAGGATTTGTCTGCCTAGATTGGCTTTAAACTGTGATTCTTAGCCTCTTAAGTAGCTATGATTACAGATGCAAACTACCAACACCTGGCTCATCAATATTTCTTGACATTACCTTGTAGTAATTTAAACCATTATGAATAATATTGAATAGTTTGTCACTGTGTCTTGGCACAATTTAGTATCTATAGTTCTCAATTATGGTTTTGCCTTTAGATTAGATTTTGTGTGTGTGTGTCGGTCCTGGGGCTTGAACTAAGGGACTGGGCACTGTCACTGAGCTGCTTCTGCTCAAGGCTAGCACTCTACTACTTGAGCCACAGTGCCACTTCCAGCTTTTTCTTTTTATGTGATATTGAGGAATCAAACCCAGGTCTCTTCATGAATGCTAGGCTAGCACTCTACCACTAAGTCTGATTCCTAGCCCTAGATTAGATTTTAAAGAGTATGTCCTAGCATTTTTATAGGTAGATTACCCACATTGTCAAGCATAATGAATCTCACTTTAAAAATTGTAAAATTCGAAATCATGAAACAGTGTGATAAATTCTAACAAGTGTTGAGTACTGTCAGACACCTGTGTATATGAAATTCTATGACTTTTACTTAACCTTTACCAAAAGCTATCTTCACTGATAACTCATTTAAGCCACTAGATTACTGTATTGGACTCCTAATAGATCTCTTCATCCTCTGTTCTTTCCCTTTCTATTCTCTATTGATTATCTACATGGTAATCAGTTTGTTCTGAAATTTGCAACCAGTTTAGTTATTCACATGTTTAAAACCTTCAGTATTCTTTCAAACCATTTAAGATGTAATCCAAATGATTTAGGATAACTTAAAAGTATTCTTTATGATTCATTGGTCTCCACTCCTCCCTCCCCTTCCTTCTCTCTCTTTGCCAGTCCTGGGGCTTGAACTCTGGGTCTGAGCACTGTCCCTAACCTCCGTTAGCTCAAGACTAGCACTCTACCACTTGAGCCACAGCACCACTTCCAGATTTTTCTGTGATTAATTGGAGATAAGTGTCTCATGAACTTTTCCTGCCCAGGCTGGCTTCGAACCACCATTCTTAGATCTTAGCCTCCTGAGTAGCTAGGATTATAGGTGGCTCACTTCTATCTTTTAAACATCTCTCTCCTTCTCCCCTCCTTTTCTCTTTTCTCCCTTCCCTCTCTTTTCTCCTCTAGTCTCCTCTCCTCTCTGTTTGTGTTTATATGTTGGTGTTGGGAATTGAACCCAGGTCTTCATGTAAGCAAGGCAAGTGTTCTACCACTGATCCACATCCCCAGTCTAATAATTCTCTTTTCATATTAATTTTGACTTCTTCTAATTCCTGAAAAGAACTTTGCTGTCTTTTATTATATGTACCTTCTTTCTACACCTTTCTGCATATTTCATTTAGTTTACCTTTATTTGCTCTTCAAGAAGTAGTGTTGGGCTAGGCTGGACTGGGATGGCTTGTGCCTTTAATCTCAGATTCTTAGGAATTACAGATCGCAAAAATAGAGACAGCAAAGTTCAAGGCCAACTCTGAGCAAAAATAACTCCATCTCAATTTTCACAAAAAGGTAGAATGTCCTCTCAGCTATACAGGAAAAGTAGGATATTCTAGTCTGGTCAGAGCAAAAACTTGAGACACTATCTCCAAAGTAACCAAAGAGAAAAAGAATTGCTTTGTGGCTCAAATAATAGAACGCCTGCCTAGCAAGAATGAGGTTTTGAATTCAAATGCCAGTACTGGGGGGGGAAAAGAAAACAAAAACAAAAACCAACCAAACTGTGTTACCCTAGTATGCTTCAAGTATATTTTCAGTGTTTTTCTACAGCACTCTAATATAACTGTGGCTCCCCTACCCTGTGTGTACTTTTTCTGTACTTGTTCATGAACTTTGGATTTTAATTTCTTTGAGGGCTTTCTTTTCTACACACACACACACACACACAGGCACGCGCGCACGCGCGCGCGCGTGATAGGGGTTCAGCTTAGGGTCTTATGCATGCTAGGCAAATGGTCTACCACTTGAAATATGCCTCCAGTCTTTTTAAAAATAATATTTTGCTTCAGAGAGAAGGTCTTGATTAGTTTCCCCAAACTGGCCTCCGGCTTGTAGTCCTCCTGTCTACATTTCCCGAGACCATGGGATAACACATGTGCCACAGTGTCCACCTATGGCTTCATTTATTTTTACTACTAAAAAATACCCACAATTTTAATAAACAGTGACTTCCTTCCCTGCACTATTACCACCACCACTAATCTACTTTCTGTCCTCAATAGATTATGTCTCTTTTAGGTTTTTGTATAAATATGCAGTATGTATTCTTTTTTTTTAAGTTTTTATTATAAAGGTGATACACAGAGGAGTTACTGTACTCTTAGCACACTGTTTCTGGGGCTTATAGTAGTGTACACTTCATTTTTATGGCCAAATAATGCTCTATTGCATAATTATACCATATTTTTAAATGTGTTCATCAGTTTATGGACAGTTGGGTCATTTCTACCTTTTGGCTATTATGAATTATACTGCATGTTCATGTACAAGTTTTTTGTGTGGATTTGTGTTTTCATGTCTCATGTGTTTACAAGTAGAAGTACCCACATGATATTTCTATCAGGCTTTTACTCTGATAATACTTTCAATTTATATGCCAGTACAGAAAAAAGAGCTGTGGTACTCTAGTGTACTTTAAATATCCCTTCAGTGTTTTCCTACAGCGTTATTATAATATATATCCTTTCAAAAATATTTATTAAATCGGTCAATTGGATTATGTTCTTCTAAATACAGTGAATATAGGGATTAAAAATGACCAGTTCATTTTAAGGGCTGGGGAAGGGTCAAGGAAGACTTTACAGAACTAAGTCTCCAAGTAGTACTTCACTAAGTGGGAAGGAAGAAAGGATGGGGGGAAGGAGGAGACAGGCATGTACAGAGGCCTCAAAACTTGAATCAAGTAGTTTTGAGTATGTTTTGTTTTTTTTGTGCCTGGGCACTGTCCCTTAGCTTTTTACTCTTCCATTTGAGCCATAGCTCTGTTTCTGGCTTTTTTTGGTGATTAGAGTTGTGTCTCATAGAGTTTCCTGCCTAGGTTGGCCCTAAACCATGATCCTCAGATCTCAGTTTGTGAGTAGCTGGGATTACAAGAGTGAGCCACCAGCACCTGGCTATGGCTAGCAAGATCTTTTAAGATAAAGATCAACATTATGTAATGTTACAAAAATATATCTATTGAATTTTGCATTTAGGGATTTAGCGTTTTTGAAGAACAGATCCAGTATAATAATTCCAATGGAATCAGATTATGATGAATTTAGTGTTAAGTAAGGAAAATGGAATTATGAGTAGATGCCATCTTTCCCAGTTTGTCTTTGAATTGAAAGAGATCAAGAGGGAGGAGCAGCATGGATAGTGATAGTTCTAGCAGTGGTTAACTGCTAAGATTGCCTTGATTGCAACTTCCTTATACTTAGCTTTTCCTCTTATACTTAGCTTTTAAAAATGGTTTATTATCAGACTTTTTTGTGTTTTATATTACATTTTTATTTCAAATGTTGATCATAAGGAGCAGTCCTTTGGTCAGATAAGTTTATTTTGAAATTATGATCCTTAATTGCTTTTCTATATGTTTATTTCCATAATACCCATGAAATAGAAGTAGTAATGGTAGCAGCTTTCAAGAAAGTCCTTCAGTTCCATCTTGTAAGGAAAATGACAAGAAATTTCACGGTGAAAAGATGGAGAGTTCCATTGATGAACATCTTCAGACTGCTGCAGATGATTCTTTGCAAAGTGATAGCATTCCATCTCTTCCTGATGAGAAAGGTAAGTTTCCTTACACACACACACACACGCACACACACACACACATGCACACACACACACACACACGTGTATAACTGAGGAAAGGTGATTCTTGTTAACAGCTAGCAAATAACTTTTGGAGTCAGTCCTGATGTAATGGGAAAATAAAGAATATACGAAAGTAATAGAGAAATTATTATTATTGTTTGTCCTATAAGATGAATTTAACCTCTGCTAAATTTTATATCATTAATAATGGTGCTTGTAATTAAAGTACTAATAGAGGGTAAATTTAATTATCAATAATGTCTGAATATTATGATAGTTAATAACGTATGGGTGGCTTATTTATGGTTGTATCTCAAGCATTTACCATAGTGCCAGGCTTCCAATAGCAAAGAATAAATAATTATCAAGTGACTATTTAGAAATGTCATGAACTATGACTTATTTATGTAACTTCTTTAAACAATATTAAATTATTTGGACTACTAATCATTATGGAGGAGCAGAGACCAGAGTTACTTCTTAAAATAATTAAAGTAGCAGATAAATAACTTTTAAAAAATATTGTATGTTGGGCAGTAAGAGATGTTAACTTATGAGAGATTAGAAACTAATGAGATAGTACAACTGTCCCAATTTACTGCCTAGAGATTTTCTAGATTCAAGAGCATATGATCCAGTGATCTCCCTGAGATAACAGAATTAAATGCCAGGTGCTAGTGGTTTAGTTCTGAGACTTGAGGTTTGAAGCCAGCCTAGGCAAACAAATCCATGAGACCTTTATCTCCAATTAACCACCAACACACTGTAACTAGTGGTTTGGCTCAAATTGCAGAGCACTAACCTTAAATGAAAAAGCCAAGAGTGTGAGGCCCTAGGTTCTTCAACATCCTATGTTATCAAACAAATGAGCATCAAAATCACAGTGCAATCAAACTTTGTCATCTTTTACTTCAAGATTCTAGAATAACAAATTACTGCTCAAATTGTACCTGATGAATTCTGTCTGAATTAAATTTTCAAGTGTTCAATTTTTTTCAAGGGTTAAATCCCCTATAATATTTACTTACTTTAGATCATTATAAAGTGAATTCATGTTGCTTTATAGATTGTAAATTATTTGTGTGGGAGTATGTCTTTTACCATAGTCTCAACTCATATTTCCTAGACAGGCATTTCTTTCTTGTATTGCCTTCTGATTCTGAAACCTCCTTTGAAGCTCAAATTATTATCCTCTTTGGTTATTTGGTTATTATCCTCTTTGTAGTTACTTTGATCATTTTGCCTTAATTTAAAAAAGATTTTCTGTGTAGGCAAGAAAGATTACCAGGTAATTTCTTGTCATATATTGCTATATGTCCATTCATGCTACAAATATTTGTCATCAACTATGCACTAATATTAAATTGTTGTAGATAAGGTAGTAAATGAAACCACAAAATTAAATTGCAATAGGAAATCTGTTTTTATAATAGGGGAAGTTAAAAATTGATTTAACTTCAGGGCTGGGAAGGTGGCTCAGTGGTAGAGCGCTTGCCTTGCATGCATGAGGCCCTGGGTTCGATTCCTCAGCACCACATAAGCAGAAAAAAAAAAGCCGAAAGTGGTGCTGTGGCTCAAGTGGTAGCATGCTAGCCTTGAGCTGAAGAGCTGAGGGACAGCGCCCAGGCCCAGAGTTCAGGCCCCACGACCGGACCCAAAAAAAAAAAAAAAATAAATAATTTTAAAGTAATAGGAAAGTCTACTTTTTTATTTCTTAAGACAGCTCCTTTATTTTATTATTATTGTTGTTGTTATAATTAGTTGTACAAATGGGTTACTGCCACCCCTTCCTTGAGTCGCCTTAAGAAAGTTTACTTTTTTAAGGAAGAAAAATAAGATTGTAGGACTGGAAATGTGACTTAGTAGTAAGAGTGCTTGCCTACCATGCATGCAGCCCTGGGTTCAATTCCTGACTACCACATAATCAGAAAAGCTGGAAGTGGTGCTGTGGCTCAAGTGATAGAGTGCTAGCCTTGAGCAAAAGAAGCTCAGGGACCATGCCCAGGCCCTGAGGGGGTAGAGGGGGAGTTTTTTTTGTCCATGCTTACAATGAAGTAAAATGGAATAAGTACACACATTTTCCCAGAAATCTTTCTTTTGCTTTATATTAAATGTTAGCATTAATGTCTGTCTATAAAACTTCAGGATAAAAGTAATTTTTTACATCGCAACTAATCTATGAATAGTGCGTTAGGTGCTGCTGTTTTCATTTTTAGCTTTGAAGGAACCTTTTTCTTAATTTTCATCTTGTTTCCACTCAGTATTTTTTTATTTTAGAAGAACTCAGGACAGAGAGGAGTTGCTGTTAAATTAAGCATTGTGTTTGGTACTTAGAAGTCGGCTGTTGATTGTTCCACTGCTTGGCTGTTCTTTTACCACATCATTTTCTAGTTTCTTTTGCTTTCTCCTTTTCTGGACTAGGAAAAGTTAAAGACCTATCAACCTTTCACTGACTTTGAGCAGGTGTTCACATTTACACAGATCAGCTTAGATAACTTTACCAAATAGCTGGGTCAATTCAGTTATAACATGAGTTTAAAACGTCTATTCTATGTGAAAATGGAAGTAGGTAAATTGAAATAGGTGGGGAGAGGTAGAGGAGAATTATCAAAGGGGTGACATTGATCAAGATTCATTGTACTCACAAACTGACATGTGAACTAAATTCCCTTTGTACAACTACTTAACGATAATAAATAGATATAACAACAACAACAAAATCACCATGCAAGATCAGGCCTAGTGGGCATATACTTCCAGCACTCAGGTGACTTAAGGCTGGAGGATCGCTTGAACTCAGGAGATCTGAGATCAGCCTGGGCAATATAGACTCTCAAAAAAAAAAAAGAAAAAGAAAAATTACACAGAGACCACAATATGCCATACCACACTATACCTATTAGAAAGGCTAAAACCTAAAAAAACCCCAGACAATAACAATTGGATATCAAGAATGCAGAGCAACCGGAGCTTGCATTCATTGCTAGTGAGGATGCAAAATGGTGTGGCCACTATGGAAGAGTTTTATAGTGTCTCACAAGACTTATCAGGTGACCCGCAATCACATGTCTAGGCATTTGCCCAGTGATTTCAAACTTTATGTCCACATTAAAAACTAGACTAGGGCTGGGAAGGTGGCTCAGTGGTAGAGTGCTTGCCTTGCATGCCTGAGGCCCTGGGTTCGATTCCTCAGCACCACATACGCAAAAAGAAAAAAGCCTGAAATGGCGCTGTGGCTCAAGTGGTAGAGTGCTAGCCTTGAGCTGAAGAGCTGAGGGACAGCACCCAGGCCCAGAGTTCAGGCCCCACGACCAGACCCCCCCCCCCAAAAAAAAAACAAAAAAACCCACTAGACTAATGTTTATAACTAATTGCTAAAAACTGGATACAACCAAGGAGAACAGCATTTCATTCCATATAGTGAAATATTATTAAAAGGAACAGCTGCTGGGTGTGGTAATACATTCCTGTAATTCCAGCACTTGGGGGTTTAGACAGGAGATTGTGAGTTCAAGGCCAGTGTGGGCAACATAGAGAGTACAAGGTCATCTTTGGCGACATAGTAAAACCTTAATCTAAAAAACAACAACAGGCTGGGAAGGTGGTAGAGTGTTTGCCTTGCATGCATGAGGCCCTGGGTTCAATTCCTCAGCACCACATAAGCAGAAAAAGCTGGAAGTGGCGCTGTGGCTCAAGTGGTAGAGTGCTAGCCTTGAGCTGAAGAGCTGAGTGACAGTGCCCAGGCCCAGAGTTCAGGCTCAAGGCTGACAACAACAACAACAAAATCTATTGATTCTTGCAATAACATGGATAAATTTTAAATGGATTTTACCAAGTGAAGAACTCTCAAAAGGTTATTTTTTGTATGATTCTGTATTTATGACATTTGGAGAAAGGGAAGATTATAAAGGTAGAAAACATTGATTTCCAGGCAAATGGTGAAAAATGAAGTAGTTGACCATAGGAGGGATACACTTTTAGAATGGAGGAACAGTTATGGCATTTATATTTTCTATATACTGCTATACATTTCTCAAGCCCTGTGTATTACAAAGACAATTTTAATGTATATGAACTAAACATGTACACACATATCAACCAGGATTTGGGGAATCCCAGGGTGGAATATGATTGTGAATAATGAATCTGATTGTATTACAGATATGTGGCATAACCATGTTGAAGAGGTGTACTAAGTAAAGTTCTTTAGAGGAACAGAACCAATAGGATATATATATATGTATATATATACACACACATATGAATATGTGTATTTATGGATATATATATGAATATGAGAGTATTATTAGATTAGCTTATCCATTTAGTGGACACATAGCTCCACAATAGCCATCTGTAGGCTGGCAAGCAGTGAAACCTGCTCAGATAAAGAATCTGGAAGCCTCAGAATAAGGACCAATGAGACAGCTTCAGTATGGTACTGAAGGCTCCCTGGAGAGTAGCAGGTGCAAATCTGCAATTGAAGACCTGTGATCTTACAAGTTTTCCCTTTTTCTTTTTGCTATATCTAGACTCCCAGCCTATTGGACAGTGCCTCCCACAGATCTTTCTCACTCAGTTTGTTGACCCAGATGTCCTTCTTCTCTGTAAATACCCTTGTAGCCACACCCAGAGGTCTACTTTAACAATTTTAAGTATCAGTCTAGTCAAATTGACAACTAGATGACCTATCATAAGGAGAAGAGAGAGCTGACATAGGAAATATTAGAAAGTGTTATTTTGAGTAAAAATTGTAAGTCTAATGCTAAAGGAATTGTATAGAAGTCTGTAGTTAGTTGGTAAGTTTTTGTTTTTTTTTTGTCTTTTCTTTTTTGGTACTGGGGATTGAACCCAGGATGTTACACTTGCTAGGCAAGCGCTTTGCCACTGAGCTACATCCCAGCCCAGTAAGTTTTTTTTTTGAGATACAAGTTAATTGTTCCTAACTTACATATTGTAGTTGAATGAACAAGTAACTGAGTATTGAATGGGGGAAGCCAGGCTTCTCATGTTGGTGAGGAAAATTGCAAATATACAAAAAAGGAAGACAAGATTGAATTCTTGTGATACTGAATTTTGAGTCACATCAGTATGAATTTGTTTGGTTTATTGTATAAATGGATACAAAAATAATTTTGGTAAATGTGTGTCTGCATGGATACCCAGGTGAATGTGCATGCATATGATGCTTAGTACTGGCCAGTGAGCAAGTGCAGAAGCATTGATACTTTACTGGTAATAGTGACAACCGGTATACAGATAATGATTCCTAAATCTCATTCTCCAATGAAGGAAACCGTTGTTCTTTGGAGAAATTGCTGACTTTAGGGTTGCAGGAAAAAATACAAAGTGAGTCTGAAGCATCTTGTGATAACAGAAAGTAAAGCAACATTCACTAAACAAAAGGCTTGGGCTGGGAAGGTGGCTCAGTGGTAGAGTGCTTACCTTGCATGCCTGAGGCCCTGGGTTCAATTCCTCAGCACCACATAAGCAAAAAGAAAAAAGGCAGAAGTGGCGTTGTGGCTCAAGTGGTAAGAGTGCTAGCCTTGAGCTGAAGAACTGAGGGACAGAGCCTAGGCCCAGAGTTCAGGCCCCATGACCAGACCCCCCCCCCCCCAAAAAAAAAGGCTTGGGAGTGTGCCAGAGGTACACAAAGACCAACCTGAAAGATTTGTCTTGTTTTTAATAAAGTATGGAGATAAGATTTTAGTTATTTCCTGTCTAGTAATGTTAAAATATTTCTTTTTTAAAATTTCAATTCTTTTTTTCCTTAGTTATCTTAATTTTTTAAATTGTTATTTTGAAGGTGATGTGTACTGTTCAACATTTTTTAACATATCTTTATTTTGGTTGCTTCTGTTTTCTTTGTGAAGTATCTGGTTATAATCATTTCCTCTTTCTATAGTGTAGTAGTGATTTTTCTAATTGGTTAGAAAGAGCTTTTTAAATATGAAATGAATTAACTTTTAAAATATGAAATGCATTAACTTTTGATCATGTTTCTCATCCTTTTATTTCTGGGTAGTTTTTGAGGGTGTGTGTGTGTGTGTGTGTGTGTGTGTGTGTGTGTGTGTGTGTGTGTGTGTGTGTGTGTGTGTGTGTGTGTGTGTGTGTGTGTGTGTGTGTGTGTGTGTGTGTGTGTGTGTGTGTGTGTGTGTGTGTGTGTGTCTGGGTAGTTTTTGAGGTGTGTGTGTGTGTGTGTGTGTGTGTGTCTGGGTAGTTTTTGAGGGGTGTGTGTGTGTGTGTGTGTGTTGCCAGCTTTTTCCGCTTATGTGGTGCTGAGGAATCAAACCCAGGATGAAGGCAAGCACTCTACTACTGAGCCACCTTCCCAGCCCCAGTTTTTGAGGTTTTTGTTGTTCAGAAGAAAAATGAAGTTTGGTTATTTTCCCTGCCTAGTAATTGTTTGTGATTGATTTTATGGATTTATGTTGAATTAGCTCAGAAAGAGGAAAAGGGCTACACTTGGACACCTACCAAAAACAGGATGATAAAATCTCCTTTGTTCTTACTCTTTTAGATTCAACTTCTATTGCAACAGAATATTCTCTGAAATTTGATGAATCCATGACAGAAGATGAAATAGAAGAAAAATCATTTCGATCTTTATTACCTTCTGAGAGCCATCGCAGATTTAACATGGAAATGAAAAGAAGCCATCATGATGACTCTGATGAAGAAGCCTCCCCAGAAAAGACTACACTGTCTTCTGCCAAGGTGTGCTTTTATTTACCCGTGGAGGTAAATGGTTGAGGATGTATTCTCAAAAGTATGAGAATACATATTGTATTTCACCTCACTTGTCAGCTATCAGAGTTATTTTCCACAAGATCAGTTTTATGTTATAATTTTTTCCAAGTAGAATACAAACATTCCTTAAAACAAGATACGGCTTCTGAATATCTGAGCCAACATCTTCATAGCTTTTTCACCTGATCCTCTCTCCTCTCCTCCCTTCCCCTCCCCTCTTCTCCTTTCTTATTTTTTTTGTCTTCCTTTCCTCCTTTCCTCCTTCCCTCTTTCCTTCCCTCTCTTTGTGTCTCTCTCTCCCTCTCTCTGTCTCTCCCTCCCTCTCTTTCCTTCTTCCTCTCTCTCTTCCTTTCCTTCTTTCTCTCCCTCACCTCTTAGTATTAGAGATTAAACTTAAAGCCTCCCACTTGAGCCATGCCATGTTTGTATTTTGTTTTTGAAATAGGACTTCACTAACTTTGCCAGGGCTAGCTTCCAAATCAGTCTTCCTATCTCTGCTTCATTCTTTTAACACTGTCCTATTTCAAACTTTACATTTATTCTTGCCAATATATATGTCTTTTGTATATTAGGATCAAATTCTTACCCATTTTATTCCAGGGGCAATACTTTTTTTTTCCCCCTAGTGCTAGTCATGGGACTTGAACTCAGGACTTGGGCTTTTGTGCTCAAGGCTAGCACTCTACCACTTGAACCAACGCTCTGCTTCTAGCTTTTTAGTGGTTAATTGGAGATAAGAGTCTCATGGACTTTCTTGCCCAGGCTGGCTTTGCATTACCGTTCTAGATCTTGGCCTCCTGACTAACTAGTATTATAGGCATGAACTACCTGTCCACATATTTTACATTCATTGTTAAGATTTCATCGACTGAATAAATAAGCAGATAAATTCCGGTCTCATGTGTTTTTATCTAAGAGTATTTTCCTATGTGGTTATAGCTTTGTAAATTTACTTATTTGTTTACTTACCTATTTATTTTTGAAGTTGAATCTCACTGTTGCTCAGGTCAGGCTCAAACCTCCTGTGCTGCAGTGATTGTCCTGCCTCAGAATTCACAGTAGCTGGTGTTATAGGCATGTTCACCCACTCTTAGCTATGCACACTTACAAAGGTGTATTTCTTTTAATAACATTAACTACCAAAACGTTAGGAAGATGATAAACTAAGTAAACTCTATTTTAGGATCTGAGTATGCCATTCTCAGGAGGACAAGATAGCTTTTCTAAGTTTACTATGGAAATGGTTCGACAGTATATGAAAGAAGAGGAAATGCGTGCAGCTCACCAGTCTTCACTTTTGCGGCTCCGAGAAAAGGCCTTGAAGGAAAAAACTAAGGCTGAATTAGCCTGGCTAGAACATCAAAAAAAGTAAGTTCTTTAAGTAAGCATAGTTTTCACTGTTTATTTTCTTCCATAAAAAGGAATTGCCTTATGTTTTGAGATACTTTTGTTTTCATGTATATAAGTGTTTATTAAAGTTCAAATCTAGGGTTCGAGGCATTCTAAGCATAATCTCTACCCACCTAACTCCATCCCTTGTCTCCCCTCATCTTATTTGATTTTATCAATTTGGCTTTCAGGTTATGGCAGTGATCTTCGATTTGTGTTACTTTCAAGACCTCCATCTTACCTGCAAAACATTTTAATTTCTCTAGGATTGCTATAACTGACTCATTTTTATTTTCATTCTATATATGATTCCTCTATAGTTCTTCTGGATGTAAAGGACCATAATCAGCATATACATCTATTATATGCAAATGAATTGATAACATGATACCTGTTTTTGACATGTGAATGTGTCAAATTGGTTTATATATTTTTCATAGTCAAGAATTCTTGAAAGCTAGTCTTTGTCTCAATAAAAAATATTATTTGCAGACATCTAAGAGACAAAGGAGAGGATGATAAAATGCCCCCACTCAGGAAGAAACAGCGTGGATTGCTTTTAAAGTTACAGCAAGAAAAGGTATGTTAAAAAAAAACATCTTGGTGATTTAAAGCAAATTAATTTGTGAAAGTTATTATTTTACCTAACCACTTCTTATCAACTTAAATACGAGTTATGTGATACTTATTATGGTTTATAAATACAGTACTAAAATTGTAGAGAATCTTGGTAATGTAATGTATTCTTTACTTTAGAGTAGTGTCACTGCTAATTTAATATGCAGTCATTTTCTGCCTTTTTTAATCTTTTGAAATCTATGTCTTAAAAATATAATTTGGAAGAGAAAATGTATGAGTTAACTTTTTAGTCATTGTTTTCCCTAAGGTTTCAGGGCATATTAATTACATATTGACAAATATTTTGGCATAATGGCCCTAGACTTTGCTTTTGCATCTTGGAGAGACAGTGTGGTGGTATGGTAGTTAAGAATTCAGGCTATGGAGTCTTATTAGATTGCCTGCCTAGGCTAACTTCCAACTCTACTACAAAATTATGAGTTTTATATAACCGTGAACAAATAAACTTTCTCCATCTCAGTTTCCTCATCTGTAAAATGAGGGTGATAATAGTAACATACTTGATAGCATTGTTAGGAAGATTGGGTTGATACATAATTTAAATAAAGAGCTGACCTTGATACAACCGTGAGTAATCAATGTCACTTTCAACTATATAATCATGGTCTAGTTTAAGTAATTCTTTGAGACTTACTGTACTTCATATGGTGGTTATAGGAATTAAATGTATTTCACAGTAATTGGTCAATATTCAAATGTTCTTTTTCCATATTGATCTATTGTCAGATACTAGCTATTACATTAGATGATTTATGAACTTGATTATTTGAGTTATAATTAGATTACTTGCATAGTTTCGTTTTTTTGTTTTGTTTTATTTTTTGTCAGTTGGCTTGAACTTGGGGTCTGGGCACTACCCCTGAGCTCTTTTGCTCAATGCTAGTGTTCTACCACTCTTAGCTACCGTTTCACTTCCAGTTTTCTGGTGGTTAATTGGGGATATGAGTCTCATGGACTTACCTGCCTGGGCTGGCTTTGGACCATGATCCTTAGATCTCTGCCTTTTGAGTAGCTATGATTACAGGCGTGAGACACTGGTGCCAGGATTGCGTGGTTTTTTTTGTTGTTGTTGTTGTTTTTGTTATTTTGTTGGTTGTGGGGCTTGAACTCTTGGCCTGGGCACTGTCCCTGAGCTCTTCAGCAAAGTGCTCTACCACTTAAGCCACAGCACCACTTTTGATTTTCTGGTGGTTAATTGGAGATGAGAGGCTCATGGACTTTCCTGCCTGGGGCTCAGCCTCCTGAGTAGCTAGGATCACAGGCATGAGCCACCAACGCCTGGCTGGCTTGCATAGTTTTTGAAAAAGAAATTCACCAACAAAACATCACTGATTGTATGAATTTAAGTCTGAACTTTACTCTTGAGAAAAGTTACATCTTTTTAGTCTTAAATAACTTGAAATAAATTAAAATTACTAACTTTTTACACTGGAAAGTAGAAGGAATACTAGATTTATGAATTTGTTTTTTCGATTATGTGGTTTTGTCAAAACTCCTTTTTCTTCTCCTTAACAGTCCTTCAGACTTAGCTGAATTATAGACATAAGCTACTACATCCAGCATATTTTCTTAATACTTTCTTTTAAAGCACACACAAAATTTTTTTGGTGCCCAGCCATACATATTCTTAAGGAAACAAAAATAGTAAGAGACAGTGGCTCATGCCTATTATCCCAGGCTGAGATCTGAGGATCAGGGTTTGAAGGCAGCCTGAGCAAGAAAGTCGATATTTTATTTCTGATTAACCACCTAGAAAGCCAAAAATGGAACTGTGGATTCAAGTGGTAGAGCATAAACCTTAAGCAAAAAAAAACAAAAATCCCAGGTGTCATGGCATAGGTCCTGAGTTCAAACCCCTGTACTAGCTCTCACGCACGCGTGCACGCACGCAGACACACACACACACACACACACACACACACACACACACACACAAGCTACTATTAAGTTAGTATGTTTTAATTACAATTATTTCAATTTAAAAGATATTGTGAATTATTCCAGTGTATTGTATGTGATACTTTTCCTTACTACTTTTAATTTTTTTTAGTATTATTAGTTACCTTTAAATACTATATATATATATATATATATATATATATGCCTTTATGTATATGTATGTACTTATTTGTAAGACATTGGATTTTTTCCTTTTAAAATAGAACTTTGGGCTTGCCTCCTTCAAATCTTAATCCCTCTCTTAACTCTTTAAACTTTAGGCAGAAATAAAACGTCTTCAAGAAGCCAATAAGGCAGCTCGTAAGGAAAGACAACTCATTCTTAAGCAGCAAGAAGAGATAGAAAGGATCCGACAGACCACCATAAAATTGCAGGAAAAGTTGAAGTCTGCAGGGGAGAATAAATTGGTAAATTACATGAAATTATTACTAGTTTGTTTTCTGTACTCTGTTGCTTACCAATGCCATATCCCACCTCATGTTCTTGTGTGATGAGTATATGTTCATTCTAACAGTGTGATATGATAATGAACTAGGATGAAGTTCTATAAATCTATCTTTAGCAGAAAACTATAGTCTTGCTTATCAATCTACCTATATTCCTCAAAATTAATAGGAGAAACTAGTTTGTTCTCTATGATACTTATTTCAGCTATCTAATCTTAGTAGTATAATGATACAAGATTCAAAGATACGTAAACAAGAACCAAATTTAGATCTAAAGTACTGTGAAGTTGACAGTATGAAAAACACTAGACTAAGCCAGGCGCCGGTGCCTCACGCCTGTAATCCTAGCTACTCAGGAGGCTGAGATCTGAGGATTGAAGTTCAAAGCCAGCCCGGGCAGGAAAGTTCGTGAGACTCTTATCTCCAGTAAACCACTAGAAAACCATAAATGGTGCTGTGGCTCAAGCGGTAGAATGCTCACCTTGAGCTGAAGAGTGCAGGGACAGCGCCCAAGCCCAGAGTTCAAGCCCCACAACTGACCAAAAAAGAAAAAAAGAAAAAAGAAAAATACCAGACTATAAACCAGCATAATTTTTAATATTTAATATTTTCTTTGATTTTTAAAATACACTTTAAATTTTGAAGCAATCTCAGAGTTACAAGAAATTTTCAAACAGTACGAAGAATTTTGTTTCTCTGAGTTATCATGTGACAGTAAGTTGCCCGTAAATTGATATTGGTACATTATGACCATTTAGCTTACAAACCCTTTAAATTTCTCCTTTTACAACATAGTGACATATTGCATTTAGTTTCCATGTTTCTTTAGTCTTCACTCTGGAAGAAGTTTTTTGATCTTGAGACTAGAACTTTACATATCAGTTTTTGTTTTGCTTTCCTTTTTTGTTTTTTTTTTTTTTTAATGTTTGTGTGTGAGTAAAATAGTCATTATCTGGACTTTGGTTTCCTCATGATTAAATTCAGTTCGTGCATCTGTGCCAGAATATCAGAGAGATAATGCTATATTATTGTTGCATATGATCAGATGGCACTTGATTTTGATTGATCCTGTTATTGATAGTGTCCTGGTCACTTGACTAAGGTAGCATTTACTGGCCTTTATTGTAAAATTACTGTCTTTCCTCCCTTATAATTAAAAGTATTTTACATGGGAATATTTTGAAACTGCATAAATGTCCTCTCAATTTCAAGTTTAGTTTGTTTATGTCATGATATTATCTAATTAGTCGCAATCAGAGTTATAGTCAGTTATTGTCATCATTTATTTGGTGTTCATTTTCTTCTATATTGAACCATTAAGAGTTCCTTAAACATACATTTCTGTGTCCTTTTGGTACCTCATCTGTCTTAAGCATTTTCATGCTTTCTAGAGCAAAAGGATATTTCAGGATAATTTTAATGTCCTAGCATTTAAAATCAGCTGATCGCCTAGCACCAGTGGGGTTCATACCTGAAATCTTAAATACTCAGGAGGCTGAGATCTTAGGATCATAGTTAAAAGGCAGCTCAAGGAGGAAAGTCCCTGAGATACTCATCTCCAGTTAACCACCAAAATGCCAGAAGTGCAGCTATGGCTCAAGTGGTGCCAGGCTTCAGTGAAAAAGCTAAGGGCCTGCATTTCAGGCCCTGAGTTCAAGCCCTAGTATAGGAGAGAGAGAAAGAGGGAAAGGAGAGGGAGAGAGAAAAGAAGAAAGGGAGAAAAACAGAGGGAGTCTAACTTTCTTCTTTGGTAGGTAATTAGCTAACATCTTCCTTAGAAAATTAGAGATTTGATCATTCCTTCTATGTAACCCATCTTGTATAACCACTGATACTCTTTCCTTTTGTGGATATCCTTCAATCTTGGTTTAAGCTTGTCTCTTCAGTTAAATCATTCCCCATCCCCACGTTCCTTCTCTATACTTTCCCTCTCTTTCCTTTGGGCTCTAACATCTGTGTGAGGAAGTTCTCTGTGGGAAGGCTATCCTTACTGTGTCTGTGCTCATGACCAATATTGGCTCACATCCCTGTGAACATTATTTTTGCTCCATCTAGACTCTGATTTCCTACACAGGCTAGCTTCCTGTTTTCTTCACCCTTCTCAGATTCTGACACACCACTCCTGGCCCCTTTTTTCTTTCCCGTTGCATGAACATCTGTCTTGTTCTCCACCTAATAACTTTAAGATGGGCTTGTTCAGTTAAGGGAAATTCAAAGCAAAAGGACATGAAATAAAAAGACATGATTATCCTTATCTATCTTCCTTAAAAGTTATGTGCATAAATGACTGTAGGAAAAAGAAATACTAAGCAATTAAATTTTATTTTATTTATTTTTTTGGTGGGTCGTGGGCCTTGAAATTTTTTTTAATCATAAGTAATATAATGCTTAAGCAAGTATGTGAAATTACTATTTTCTGCATTGAAAGAAAAAAATCCATCAAATAAGTGTATTCCTTCTGTTTATTCTTTTTGTATGTCGAACATTTATGTTTTATATAGCTATAGTGTCACTCTTTTTGAGAAAGTCAGCACATGTGAATACTAGAGACCTTCTGGTAGATGATTTTTTAGGTTTCTTTTTCTAAATTTTTAGACGTTTTAAAGTTATTATGTGTGATACATTGTTAGTTTATATCTGTCTCTACAACTTGCCCTCCCTCTCTGTGGTAAAAATATATAAAACATAAAATGTACTTTCTTTCCCTTGATTAAATCTCACTGTGTTAGCCCAGTCAGGCTACAAACTTGTGATCCTCCTCCTGCCTTGGCCTTCCAGGTACTAAGATTATAGGTATCTGCCACATGGCTCATTTTTAACTATGTGATTTTTTTTTTCCTTGAGTAGTCAATATTGTAATTGCACCTATTATTATAAACACTGTTTTCAGTTTAATTTTAAATTGAATGTGTTTAAGATCCTTCTAAAGAGTGAAAATTTGCTCCTTTCTTTTTTTTCTTTGTTTTTCAGGACTCTCACAGTGATGATAATGCAAGGGATATCAAGGCAGTTAGTCCTGGTCCAACAGATATAGAGACCCGCAGTCCTTCTCCCATTTCAATCTCCAGCAGTGAAACTAGCAGCATCATGCAGAAACTAAAGAAAATGAGAAGCCGCATGGATGAAAAGTAATTCATTTTCATTTTTTAAATGTCCTGTTTAGTTACATTGAAAATAGTAGCAACAAATATTATTTGTAATACACTTGATTGTATTAGATTGAGACAAAAAGGTATTGTATAGATTTAATCACATCTTAACAGAATTTGTAGATCAACCTAGGAGTTAATTAATTGTAGATCTTATTTATAAAACAGTCTCTCTCATTTTAGTAGAGATAGGTTTCGCATTTAAAAACAAGGTGTATTCATTTATGTATCATAACAGTATTTTTTCTTTTACTAGAAGTCTTACCTACCAACTTTGAGACCAAACTATATCCTCACTTCTCATTCTCTGGTTCTCTTGACAATTCTCAGGCTTACTCATATAGAAGAATGAAATTTTAACCTTGTGAATAGTTCAACTGAAACCAGATAGGCTGAGATTCTCTTGGAGTGTTGAATGATTTCTTATTCTTGCAGACTTTTAAGAAAAGTTTCTAAGGTTTTTCTCTTCCCATCCCTTCTTAAATAAATGCTGCATGATATTTATCATATGGATTGTTAAAATTAACTTTTAATTAAAATATATAATGAATACATAATATGTGTACACACACATATAGATATAATGTTCTCTTTCCATTAGATAGCAAGTAAGCTTTCTTCAAAAAGCATTTATTGAAATTTGAGCTGTCAAGTAGAGCTCACTTGCCTGGAATACTTGAGGCTCTCAGTTTAATCCCTAGCACTGGAAAAAAGTTTTTTAAAGAATTTGTTGGAAGTTAGGCTAAAGATGCTTGTTTGCTTTTCTAATAAAATTTGCCTACTTGGCTGAGATCTGGAGGATTGCAATTTGAGGTCAGCACAAAACTACTAAATTGTGAGGTCAATTTCTGTGGTGCTGATTTTAGATTTGAAAATCCTAAAACACAGATGATCACTGATGGTTCACACCTTAATCCTAGCTGCTCAGGAGGCTGAGATCTGAGTATTGCCATTCCTAGCACGGGAAGACAAATTCTTAAGACTCTTAGCTTCAAATACCAGTTAAAAAGTCAGAAATAGAGATTTGGCGCAAGTGGTAGAATACCAGGTGTTAGGAGAGAAGAGAGCGAGAGAGAAAGAGAAAGAGTACGCATGCTCAAGAGCTGAGGTTGAGTTCAGGCCCCAGAGCCAGCACATTACCCCCCCCACACACACACACACATACTCACTCACTCCTGAAAGACAAAATCAAGGTTGAATTTATTGACTTTGTTCCAAGTTTTAAATTTCATAGAATCAGAAGTATTAGTTTATTAGGTGCCAGTGGCTCATGCTTTTAATCCCAGCTACTCAAGAGGCTGAGATCTGAGGATCACAGTTTGTAGCCACCCCAGGCAGGAAAGTTCCTGAGACACTTAATCTCCAATTAGCCACCAAAAAAAAAAAAAGGGAGAGGGGCAGGGAAGCTGTGGCACAAGTGGAAGAGCACTAACCTTGAGCAAAAAAGCTTATGGACAGTGCTCAGGCCCTGAGTTCAAACCCCAGGACCAGCACACACACACACACACAAAAATATCAGTTGCCTAAAATTTTATATTATTGTTCTGTGTTTCCTTGTCAACTATTAAAAGTAGACTTGGGAACTTTATGAAGGACAATAAGCCTGGGAATGTTCAGTGACTTTGTAATGCAATTGTGTTCTAAGAATATGGGATGAAGACCATAGTGACAAAGAAATGTTTAGATGATGGCTGAAATTTGAAGATAAGCTGAATTATTTTTCAAAATTAATGACATGTTAAATTTATTGTTCAGATAGTTCTGTTAAGCACTCAAAAATTTTGGTCTCTTAAACTTAAATGGTGTCACAATTATCAAAGATTTACAGGTAAGTCTCCTTTAACTCCAACTGATGTTAGAATAATTTTATAGTTACTACTGCCAATACTTAGCAACAAAATTATGTGAATTTTTACTACTTTTTTTTTTGGTTGGTTGTGGAGCTTGCACTCTGGGACTCTGTACTGTCCTTGAGCTCTTCAGATCAAGGCTACTAGCTCTCTACCACTTGAGCCACAGCACCACTTCTGTTTTTCTGGTGGTTAATTGGAGATGAGAGTCTCAAGGACTTTCCTGCCTGGGCTGGCTTTGAACCTCAGTCCTTGTATCTCAGCCTCCGAAGTAGCTAGGATTACAGGTGTGAGCCACTGGTGCCTGGCCCCTTTGCTACTTTTTGATCAAGTACTTTTATTTCCCGAATAGATTTGTAAAGACAGTCAGAACTATTTTTATATGTATATATTTTATATGTATATGTGTATATATTTTTATACAGCTTTTATGCACACATATCAAAGAGTAGTCATTCTGCCTAATAAGTTTGATGCATTTTGGAGGATAACTTTTATATATATGTGTGTGTATATATATATATATATATATATATATATATATATATGTATATGTGTACACACACAAATTTTTTTTACTGTTATCCATCTAATCTCTGCTTTCTATATTTTTTGAAGTGATGATACCACTCTTGGCTACAATGCAAGATTTCCTTCAATGTTTTACTAGAAAATAAGCTGTCATATTTCTGATACATGGCTTGTCTTAACTCTGCTGAGTTGACATTTTATGAATAATTTTCTTCCATTTATTAACAGTAGTTTGTTTTTTTCATATTTATAGTTAATTGTATACTTGCTTCCTTCACAATTATTTCTTGAATAAATGCTCCATTGTATGACAAAGATAAATCAAATGAAAATTTGCCCTCAGAAAGCTTATACTCTATATGAAAAAAAAGTGTGGCATGATCACTTACAAAAGCATATATAAATCAGTTGATAAGGAAGTTCAGAAAGTTATTTCTGCTGATATAGGAGTATATCAAGTAAATTTACTGGACAGGTGTTTAGAATTAAATATATTTTGAGGGGCTGGGAAGGTGGCTCAGTGGTAGAGCGCTTGCCTTGCATACCTGAGGGCCCTGGGTTTGATTCCTCAGCACCATATAAGCAAAAAGAAAAAAGCTGGAAGTGGTGCTGTGGCTTAAGTGGTAGAGCACCAGCCTTGAGCTGAAGAGCTGAGAGACAGCGCTCAGGCCCAGAGTTCAGGCCCCATGACCGGACCAAAAAAAAAAATAGATAGATTGATAGATAGATATATCTCACTATATATATATCTATATCTATATCTATATCTATATATAGTGAGAGAGAGAGATTTGAAAGTTCTTTCTACTGTACGAATAAATTGAAAATTCATATTTTTTGTTTGATCATTCATTTCATCCTAAATTATAGATTGGTGATTTATAGAGAAAGAAGATATTCTAGAGAAAACTATTCTGTAGTACTGTACCCAGCTGCTCAAAGACAACTATTATCTATCATGGTTTGTTACATATCCACAAGCCAATGATCACGTATCATGTTAGAGATTCCTTTTATACTTCTTAGTTTGTTTAGAAAACTTCCAAAGGGACAAAAATAGTTTACCTATTTTTAATAATTATAAAGTCAAGCAGATAAGTGTGACAATTTTTAATAATTATAAAGTCAAGCAGATAAGTGTGACATTCTGTCTAAAAGCATTTCTGGTTCAATCAATGTTGAAGACTTAAGGGTTTTCAAAGTAGGGTTTTTAACATAAAGAATATATCTCAACTAGAATTATCTTAAGTAATTTATTAAATATCATTACTTTAGGTATAATTGCTTTAGAAAAGATTCCAGTCTAAGTGTAGTAGCTTAGTAAGTCCTGATAAAATATATATTATGTGCTTTTAGTCTCTAGTTTTTAGGTCAAATATATCATTTTATCACTCTATTTAAATATATGAAAAGTACTAGATAATTTTAAGCAATATAATACGTGATTCCTGTAGGAGAAAACTAAACTTTTCTTTTTAGATCAGTACTATTTATATTTTTACTTGTCTTCCTATTTGAATATTATCAAAGATATTTTAGGGTTTAGGATAGTCCATTTCTAAAATTTAAAGCACTGTTTTATTACTACTTTTAGCAATAAAGAATTCAAAAAGAACTTAAAAAATATGTGTGGATTAAGTTTTATTTGTTTTGTTTAATGTCTTTCAGAATTAAAAGAATTTAGTTCTAAAAGTGTCATTAAAATTTAGGCAAGGGTTGAGAATGTGGCTTAGTGGCAGAGTGCTTACCTTGCCATGCACGAAGCTTTGGGGTTCAATTCCTCAGTACCACATAAAGAGAAAAAGCCAGAAAGTGGCTCTGTGGCTCAAGTGGTAGAGTGCTAGCCTTGAGCAAAAAGAAACTCAGGGACAGTGCCCAGGCCCTGAGTTCAAGCCACAGGACTGGAAAGAAAAAATAGGCAATTTATCTGGGTGCTTGTGACTCATGGCTGTAACCCTAGCTACTTAGGAGGCTGAGATCTGAGGACTGAGGTTCAAAGCCAGCCAGGGCAGAAAAGTCCATGAGATTTTTCAATTAAGCCCTCCAAAAGTCAAAAATGGATCTGTGGTTTAAGTGGTAGAGCACTAGCCTTAATTGAAAAAGTTGAAGGACAGTGTCCAGGCATTGAATTCAACTCCAGGGCACGCACACACACAGACACACACAGACACACACACACACACACACACACACACGCAATTCTATTTTTCAAATGTCTTTCAAAATGATTTTAGAACACCTGAGAGATACTCTCCTTGCTTGCCTCCCCAGTATTAAAACCTACGATCTCAGTAAATTTGAGTATGATTTTACAATCACTTGTAATACAATTAACAATTATATTCGCTCTGTGGGAGAAAAATAATTCTCATTTATGTCTCATGATCTAGCAGTATGTTGAAATGTGACAATAAGAGATCCTTGGATGGGGCTGGGAAGGTGGCTCAGTGGTAGAGCGCTTGCCTTGCATGCATGAGGCCCTGGGTTCGATTCCTCAGCACCACATAAGCAAAAAGAAAAAAGCCGGAAGTGGTGCAGTGGCTCAAGTGGTAGAGCGCTAGCCTTGAGCTGAAGAGCTGAGGGACAGCGCCCAGACCCAGAGTTCAGGCCCCACAACCGGACCCCCCCAAAAAAAAAAGAGGTCCTTGGAGAAAGAATCATAAAATGTTAGAAACTAGAAGGGCTCTTGGGAAGATATCTTTGTTTTATATAAAGAATATGAGACCCACAGAGTTATATCAAGCAGAATGGCAGAGCTAGCACTGGCAACCTGCTCTCTAGATTTGAGCCAATTACAACTAAAATTGGGTTACATTAACATATCTACTTTTCTACCTTGTAGTTTCCAAAACAAACACACACAAAGGTTAGTCAACTGGAGCAGAATCTATCCTTCTAAGTATTATTTGTTGAAACTAGAAGTGTGCTGATAGCTGAGTACTAGAGTTGAATAGCACAAATTAGGTGAAAATGGGAATTCGAAAGCAGATTACTTACAAATTCTTTTAAGTTTTCAAATAATTATTTGCACAGTAGATGAACTCTGTTGTGTATCTAATCCCACTTGAGTGTTCCGTTGAGAACCTTGTTGAGGCCTTTGTCAAGGGATACTTTGATATCAAACATAAAAAGGCTATTAGTATCATTTTGTTTCCATCATTCAAAAATTTTCACATTTGGTTGATTTATTACAAGTGCAGCATCTTGAAGGATTGTTAAGTTAACCCTAATGTGAAGTACTATTCTTTACTCTTTAGTTCTGAAATATATTTACATTAAATAAGGAAATACATTTCTGGCTAAGGAATTCTAACTTTACAATCAGATTAAACTTTTCATGCTGTTTGTTATTGTTGTTGTTGTTGTTTGTGCTAGGCAAGCCACTTTGCCAGTGAGCTCTTTCTCCAGACCATCTTACACTATTTCTTAAAGTCTTTTCTCCCCCCATTTCTATTAGGCATTTCTCCCTCTTCCCCCCATCTCAAAACTAAACGTTTTGAATACATTTTATAATGAAAAATATATGTCAGTTCTGGTCTTAATAGAGAAAAAAAGTATTGTTATAATTGGACTGGGCAAAAAAATGAACTTATGCATTTATGGTTTATTATACATGTTCCAATGTTATTTTACTTTTTATACTAGGTCATGCATACATTTAGCAGTTATGTACTTGAAAGGGTGGGTGATATTTACATGCTATGAATTGGTTTTTTTGAACCATTTTCTAAGGATATTTGTTTTCATATACTATTTTGATAATTAGCATCAAAATAAGTTTATTGTACATTCATAAAGAATGGCAAGGAAAATTGCAGTGTTTTCCTCAAATTTGCAAAAATGTTTTTCCTTGAACTTCAGTGCAGAAAGTCAAGGCAATCCAGGTGTGTGTGTGTGTGTGTGTGTGTGTACATGTGTACGTGTGTGTGTGTACGTGTGTGTATGTACGTGTGTGTATAAGTAAATTAATTAGAAATAAAATATGTGTAGGAACGGACATTAAAACAGTCTGTTATCTAAAGATATATTAGACAAGATATACACTTTTAAAATTCATGTAAGTGGTTGGATTTATACCTAGATTTTCTCACATATTGATATCAGTCCTTGCCCTTCCAAGGCAATAAACTTTGCCTTTCTCTACAAGTTGTTGTTGTGTGCATGTGAACAGAAGCATGCTCTGTCAAAGAGAACTAGCCTTTCCAAACTATTGCTAAATTTGTTCTTTCATATGGGTATTTAATGATATATTCACTACTATAACAGAAGAAAAAATGAAGGATTTTCTTCTACTGTTACAAGTTTAACATGCGAAAAGTTATAATCTTTAGCCTCTGATTGAATTGTCCATAGCATATTTTTAACTGATAGACTTGAGAGTTGTTCATTTTATTCTTAATTATGCATTCTCGGATGTTTTAGAATGGGTGTTTCTGTATTATTATTCAAGTGGGCCTTTGTTAGATTTCAAGCAAGGTACCCCCACGAGGTCCTGTTAGCAATTGTATGTTGTAGAAGTTAATAATATATTTTCCTAACAGTTGATTACTGAATCATATTATTATTTTCAAGTTAAACTGTGTTTGAAAGTTAAATAAGGAAAATGTAGGACTTTTAAAATTCAGTTTCAAGCTTCTAACAGAGGACAGAGTACAAATAGAAAAATCAGTTGCTCAAATTTACATAATGTAGAGTTGCTGATATACTGATTATAGCCTTAACTGTTATGTTACACTTTATATTAAAGTTTATTTGAAAACTTATTTAGCCCTGCATTGGTTTTCTTATTTTGCTCACAGGCAAGTAAATTTAACCTAAAATATAGATGATGATGATAAACAGGAATGTGTATTCAGAAATCATTGGTAAGATTGATAACAATACATGTTTGTATGTCACAGAGTATACGACTTACTTTAACTGAGTAGCTTTTGATGCTATTCAGAAAACATATTAAAAGTTCTTCATTCAGCTCCTTTGCTCTCCCTTTCTCATTCTTCCTGCCTCTTGATCCCTTGATTTTAAAACCTTCCTCCTTATTTTGTAGACACTGCTCTCCTGTTCACTACTTCTTCTCTGTCTTTACGTCTCACCACTGGGCCTCTCTCAGTGTCTGTTTTCCCAACCTTCATCCCAAATTCCAGCTGTATATCTACAACCAGTTGGTCAGGTAACTGCACCTTTTCCAGTGCACTCTTTGATAGAGCATGCTCTGTTCTTTTTTAGGTGTTTATTTTTTTAATGTTTGTTTGCTTTCCTTTTTTTTTTTTAACAGCCTGGAGGCCTCTTGTTTTTGTCATATAGACATATAAATTTTATCTTCATTGTTTCTACATTAAACTGATTGACATGGTGATTATTTAAGAGATGAAATGACAGTTCTTACTTTATTATTTTATTGGATCTATGAATGCACTTTTATTGATAGTTATAATCAATATGAGCAGTGCATATTTTATTAGCCTCAATGGCTACATTTAGAAAGAGTTTTGTAGTAGTCATTAATAAAATAATTTTGTCTAGATCAATACTTTCTTTTAATCTTTCAGGCCTAAGATTTAAATGGGTATTTAAGTTCAGAGATCTGATTAAATGGAGAAAACTGAGTCATTTGATGCTTACCTTTACTTTTATATGAATAAAGCTTCGGAATGGTACTCAGTGTTCTTTATATTTAAAAAAAATTACCATCTAATAATAGCAACCAAAAATCACTAGGTCTATAGCAAAATTAGATGGAATTTGAAAATAAAAGTCAAAAGGAGATAAAACCATGTTTTTTCTTTGCTTGCTTATTGGGGTGTTTTGAGGATTATTTTTTTCTTCTTGTTGCTTTAGGTCTTTGTTGTTTTGAGTTTTGTGTTTTCTGATCTAAGCATTCAGAATAATTACCTTTTTCTGTTATAAAAATATAATAATCACCTGTAGAAATGAGTATATGAGCCAGGCGCTGATGGCTCATACCTGTAAATCCGGGCTACTCCAGATGTTGAGATGTGAGGATGACTTTTCAAAGCTAGCCCAGCAAGGAAGTCCATGAGACCAAAAAAAAGCCAAAAATGGAACTGTGGCTCAAGTGGTAGAGCATTAACCTTGAACAAAAAAGCTCAGAGACAGTACCCAGGCCCTGAATTCAAGCTCCAGGACAAGTGACAAAAAGAAAAGAATCTATGAGTTAAAAATTAATATTATCGGAGCTGGGAAGGTGGCTCAGGAGTAGAGCGCTTGCTTTGCATGCATGAGGCCCTGGGTTCGATTCCTCAGCACCACATAAGCAGAAAAAGCCGGAAGTGGTGCTGTGGCTCAAGTGGTAGAGCACTTGCCTTGAGCTGAAAAGCTGAGGGACAGCGCCCAGGCCCAGAGTTCAGACCCCACAACCGACAGAAAAAAAGAAAAAAAATTAGTATTATCAGTCATGATTACTCAGAATCTTAAAAAAAATTGTCTGTATAGGTATGTGTGTGTGTGAATTTGCCATTGTTTTTCCTTTACTAATCTTTATAAACTATTTTAAGAAAACACAAATTCTCTTATTTCTGACTCATCAATGCTTCTTCTGTTATTTCCAAGCTTTTTTTCAGAGAGTAGTGTGAATGTTTTGCTTTTGTGGGTGAGGAATAAGTGAGAGGGATTTCAAAATGACCTGTGCCTATTGGAGTTTTTCTTACTTTTCTCCATGGTGTGACCATAGGTTTCTGACAAAGAGAGAGCAAAAACTAATGCAACGGCGACAACATGCAGAAGAGCTCTTAGAGTGGAAACGACGTTTAGATGCAGAAGAAGCAGAAATTCGTCAAATGGAAAAACAGGCTTTGGCCGCCTGGGACAAAGAACTAATAAAACCCAAAACTCCTAAGAAAGAACTGGAAAGCCAGAGAACAGAACAGAAAGGTAATAGATATAACTCTTCAGACCACAAACTAGTCTAGCATACTTGAAAGATTTATCTTTTTAAAATATGAATGATTAAAGGTAAAGAAGGCAGTACAACTGCAAAAACTGTGATGTATTTTTTGCTAATACAAACTTGAAACTTGGAGGAAGTGGGTAAATTTTTCTAAAAAATTACAATTTGCCAAAGCTTATACAGTAAGAAAATAAGAACCTTTCTAGTTCTTTGACCATTAAAGAAATTGACCTGCTACTTCCTTCTTGACAATAGTAAGAATTACTTGTGATGTTTTGGAAAGCACTGAGTATCTAACTCTCTGTTATGCACCAGACATGTAAGTATATTACCTTGTCAAAGAGTAAATAATTTATACTTGTGTGATGAATGAATGAATAAAATCAGTATTATAAAATTACCATTCGTTTCATTTAGTTTTACTATCTATTAGTAATAGAATGACCATACAAGAAGACATTAATGATTCTAATTTCAATAGCCGAAGATTTAATCTTGCTTCCTCTTCAGACAATAAGTAACATGTTTGTGAGATTTTTTTTTAAAAGTCTTACCCACTTTTTCCTAGAAATGGAAAGATCCTTGTCTTTAAACTACTACTTGACAAAGAGTAACATGTGTACTGCTTACAATATTCAGAAATGCATACTTTCAAATTAGTATTTGACTTTTGTCAAATATGTTAAACACACTTGATATTAAAGAAGCTATTGTTAAGCTGAGTGCTGGTGGCTCATGCCTATAATCCTGGCTATTCAGAAGGCTGAGATCTGAGGATTGCAGTTAGAAGCCAGTCCAGGCAGGAAAGTCTCTTAGATTTATCTCCAGTTAACTACCAAAAAGCTAGAAGTGGGAGTTGTGTCTCAACTGAGCAGTTAAGCTCAGGGATAGTGTGTGATAACGTGGGATATTTGCACAGAAATGAACAAATAGACAATGGGGAAAAAAAATAACCTAGTAAAAGACCCATGCACCTAGGAAAAGTTGACTTTTGAAACAGGCAGCTTTTGCAGGCCTGTCCCTAAGGACAAGAAACTTTGTAAGGAGGAAACAGTAAAGTTGGATCTATACTTAACAATATTAAAGATGTTCCAAAGGGGAAATAAAAGCTTAAAGGTAAAAACAAAACTATAAAACTTTTGGAAGATAATATAATAAAGTATCTTTATCACATCGTGGGTAAGGAAAGAATTCTTTAACATGTTACAGAAAGCAAACTGTGATAAAAGATTGATGAATTCCTTCAATAAAGTAATATTTCTTATTCATTAAACACCATAAAGTAAAGAATAAAAATAAAAGAATATTTATATCACATGACTAGCAAAGGAAATATATTATCTTTTTCTTAACTTTTAAAAATGTTGGAGGGGAGGGTTCTATTTCAGTGATTCTCGTTAGGAACAATGTCATAAGTGTCTTTATAGCTAGTCAGTCTGTCTCTATGTCTATGATCTATCTTCTGACATCGTACCTTAACCATGAAGTTTATCTGTGATGTTTCTATTTCAACTTTAAATAATGGTGATTGCAACCTATTTCATGTGCCACTAATGGTTCACAACCCACATCTTAATGTTGCTCAAGGATAGCAGTTCTCAAATAGAGAATTATTTATACACTTAAAAATTACCAGTCAGGAGGCTTCTAAGATGACATAATGGAAACAAGTAACGCTCTGTAGTTTCTGTGAAGCTCAGAAGCAAAAAATATCTAGCAAATAGGTTTTGGGGGTACGTTTTTAAGTTCAGAATAAGTGCTCAGCTACTACAAAGGAAGACTGCCTATCTATTTATGATAAAAACCCCGTAAAATGATTTTAAAATGAGGGGAATGTGGAAGGGATAAGGAAGAGTAATAGATTGAATGAATTTGATCTAAGTTTACTATATGTATGTTTAGGAAGTTATAATGAAACCCTTTTGTACAATTTATGCTCATGAAAAAATTGAGGACTCCAAAGAGATTTAGGTGGTATATTTTTAAATTATTTACCAAACAAAATTAACTAAAACTATTTTAAGTATTCATACATACGTACAAACACACATATGAGGATATATTCTGAGAAGCATGTTGTTAATAAGTTTCATCATAGGCTACAGGTCAATCACTTAATGTAGTCTCTTGATAATAGTCCAAGCACATGATGTATTAAGATTTTGGGGCATAACATGGCATACTATTTTACTATAAGTAAGTAAATAAGTGTGAATATTTATCTAGTATACTGGGGATTGATAGTGATAAAAAGTATAATGCATGTGCCAATAATAGCTATTCATTGTATTATTAAGTTTTACTGACTATATATGTGCGGTACTTAGATATCACTGACAGCACTGGTTTGTTTACCCCAGCATCATCACTTATCACATGAGTAATGGTTGTACTATGACTTCATAACAGCTATGGGCATGGTTGCAGTGAAGCTTCTAGAAGGCAGTATGGCAATTCTTTGTGAAAATTTAAAATGCAGCTGCCTTCTATTCTTGGAATTTCACTTTTGGTTGTATATCCCCAAAAAATCTGAAAGCAGTATATCAAAGAGATATTTGTCCATCACTGTTTTTTAAAGCATAGGGCTGGGAAGGTGGCTCAGAGGTAGAGTGCTTGCCTTGCATACATGAGGCCCTGGGTTCAATTCCTCAGCATCACATAAACAGAAAAAGCCGGAAGTGGCGCTGTGGCTCAAGTGGTAGAGAACGCCCAGACCTAGAGTTCAAGCCCCACGACTGAAAAAAAAAAGGGGGGGGGAGGCTGGGAAGGTGGCTCAGTGGTAGAGCGCTTGCTTTGCATGTATGAGGCCCTGGGTTCAATTCCTCAGCACCACATAAGCAGAAAAAAAAAAGCGGAAGTGGCGTTGTGGCTCAAGTGGTAGAGCACTAACCTTGAGCTGAAGAGCTGAGGGACAGTGACCAGGCCCAGAGTTCAGGCCCCGCGACCGGACCCCCTCCCCCCCCCAAAAAAAGAGCATTACTCACATTAGCCAGAAAACCAAGTGTTGATTGATAGATGAATGAGTAAACAAAGTGTAATAAATATATACAGTGGAATATTGTTTGTTCAGCTGTTTTAGGAGAAATCTAACGCACTATACTATGAGAAGTTTGGAGTACGCAAAATTATTACAGAATTTGAACTTGGGTAGGAAGAAACTTCTGTTTATAGATAGTGGTGATAGTGTGAATGTACACAGTCCCACTGCCCTTTAAATGGCCAAATTGTATTGTGTTTTCATTATACTTTTTAAAAATTCAGCTTAAAAAGGAAATATAGAAAAATGGCTAGAAAGACATACACAGGATCTCCTCCTCCTCCTCCCCCTCTCCTTCTCTTCCTCCTCTTCTTTCTCTCCATCTCTTCCACTGCCTCTCATCCTCTCTCTCCCTCCTTCCCTCCTCCCCTCTCCTTCTCTTCAAACTTGGCTTCCACTGGTTTACCTTGGTTGTGTGGAAGTTGGACAGGTGAAAGCGCTTGGGAATGGGAATATGAATGAGTCACTATATGCTCTGTACTCTTTGAAGTTTTTTTTTTTTTTTTTTTTTTTTTACTACCAGTCTTGTACTGCTTTAAAACTTAAAACAATGACAAAAATCTTTCATAGAAACATCTGCTCAAATAGGAGTAGTAAACAAATGACTTTCATTTACTGCTTAGTTTTTATATTATTTGAATTTTGAAGTGAGTTAACTGTTACCAAACAAAACCTGTATACCTGTTGACAGGAAATGGAGAGGTGTGAAGGATTATATTTCCTCCTGCTTAAATATTAAAACATTTCTAAACTGTTTTTAGTTGTACCCACATACCATCTTTGTATAGATGGATTATCTCTGATTTTTTTAAACTTACTCATTTACTTATTCAGTCTGATTATACTATGCATTCATAATTTTTTGCATGTGATAATAGGGTTTGAATTCATTGGGCATTTACTACACAAGTGCTTTACCACTGGATATCAGCCCTTTTTGCTTTGGTTATTTTATTAAATTTTCTTTGTTGTAAAGATGCTGTACTGAGGGGTTTCAGTTACATGAATAAGGTAATGAGTACATTTCTTGTCAAACATTGTTATCCACTCCTTTGTTGTTTTCCCACTTATCCCTTCCCTCCTCCACTCCTTCTCCCATCCCCCGAAGTTGTATCTTTGTTGCAATGGGCTTTGTCCTTCTTTCAGCATTTTGTTATTCCCCTTCCTTCCCCAACTCAGAAAAATGTATATACAAGACAGAGGGTACCAGAATCAAAGACACTGATTGCCAGGGATGGGAACAACAGGTCTTTCTTTTCTTTTTGGTTGATGACTTTGTTGTGCCAATGTACTGTTCTTTCTTCTTTCTTGTCTTTTCCATTCGTTTATCCCTGTCAATCACTGTCTGATTTTGGTTATTTTTAAGGTAGGCCAGGCTGGACCATGATCTTTCTATCTGTGCTCCCATATATGGGATGACAGGTGTTCCCAGCCATGGTGTTCACCCTGTAGCTGGGATGACAGCACACATCACAGCGTCCAGTCATTGGTTAAGATGGAGTCTCGCAAACATTTTTCCCAGGTTGGCCTCAAACTCCAGTTCCTTGACCTCTGCCTTCCAAGTAACTAGTGTTATAGGTGAACCGCTATGCTTAGTTTACACACATGTAATATTTATAATAATATGTTTAAATATTTGAGTATATGAAACTTAAAGGCTTTTAATGGTCACTTTATGTAAATATATCTTACCCTCTTCAAACTAGCTGGTAATGAGCAGACTGTGAACCTGAATTTGGCCAGTTCAAGCACATGAGTAGGGACTGTTGGTTAGGGTTAAGTAGCCTGCCTGCTCTATGTGTGCTTGCCAGATTTTTGGCTGATGACACACCCTTATGCAGAAGTAAACTTTGCCTTGCTGGGGGGGGGAAACACAGATTTTTTTTTAGTGTCATACCTTTGTTTACTTAAATAATATATTTTTTCAAGTATATAGATTTCTTTATATTAAATAATCCTATTTTATAGATTTTAGATAGAGAATATTAATTTATAAACTTTAAAATCTTAAATAATTTTTAAAATCTTAAGTAATTTTTAAATTAAGTATATTAAATGTTAGTAGTATTTACTTAAGTATGATGTTATAACTTAATCCTTCTAAAGCATTGTACCTATAAAGGCAAAGAAAGAAAACAGTGTATATTTTAACGTTCTTCAAGTGTCTCAACATTTTTTAGTTTACATCAAACATAATTTTGTTTTCTTGGGAGGTGCAGAGTCAAAAACAAATTCTAGAGATGAAACCAATGTTGCAAGACAATTTTGAAAGTACAAAATAGAATGCATGCTTGCATCTCTGCTTCCATATTTTTAGTGCTGTGTAATATCTAATATAGAAATACACAATTCCTTTCCTGTCAAGAGATTTCAGGTTTCTGGTTTTTTTTTTTTAAATTCTATACCAATCTTGCCACTGAACTTGTCTCTAGAATGTTTATCTAGGAGTGGAATTCCTCAGTCATAGAGTATGTGTTTTCATGTGTGTGGAAGGATGTGGGTATTTGGGGGCTTGAACTCGGGGCCTTGATACTGTCCCTGAGCTTTTTGGCTCAAGGTTAGCACTCTACCATTGGAGCCACAGCACCACTTCTGCTTTTTTGGTGGTTAACTGGAGAGAAGAGTCTCATGGACTTTTCTGCCCAGGATGATTTGAACCATGATCTATTTTAGCCTATAGGTGGGAGCTGTTGCCCAGCTATGTTTTCATCTTTAAGTAATTCTTTTTCCAAAATGATTGGGCCAATTCCACTGCTAAAGGAATATATGAACCATAATTGTTTTGCATTCCCACAAAAGATTATAATTATCATTGCTAACTATATATGGTAAATAACTTCTCTCAGGTCTGGTAAGAAGGACCTTAAGTGGTAGAGTGTGCTAAAAAAAATTTTCTGTTGGTGTCAGTCATAATTCTTAAAACTTTATAGTGAAAATTAGATGTCATGATAAAAAGATTATATGTAAATAGAGCTAGTGATTTTATGCTGAGAACAAATGTAACATATAATAGTTTGATTTTTTTCCATTAATTGAGATCATAATTTTTTTTTTTTTTTTACCTTTTCTTTCCAGACATAGTGAGTGAAGAGGAATCTCCAGTACCTTCCTATTCTCACCGAAACAGTGAAAGCAGTATTCCAGAAGAGTTAGGCAGCCCTGCTGTTCTGTATATACCATCTGAGGCAGGAGTACAGGAGCAGCCAGGGAGCCCAGATCGTAGTGTACTTACTGAAGAAATGGTTTGTTCACAGGAATTAGAATCTTCTACCTCTCCTAGTAAACATGTACGTTAACATATACTTACATTCTAAGGCTTTTTTAGAAAAAAAACTTGTTTAGAAGATACGTTATTAATAGTTACATTATTTCTTTTCTTCTCTTCCCCTCTCTTGGTGCTGGGCTGTGAGCTCAGGGCCTCATACTTTCTAAGCAGGTGTTCTGTCACTTGAGCCATGTCCCTAAGCCATTTTTGTGATAGTTATTTGTTCAAGCTGTCCTGGGCCATTATTCTTTTACTTAAGCTTCCTCTGTAACTGGATAGTAGGTACACACACTCTTTGTTGAGATGATGCGGGATCTCACTTAACTTTTTTGCTCAGGTTGGCCTTGATCTGTAGTCCTCCCCATCTGAGTCTCCTAATTAGAGATGTGAGCTGAAATACTTAGAGATAGTTACCTTTTTTTCTATTAATAATAAGCCTTGACTATCACTTATATAAGATATAACATGAATACATAAAACTTTTTAACTCATACAGATTTATAAACATATGAACTATGGCTTTAGTGGGAGTTATCGGACTGGTGATTTGTACATTTGAAATAGTCCTGATAATAATAGCCTTGTATAAATAATTTACTTGTAGCATAATTCTTATCTTCTAGGAATTTGTAACTACAAACTCTGCATTTTGATACAATCTTAATATTTGATACAATCTTCCCTGGCATCATTACTGAAGTTACTAATTGAATACTAAATATTAGGCTTTTATTTTTTACAAGAAATTTTATCAAAATGCATCTTTATAAAAAAGCTAATATTGGTCCTGGTGGCTCACGCCTGTAATCCTAGCTACTCAGGAAGCTGAGATCTGAGGATCGTGGTTCAAAGCCAGCCTGGGCAGGAAATTCCATGAGACTCTTATCTCCAGTAAAGCACTAGAAAACCGGAAGTGGTGCTGTGGCTCAAGCGGTAGAGGGCTTGCCTTGAGCTGAAGAGTTCAGGGACAGCACCTAAGCCCAGAGTTCAAGCCCCACAATTGACCAAAAACAAAAAGAAAGAAAATTGAATTTGTATGCTTTATTGAACTTATGAACTTTTGTTGTTGTTGTTCCATAGAATTATTTAAAACTGCATAAATGTCTTTGTGTGGGTGCCAGTCCTGGGCTTGACTCAGAGTCTTTCCCTGAGCTTTTCTGCTCAAGGCTGACACTCTACCACTTAAGCCATGGTTCATTTTCTGACTTTTTTGGTAGTTAATTGGAGATAGAGCCTCAAGGATTTTTCTGCCCAGCTGGCTTTAAACTGCAATCCTTAGATCTTAGCCTCCTGAGTAGCTAGGATTTCAGGCATGAGCTACCAGTGCCTGGCTAAAACTTAATAATTTTTGTTGTTGTTGTTGTTGGTCATCGGGCTTGAACTCTGAGCCTGGGCGCTGTCCCTCAGCCTTTCAGCCCAAGGTTAGTTCTCTACCATTTGAGCCTATAGCACCACTTCCGGTTTTCTGGTGGTTAATTGGAGATAAGAGTCTCACAGAATTTCCTACTCATGCTGCTTTGAACTGCAATCCTCAGATCTCAGCCACCTGAGTAGCTAAGATTACAAGTTTGAGCTGCAGGTGCCCAGCATAATTTTAATTAGCTAGTATTTCAGTGAAGAGAGATGTATTTGAGATTGAACTCTGGGCCTTGTTCAGAAGCAAGCACTCAAGCTCTGAATTCAGTCCCAGCTCCAGCTGTCCAATCTCAGTTTTTAAATAGAATTTCACAACTATATCACAAAATAATTCCCACTTGGTGATTTTTCTGTTTGAACAGTCACCTCCCAAAAGCTGCGCATCTGTGTCAAAGCAGGACTCCAGCAAGGGAAGTCATCGGACTGGAGGACAACACCGTCTGACCGCAAAGTCCCATCAGCACTGTTATAGTTGGTCAGATGAGTCATTGTCTATGACACAGTCAGGTAAGGCTCCTGAAGAGGAGTTTCTTTTCTTTGTATTATATTTGGGTTCATCTTTAATAAGCTTGTCTAACCATATACTAATATATTATCTTTTTTAGCGTTTGTATAGGCTTTATTCTTGTTGGCATTAAACCATATAATTATTCATTCCTCATTGATCATTTTATCTCTTAATTCCATAAAACAAAGGTCTATAAAATTTTGTTTTTTATTCATTAGTGGACAGTTATTCAATAACATGTTTAGGTTTTTCTTTGTCTGCTTTAGGCCCGTTCATAACAGAATTTATAAAGAGACTGCCCAGATCCCCCTTCTAGACTGTAAACTTATAGCGAGAAGACTCTGTGTTTTATTAACATTTGTAATCACCCGGCCTCATGGAAACTCAGTGCTGATGTAGATGTGTATTGAATATTTATTGTTTGAATTAATGATAACCATGAGGAAAAAGAGAAAAAAGTAAGATAGCACCAATTCAAAAGAAAAAAGATACACTAAGGGAGCGTTTTCTATATGGTGTATGTGTGTGTGAATGTGTGCATGTATGCATGTGTTATGAAATTAATGAGCTGCTTCACTCCTGTGATTTTAACACTCAGGAGACAGAGACAGAGGATCACAAATTCAAGGCTAGCTACATAGAGCTACAGGGGGAGTTCCAGGTAATCCAGAGCTGTACTGGGAAACCTTGTATCCAAAACAATAAAAAAGTTAAAACAAGAATGGTAGCCTCTTCTCTGAAAGGATTCAAAGAAGTTGTTGAAGCATATCTAGAGAGACAGTGCAGGGTTTGAGTAGAATTATAAAAATTAATTATTTATTGCATATTGTTATATTGATTATTTTAATAGGCATGTTAAGTATATTGCCTTTTGAGCTCAGTTATGGTTTCCAGAGTAGACATTTAGTAAAGAAAAAATGAAAATTGGTTTGGTTTTTGTTGTTGATAGTGGTGGTTTGGTATTATTTTGTTCTACTTTTTTGGTCTTTGTCTCCGAAATATACTCCTGACCATGTTTGAACACTGTAGATCATGGGAATTTTCTTATGCCCATACTTAATAGATCTCCTTTATTCCTTGTGTAACTATGCAATATTTTTTTTTTTGGGGGGGGGTCCGGTCGTTGGGCCTGAACTCTGGGCCTGGGCGCTGTCCCTCAGCTCTTCAGCTCAAGGCTAGTGCTCTATCACTTGAGCCACAGCGCCACTTCCGGCTTTTTTTCCTTTTGCTTATGTGGTACTGGGGAATCGAACCCAGGGCCTCAGGCATGCAAGGCAAGCGCTCTACCACTGAGCCACCTTCCCAGCCCCATATGCAATATTTCAAAGGGTAGATTATAATTTAACTATTTTCCTAAGGCTGATTTATAGTATAATATCTTTAAATGTGGTGACCATATAGATTCTTCGAAATAGAATTATTATTATTATTTGGTGCTGGTACTAAGGCTTGAACTCAAGGCCTGGAGCTTTTTTGCTCAAGATTCATTCTCTACCACTTGAGCCACAACTCTACTTTTTTATTTTTGGTGGTTAGTTGTACTGAAAAGTCTCACAGACTTTGCTGCTAGGGCTGGCTTTGAACCACAATACTCAGCTGTCAGCTTCCTGAGTAGCTAGGATTACAGGTGTGAGTCACCAGAGCCTTGCTTCTTCTACAAAATCTAACAAGATAACAGCTCAAGTTTTAGAAGCAAATGGATTTCTTTACCAACTTCACCAGTAACTAAACTATTGCTATATAAAATATTTGTTTTGTGCTAGTATTATTACTACAGTTTTTAAATAAAATATACAGGTAATTTTATTTGGCAGAAGTTGTCTATATATTATGTACAATAATGTGATTTAAAAAAAAAAACCATACATTGTAGATGTTAAATTGAGCTCTTTAACATGCACAGTACCTCATATAATTATTCTTGTAAGAAAATCTAAAATATTCTCTTACATTGTTCCAAACTATAGTTACCACAGTATAATGGTAGATATCTTGAACTGATTTTTTCCTGCTTAACTGAAAATGTATATCCTTTGAATCTTTTCCCTAATCCCTGATTGAACCCCATTCCAGCCACTGTACTATTATACTTGTTGCTTCTGTGACTGTTTTTTTGCATTTAACATATAAGTGAGATCTTGTGTTACTGTGCCTGGCTTATTTTTCGTAACAATAATATCCTCTAGGCTCATCCATGTTTTTGGTAATGATAGCGTTTCCTTTTTGTGTGTTAGACTGAGTAGTATTCCATTGCGCATATATCACATTTTCTTTATCCATTCTATTCATGCATGATGAACACTTAAGTTGATTTATTTTAGCTTTTATTAAATTCGAGGCACTATGCCACACATTGTTTTGTACATACCTTATTTAATTACATCAATTTGAGAAAATTTTCTGGATCACACACCTAAGTAGTAGGTCCAGGGTTTAAAAATGGTCTTTTTGTTTTTGGTGGTGGTGGTCATGGGGCCTGAACTCTGGGCCTGGGCACTGTCCCTCAGCTCTCCAGCCCAAGGCTAGAGCTCTACCAGTTGAGCCAAAGCACCACTTCCAGCTTTTTCTGCTTATGTGATGCTGAGGAATCAAACCCAAGGCCTCATGCATGCAAGGCATGAGCTACCTTTCCAGCCCCTGGTCTCTTTTTTTTACTGCATTTGAGTGTTGATCAATAAACAATAAACTTTGTCCATGCTAAACTTTAGTATAGTGGTACTATTGGAAAAGACTTACTGGTAACTTCAGGCAATGTGATAGAAGTGACAGCAACTCACTTTATTCTATCCTGAAATATTTGGATCACTCTTTTAAATTGAGTTTAAACTTTTTACATTTAAATGAATTCTTTAACTAATTCTTATGCAATTTAATCTAAAGTTCCTGATTTAAAAAAAAACTAGTTTTATTTATTTATTTATTTAGTCAGCCATGGGGCTTGAACTCTGGGCTTGGGTGCTGTCCCTCAGCAATTCAGCTCAAGGCGAGTGCTCTACCACTTGAGCCACAGTGCCACTTCCGGTTTTCTAGTGGTTTATTGGAGATAAGAGTCTCACAGACTTTCCTGCCTGGGCTGGCTTTGAGCCATGATCCTCAGATCTCAGCCTCCTGAGTAGCTAGGATTACAGGCGTGAGCTACTGGCACTGGGCTTTAGTTTTATATTTTATGATGTAATATTGCACTACACATCTGAGTCCTTACATTTCTACTGTAGAGCTAGTAAATATCTCACTCAACCCTAGGGTGTGGAAATAATATCAGTGTGTGATTGTAGGAGATGTCAGAAGCTTATCTTTTTGCTTTATAGTTTCCATGTATAGTATAATAACCATTTTAAGTGATACCTATTTTGTTTCCATAGCATGTGTGTGACACATGAAATATTTTTCTTGTTGTTTTTTTTTTTTTTTGGGGGGGGGATCCGGTCGTGGGTCTGAACTCTGGGCCTGGGCATTGTCCCTCAGCTCTTCAGCTCAAGGCTAGCGCTCTACCACTTGAGCCACAGCGCCACTTCCGGCTTTTTTTCTTTTTGCTGATGTGTACTGGGGAATCGAACCCAGGGCCTCAGGCATGCAAGGCAAGCGCTCTACCACTGAGCCACTTTCCCAGCCCCTGAAATACTTTTCATAATGTTGCCATTGCACAATCTTATCTATGTATAAGCTGTTGAGAAAACAAAATTTAACCAGCTTTATTTCAATAATTTTAAATACTATAAAAGCTTTCAAAGAATGATTGTATCACAATATATTACTCTCTCTCTGTCTGTCTGTCTGTCTGTCTCTCTCTCTCTCTCTCTCTCTCTCTCTTGGCGGTACTAAGATTTGTATTCTTGGCCTTGTACTTGCTTTGCTAATATTCTACTATTTGAGTCATGACTCCAGCCCATTTTTTGCTAGGTGATAGAGATGGAATCCCACAGATTTTTTTTCTGCCTGGGTTGGCTTTGAATAACAATCATCTAGATCTCATACTCCTGAGTAGCCAAGATTATAATTAGGAACCATAGGGACCCATCAATTTATCTCTTTTTTATATGGTATAAAGATGTTAGCTAATGACTTCCAGTATATTTGAAATGACAAAGTTCTAGTTTGACTTTAATGACTTTAAAGTATTTATCTATATATTAATAACTGAAAGGGTAGTTGAATCTTGCCACCAGAAATAATTCTTTCACAATACGCAAATTTCACAAACCTAAAATTTTCAGCTTTACTTCTATATATTGCTAAAGCAAATCTCAAGATTTATTTACAATTTGAATGGGTAAATTTTTTTTTAATTGATTGGGCTGAGTTCTAGTGGCTCATGCCTATCTATGATCCTAGCTATTCAGAGGCTGAGATCTGAAAATTGCAATTTGAAGCCAGCTGAGCCAAGAAAGTTCATGAGATTCTTATCTCCTATTAACTAACTAAAAGCCAGAGGTTTCTGGGCATCGGTGGCTCATGCCTGTAATCCTAGCTACTCAGGAGGCTGAGATGTAAGAATAACAGTTCAAAGGCAGCCCTGTCAGGAAAGTCTGTGAGACTCAACTCCAATAAACCATTCAGAAAACCAGAAGTGGTGCTGTGGTTCAAGTGGTAGAGTGCTCACCTTGAGCTGAAGAGCTGAGGGATAGTGCTGAGGCCCAGAGTTCAAGCCCCATGACCAAACAAACAAAAAAAGCAGAGGTGAGCTGTGGCTCAAGTGGTAGAGGGCCAGCCTCCAGCAGAAAGTTTAGGAACAGTACCCAGACCCAGAGTTCAAGCTCCTGTACTGGAAAGAAAAAGAGAGGGGTCGGGGAGGAAAGAACAGAGGGGAGAAAAGAGAGGAGAGAGGAGATGGGGAGAAAAGAGAGAAGAGAGAGGAGAGGTAAAAAACAAAACCAGGGAAGAAAAGAAGGATTTATGGAAAAGAAAGGATACATTTCAGAATATTTTTTTCAGAAGCTCAAACTCTCCAATTTCAAGTATTGATTTAAGTGAAATATTACAGTTTTACATTAGTAGAGTTAATTTTATTCTCTAATTAAATAAAATTTTTTCTGTCTTTTAGAAACTACATCTGACCAAAGTGACATTGAAGGTAGAATCAGAGCTCTGAAGGATGAGCTGCGGAAAAGAAAATCAGTTGTGGACCAGTTGAAGAAGGAACAGAAAAAAAGACAAAAGGAAAGACTAAAAGCCCAAGAAGCCAGTCTGCTCAAACAATTAGAGGTTAGACATAGGGCAAAAGTAGTTAACATCAAAGCTAATCAATCTGTGGCGTCCAAAATGTTTTTAATGTTAGTAAAGCAACAAATTGAGTTTTTTCAGACAAGGGACATGGCTCAAGTGATAAAGCACGTGTCTATAAATAGGAACCCCTGAGTTCAATTCCCAGCATTTTTAAAAAATTTTTTAATTGTTGTAATTTTTGTCTCTTGCCAGTTCTGGAGCTTGAACTCAGAGCTTGGCACTGTCTCTGAGCTTCTTTGCTCAAGGCTAGTGCTCTACCACTTTAAGGCACAGCTCCACTCCAGTTTTCTGGTGGTTAATTAGAGACGAGACTCACAGATTTTCTTTCCAGAGCTGGCTTTGAACTTCAATCTTCAGATCTCAACCTACAGAGTAGTTAGGATTACAGTCTCAGGGTTGTTTTGTTGTTTTGTTTTTAAGTTTTAAATTATTAGTGGTGGGGCTGGGAAGGTGGCTCAGTGGTAGAGTGCTTGCCTTGCATGCATGAGGCCCTGGGTTCGATTCCTTAGCACCATGTAAGCAGAAAAAGCTGGAAGTGGGGCTGACACTCAAGTGGTAGAGTGCTAGCCTTGAGCTGAAGAGCTGAGGGACAGCGCCCAGGCCCAGAGTTCAGGCCCCACGACTGACCCCCAAAAAAAAAATTATTAGTGGTGTCACATTCTATCCTCTTTTTTTTAAAAAAAAAAAAGAAACTAAAGATCCCTAAGTGTCTAAGTGAGGATCTGCTTAAAACATAAGTATTGCCTGGCGCCGGTGGCTCACGCCTGTAATCCTAGCTACTCAGGAGGCTGACATCTGAGGATCATGGTTCAAAGCCAGCCCAGGCAGGAAAGTCCATGAGACTCTTATCTCCAATAAACCACCAGAAAACCAGAAGTGGCGCTGTAGCTCAGGCCCAGAGTTCAAGCCCCACGACCAACAAAAACAAAAAAACAAAACCCCATAAGTATTAAAATATTGAGGGGACTGGGCTCTGGTTGTACATTGGAGAGGTGGTAGTTTCTCTGTATAAAGATTGCCAACTAAGGAAAAATTGAGTGTTCAAGATGCATAGAATTCAGTATTATTATTACTTCAATTAAACATACTAACTTTTACTTTGCTTTTGAGGAACCATATTTTCAAAAAATTAAGAGTAGGAAAGTATCAGATTGAACAGTGATTTAAACATGATAATGTGAGGAAACACAAGTAGGAGACTGGAAGCTCAGGCATAAAATAAGAAATACTGTACCTTAAAAATCACTTCTGTAGGACTGGGAATGTGGCTCAGTGGTAGAACGCTTGCCTATCAGGCATGAAACCCTGGGTTCACTTCCTCAGTACCACATAAACAGAAAAAGCTGGAAGTGGCACTGTGGCTCAAGGGGTAGAGTGCATGCCTAGAGCAAAAGAAGCTCAGGGACAGTGCCCAGGCCCTGAGTTCAAGCCCTATGGACTGGCAAAAAAAAAAAAAAAAAATCACTTTCATGAAAAGAGACTGGATGTATGGCTCACATAGCAAGTGTGAAGCCATGAGTTGAAACCTAGTACAGGCCTCCGCCCAAAAAAGGATTGTATAAAAGGGTTTTAACCCAGATTCCAGGGACTTACAGCATTTGACAGTCATCTTCCCATGTTCATTCAAATTTATTGGCAGTCTAGGATAGACATTGTGCATAGATGCTGAGTATACAGTGCTAAACATGGGGCTGGGATGGTAGCTCAGTGGTAGAGCGCTTGCCTTGCATGCCTGAGGCCCTGGGTTCGATTCCTCAGCACCACATAAGGAAAAAGAAAAAAGCCGGAAGTGGTGCTGTGGCTCAAGTGGTAGAGTGCTAGCCTTGAGCTGAAGAGCTGAGGGACAGTGCCCAGGCCCAGAGTTCAGGCCCCACAACCGGACCCAAAAACAAAACAACAACAACAACAAAATACAGTGCTAAACAAATGGCTATCTACCAAAGAGTTAAGAAGCCACCAACTTCAACTCAGAAAATAAAAAAATTGGTGAAGCTAATTTTTTATAAATTGCAACAACATATTTTTATAAATTAGTGAAGCTTTGTTTGTAGAATCAGCATTAACCAGTAAACATTTTTTGGCAATTCCCAACCGTTATATTCCTAAACAGCCCCCTTCCCTTTTCAAAATTTGTTAAGAAACATACTGTAAATGAAACTCAGAGCCAAATGACTAAACTTCTTAAAAGTACTATGAAATTAATAATATACCCTTTAGAGAACAGTAATATAAGTGCTGTTTTTACTGGGAATGAATTATTGTTTCACAAGTATTAAACTATTAGATTGCAACTTTTTTTTTCATTGCTGGAGCCTTCAAGGGTGTGCCAGGAGGGAGATTTTTATATTGTATATTTTTACTGGTTATGTGTATGTACACCAGACTTGAGGTTAAGACTCAGAGTCTGGGCGCTATCCCTGGGCTTTTTTTTCCCCTCAAGGCTAGAACTGTACTACTTGAGCCACAGCTCTACTACTTCCTGTTTTTTTGTGCTTAATTGGAGATAAGAGTCTCAGGGACTTTCCTTCCCCAGGCTAGCTTCAATCCATGATTCTCAGATCTGTCTCCTGAGTAGCTATGATTACAGGTATCAATGACCAATAACTATACTAAAAAATTAATTACTATTTATAATTTAAAATATTTTTGAACTTTTGTATAGTAACTCCTCTGATTTTTCTAAACCTAGTCATATGATGAATTCATTAAGAAAACTGAAGCTGAGCTTAGCCGAGATTTGGAAACATCACCAACAGCCAAACCGCAAATTAAAACTCTCTCTTCATCTTCTGATAAACCTAAGATCAAGCCTCTTCCACTACACAGGTAGGAATTTTTCATAATTTACAATATTCTGCCTTGTTTGAGAAAGAATAAGGAAAGATTTTCAGTGGAACTTACTTTTTAAGTAATTGAAATTATAGAAATGAAATTGTTTCATAGTTTTAGTTTTACTCAGTAAAAGTGTTGGGTATGACAAATGCAAAGTAAGTTAATAGTAAAGCACAGATTTTAAAAACATGTTTTTAATCTTGAAGTCTAATGGATACAATGAGAATAATATGGTCCGTTATTACTAGTAGTAATGTCATAAGTTGGTGTAATTCTTTTGAAAAATAGTTTGGCAGTTTTTATTAGTTAAAAAAATTAGGGCCAGGGGGCTGGGAAGGTGGCCCAGTGGTAGAGCGCTTGCTTTGCATGCCTGAGGCCCTGGGTTCGATTCCTCAGCACCACATAAGCAAAAAGAAAAAAGCCAGAAGTGGCGCTGTGGCTCAAGTGGTAGAGCGCTAGCCTTGAGCTGAAGAGCTGAGGGACAGCGCCCAAGTCCAGAGTTCAGGCCCCACAACCGGACCCCCCCCCCCCCCCCCCAAAAAAAAAAAATCAGGGCTGGGTGCTTGTGGCTGAACCTGTAATCCTAGCTACTCAGGAGGCTGAGATCTGACGATTGCAGTTTGAAGCTAGCCCAGGCAGAAAAGTTTGTGAGACTCTAATAAACCACTCAGAAAAAGCCAGAAGTGGTGCTATGGCTCAAGTGGTAGAGTGCTAGCCTTGAGCACAACCAAACTCAAGGACAGTGCCCAAGCCCTAAGGTCAAGCCCCAGGACCGGAAAAAAGGAAAAAAAAAATCTAACTTTTGGCCCTACAGTACCACTTCTGGAACGTAAACTTGATAAATATGGGGTACCCAAACATCTGTTTGCATGCAAATGTTTAGCATAACTTATTTATATTCATAATACATTGAAAACTTTTTATTTATAAAGTAGAAAAAGCAGTAAATTACAGTTCAATTACAGTTGCCACCAGTAAGCAAATAAAATACTGTTAGGTAATGGATTCATTAAGAAAATAGTAAGATATAAATCCTTATTAAAAAGGCATTAATAATTAATATACTTAATAAAGAGTTAATGTACTTCTTAAAAGTGTTAACTTAGAATATTGCTAACATAGACTACAGTAAGTGTTATGTATTAACTACTATTATTTTTGTTATTAAAATATCTACGAATCCAGGTGCCAGTGGTTCATGCCTTTAATCCTAGGTACTCAGGAGGCTGAGATCTGAGAATCATGGTTTGAAGCCAGCTTGGGCAGTAAAGTCCATGAGACACTCATCTCTTATAAACTACTCAAAAATGGGAAGTGATGCTGTGGCTCAAAGTGGTAGAACACTAACCTTGAGCAAAAATTGCTCAGGGTCAGGTGCCTGTACTCAATCCTAGCTACTTAGGAGGCTGAGATCTGAGGATTGCAGTTCAAAGCCAGCTGGGGCAAGAAAGTCTGTGAGACTCTTATCTCCAATTAACTACCAGAAAACTGGAAGTGGCACTCGCCTTGAGGAAGCTGAGAGACAGTGCCCAGGCCCAGAGTTCAAGACCCACAACCAACCAAAAATAAATAAGTAAATAATACATCTAGGAAAGCAATTTTTTGAAAAAAGTTTAAGTGGTATCATACCAAACTATTCCCAAAATACCAAATATCAACAATTAGTTGTATTTCCTGCTTTTTTTCTTACATTTTGTTGGTATTTTTGTTACCTATAAACTTTTTCATCATAGAGTATACACTGTTTTTGTTTTAACTTCTGCATAGTGTAGGATTCAATGGTTTTATGGTTGTGTGTGTGTGTGTGTGTGTGTGTGTGTGTGTGTGTGTGTGTGTGTGTGTGTGGTGTTTGTTGTGGGACTTGAATTCTGGGCCTGGGCGCACTGTCCCTGAGCTCTTTAGCTCAAGGCTAGCACTCTTCCACTTGAGCCACAGAGCCACTTCTGGTTTCCTGGTGGTTAATAGAAGATAAGAGGCTCATGGACTTTATTGTCTGGGCTGGCTTTGAACCTCAATCCTCATATCTGAGCTTCCTGAGTAGATAGGATTACAGCCAGCACTCAGCTTTTTTGTTTTTTGTTTTAGCTATTGAAAAATTTTAAATAGAGGCTGGGGATAGTGCTCTGACAGGAATGAGTGCTTAGCTTTCAGGAAACCCTGGGCTGAATACTTAGCACAAAAAGAGAGAGAGAGAGAGAGAGAAAAGAGAAGAAGAAAGGAAGGGAAAGAAGAGAGGGAAGGAAGGCGGGAAAGAGAAAAGGGGGAGAGGAAAATATTTTAACCCAAGAGTGACAGGGTTGTGTTTATGTGTTTCTCACCATAATTTGGAGGAAAGATTAAAAAGAGTAAGCTGAGAAGCCAAAAGAAAAGTGGTATAAGTCAGGTTTCAAATAGGCTGCAGCAATAAAAGTAGAAAATAGAAGGTACATTTTAGGAATATTTTAAAAAATAGTCTTATCTAGTTATAAAGTGCTAGATTGGAAGGCAGAGAAATCTGGAATGACTTACAGATTTCTTCTGGGTAGATGATTAGGTCAAGAACCAATTAAACCAAAAGCACATATGTCATCTTTGAATAGAGTTGTCCAGGAAAGTTCAAGGGTTAGAAATACTGGGTAGATGTGTGTGTGCATATGTGTGGGAAGGAAGGAAGGAAGGAAGAATGAATAGATGGATAAAGGGAGAGGGAAATTTTTGAGGTTTGTGTTTTTGAAGGTTAAGCTAAGCAATGAATAATCAATCTACATAGAAGGTTTAAGATTGTAGAAAAGATACCAGGTGCTGGTGGCTCATGCCTAAGATCCTACCTACTCAGGAGGCTAAGACCTGAGGATTGAGGTTTGAAGCCAGCTGGAGCAAGAAAATCTATGAGGTTTTTAACCAATCAATTAAGCACCAAAAAGCTAGAAGTAGCGCTGTGGCTTAAGAAGTAGAGCACTAGCCTTGAGCTAAAGAAGCTCAGGGACAGTATCTAGGCCCTGAATTCAAGCCCCAGGACCAAGCACGTGTGCGTACCATTCATGAGACTTTTGAGCAATTACTATGAACAAGTGACAGGCGCACCTTTTACTCACTGTAGACAGGAGGAAAAGTAGTTATAGTTATGATGGCTGTGAATATAGATTAATAGATAGCCAATTGTATCTCCAGTTAACCACCAAAAGTTGGAAGTGGAGCTGTGGCTCAAGTGGCAGAGCCTTGAACAAAAAAGCTAGGGACAGTGCCAAGGCCTTGATTGAAGCCCCAGAACTGACACCAAAAAAAAAATTTTTTTAAAAGAAGAGGAAGGGGGCTGGGAAGGTAGCTCAGTGATAATAATGCTTGCCTTCCATACATGAGGCCCTGCGTTCGATTCTTCAGTACCACATAAGAAGAAAAAGCTGCAAGTGGTGCTGTGGCTTAAGTGGTAGAGTGCTAGCCTTGAGCTGAAGAGCTGAGGGACAGCGCCCAGGCCTAGAGTTCAAGCCCCACCACCGACCAAAATTTTAAAAAAAGAAGAGGAAGAAGAAGAAAGATCACCTAAACAAAAAATGGTGAAGGCTGGAAATGGACCTGATGAAACTGCTAACAGTTTAAATACCTTCTGTGTGGAAGAAGATGTAGTTATCTAAAAATGTCTTTTTTTGTTGCCATTTATTGTTGTATCAACAATGTACTTATTTCTGCCCAATTTTTCCACTTCAGATCTGAAACAGTAAAAAACTGGAAGTCCCTAACTGAATCAGAACGCTCTAGAGGATCCTTAGAATCTATTGCTGAACATGTTGGTATGTAATTAGGAAAAAATTAAGTTGTATTTACATAGTTTGAAGATTTGGATGAGTCCTACAGAATTTTACTTCAAAAACTTTTTAATTGGAAAAATAAATCTCTTAGTTAACATTTCAAGTCATGTTTGTTTTACTTTATTTCTTTGATGGGGTCTTATTATGTTGCCCAGTCTGGTCTCAGATCCCTGGATTCAGATGATTTTCCCATCTCAGACTCTCAAGTTATAGTACTCAACCCAGTTCCTTTTTTTTTATGTCTTTATTGTTCTAAATTTATGATAAAAACTAAATGGCTTAGTGTATCTCTAAATTCTTCCTTAGCTAGGTTTTGTATCTAATTATATGATACAAGATTATATGTACTTTTTATTAAATTCAGAAATAGGAATTATTAAAAGTAAGATGTAATTCAGTGAGCAAATAAAACTGAAACACAAAAGCCTACTTAGAGATTATAATTCAAAACTTAATTCTTGATTTAGCAGTGCATTATATTATGCTTCCTAATTTGCAGTCTCAGCTTTTAAAGTGTTAGACTTGCAGAAATAGTTAATGAGTTATTTCTTCTTACACTCCAGAATTAGCTGAAATCTCCAGAAAAATTTACTCATTTAAAAAAATAAGTAGAAAAATTTTGGTCCCTCTCTCTTGAGTTTCTGTTTGAAGAATATATTTAAAAATTCTTCATGCAATTCTGTTTTTCCATGACTTATGAATGATCATACAAAAAATGGGACCATAAACAACTCCATTTTTATTCGCTTTACAATAAAGACAACACTTAAGAAATTATTCCAAAGGTTAAATTTTTTAATGTTCTGTTTTTATCAGTACAGTATACTTTCTTAAAAGAAAAAACTTAATACATGGTATCCAAATAGTCATATTTATCTTCACTGTGGTTTCGCCTTCATTGAAATTTGACTCCTAGAATTGAAAGATTGTGATTAAATAATTTTGATAGGGTTATTTTTTTATTTCTTTGATGTTTCATTGTCAGGTTCTGACAGAGCAGTATCAGAAAAGTCTTTGTCTGCATACGCAAAGAGAATGATTGAGTTGGACAATTTAACAGAGGAACATTTGCAGACTTCATATTCAGTTCATACATCATCAAGGAGTCCCCGAGCAGAATCTGGAGATTCTCTAGAAAATGCACCTTCTCATCCTTTCCACAAGGAATTAAGTGTCCCTAGTAGAATTCTTGGTATGTCAGATGCTACAGTTGAAGAATCTGCTCAAAAATCAGACATTCAAGAAGAATATACAAAATTGGAGAAGAGTGAAATTGAAGATACCTATTCTAAACATTCTGGGAAATCTGATGTCCTACTAAAGCTTGATATGAAACCAGGAGACTCTTCTAAAATTCTTTCCAGAAAAGATCTCTCAGATTCTGTAAATGGTCCAAATGAGTTGGTTAGGAAAGAAGAAATGTTGAAAGATAGACAGTCAGATAAAGATAAGGATCATAGTCAAGACAACCAGTCAGGAAAAGACACTCCTGAACAAAAGAATGAAAAGGAAAGGAACTCATCCTTGTCAGAACATCTCTTTGTTCCTAAAGCATTGTCAGACTCTGAAGATTTTGAAGTGTCTTCTTTCAAGAAAGAAATTTCAGCTGAATTGTATAAAGATGATCCTGCAGTGTCAGCTTTGTTATCTCTTAGGAAGGACTCTCAGACTTGCAGAGATAAGTCAGGGTCAAGTAGGAGCTCTAGAAGCAGAGCCACTGGGTTTGGTAGTGATGATGAAATCAGTGAGTGCTTAAGTGAGAAGAGCCTTTCCATTCACAGCAATGTCCATTCTGAAAGGCTGTTGGAACTCAAGTCTCCTACTGAGCTGATGAAAAATAAGAAGCGCAGCGACGTGGAACATGAACAGGGAGTTACTGCATCTCTTTCCTTGGCTGCAGTTCATGTGGCAGATGAGTTACTTGATTTCCACATTGGTGATAGGGTATTGATTGGCAATGTTCAGCCAGGAACTCTTCGATTCAAAGGTGAAACTAGTTTTGCTAAAGGATTTTGGGCTGGAGTGGAGTTAGATAAACCTGAAGGAAATAACAATGGAACATATGATGGCATTGTGTATTTTGTGTGTAAAGAGAAGCATGGTATTTTTGCTCCTCCTCAAAAAATATCTCGAATTGCTGAAAATTTTGATGAGTATATAGAAATAAATGAAGATGAAGATTCTTATTCAGAAGAACAATATCACTTTTATAATGAAGAACAAAAATATGCTGAAATTCTAAAGGATAGTGAAAAAGATGCAGTTGAGTATTTTTGTGAGAAATCTCTACCTGGTATGTATGATGGAGAAGCCTCAGTGGACAGAGATAGAAGCCTTAAAATAGAAACGGACAATGTGCGGGACATTTCTGGAATCATTGAAGCCCATGTTCACAAACAATCCTCAGCAGATTCACTGAGTTCTTTAAAAGAAAACAAAGACCTTGTTTCTAGTGCCATAGAAAAGGTCTCCATTGCTGCAGAAGATGATACTTTAGACAATACCTTTTCTGAAGAATTGATAAAACCACAGCAACTTACAGAAAAAGAAGAAGAAAATCTGTATTCTGAAGTTTTGGAAAAGCCTTCTACCCCACTTCTGGATCTTTTAACAAGAGAAAAAGAACAACTAGAATCCCAACTGAGGTCATCACTGAGTGAGGAAAAAAAGTCAAAGCAACAAACAGAAACAGTCAGCTTACTGACAGACTGTTTACTAAAAGTCTTTGTGAAGGATACAGTTAGTCAACTACAACAAATCAAGAAAACTAGGAATGAGAAAATCCAACTTAGCAATCAGGAGTTCCTTGACGATGATCAAAACAAAGTACTACCCCAGGACCCATCTCAAAATCTTGAGGAACAATCATCCAGTATTCCAAGTTGCTTTTTAAGGTCTGAATTAGAAGATGAAAAAGAAGAGATTTCCTCTCCAGATATGTGTACGAGACCTGTAAGTATTTCATCTAGAAAACAAAGGATTTACCTTACCTTCACGTTTTAGTTCTATGACTCCTGGTAGGTAGGTAGGTAGGTAGGTAGGTAGGTAGGTAGGTAGGTAGATAGGTAGTGTGTATGTATGTGTTACTAGGTAAGATCAGTATGCTAGGTTTTATAGACCTTGTAGCTATATTTCTGTGTTAAGTGTAATTGTTCTCTGTTATGTCATGAGTAGCCACTGTAAGGTTGTCATAAACACTTGTCAAGTTTATGGGAACTGAAACTTTTAAGTGACTGGTTGACACCCTTGTCTGCTGTTCACAGATTTGACCCCTTTCTAGATTCACTGAAAAATTCATTCTGTGGAAGTTCCCAGTGATTCTCAAACTAGTTCTTTTTTGCCTGTGAACTTAATTGTTCATTTATCTGCCCAGTCATAGCTGCCCTAAAGAGATTACCAGTTGTGATGTTCTGATAAAACTGAAGTATATCCACTATGACATATTCTCAGACCATCAACTTACTTAGGTTACCCATAGACAGTTGAGCAAAGTAATGATTTTGAGTAACTTGAGCCAGCTAACCACCAAAGGTGAGAACTTTCATTTCCCAGAGACAATTCTAAAATGGAGTGATGATACAAAATAATGAAAAAAACTAATCAATAAACATTTTATTATAAAAATTGAATGATAGGCCTATTCTGGTAAGCAGAATAGTGAGAACAGGATAAGTTTTTCTTATTATCACCCACATATTGTTTTAATTTTGCTTATTTATAGGTAAATATATAAATACCTATACTTTTTCTTAAACAACAACAACAACAAAAAACTGTTGAGTAATGAGTGATCACTAAATAGCCCCATTTGAATGGTTTTATTTCTATAGGAAAGCCCAGTGTTTGGTGCCAGTGGGCAGGAAGAGCTTGCTAAAAGACTTGCTGAACTAGAGATCAGCCGGGAGTTCCTGAACACATTAGGAGATGATCAAGATTGGTTTGAGGAAGATTTTGGGTTGAGTTCTTCTCACCGGATTCAGAAAAATAAAGCTGAAGAAACAATTGTACCTCTCATGGCAGAACCTAAAAGAGCACCCCAAAAGCCAACTGAGACATTATTGGCAGTCCCACATACTTCAGAGGAAGTAGAAATTCTTGTTCATAATGCAGCAGAAGAACTTTGGAAATGGAAAGAATTAGGCCGTGACCTTCATAGCATCAGTATTCCTACAAAACTGCTTGGCTGTGCCAGTAAAGGTCTCGATATAGAAAGCACTAGTAAAAGAGTCTACAGACAGGTATGTAACATAAAAGGATGATTTTACCTGGTAAGCTGCTTGCCCATTTTCTGAAATTTGGATTCTCAACCATTTTATTTTTTTATCAAGGCGGTTTTTGATTTAACAAAAGAGATTTTTGAGGAAATATTTGCTGAGGACCCCAATTTGAATCAACCTATCTGGATGAAGCCATGTAGAATAAACTCTAGTTACTTCCGACGGGTGAAAAATCCAAATAACCTTGATGAAATCAAGGTAAGTTGCAAATCTTCAATCATTTTTTTAACTTCCGGTTCATTTCCACCTACCTAAAAATGTCATAAAAGCAAGTACTCTTCTGTATTATTCACCTTTATGGTCTCAGAGGCTGTCCCATAGTGGGTGTTCAGTAAATATGTACTTGATATATTGATCACATGAACAATAGAGAGATGAAGTGAAAGGTAACTCTGAATCTCAAGTTTATGTACACTTCACACTCATGTCTAGCTATCATGTATATGGTATTTAAGGAAAACAACAAAATACTCAGCAAGATAACTTATTGCAGCTGAACGCTAGTGGTTCACACTTGTAATCCTAGCTATTCAGCCAGCCTGGGTAAGACTTCTATCTCCAGTTAACTAACAAAAAGCTGGAAGTGGAGTTGTGGTAGATCATGCTAGTCTTAAGCATAAAAGTTCAGAGACAGGGCCCAAACCCTTGAGTTCAAGCCCCAAGACTGGCACACACAAAAAAATGATAAATTATTGCAGCTTAATGTGTTTTAGGTGAGGTTTTGTTATGTTTTAACTCAGAGACAGGTATAATATTCTACAAGTACACATGAAACATGTTGCACATGTCTTTTTAGCATGCTAGCTCTGGACACAGTGTTATTTTCTATCTTTAACTTTGGAAATTTCATATTGGTAATGTGACACACACACACACACACACACACACACACACACACACACACACACACACACACACACACACACACACACACACACACACACACACACACACGGCTTGGGTGCTAGTGGCTCACATTTGTAATCCTTGCTACTCAGGAGGAGAGATCTGAGGATGGTGGTTCAAATCTAGCATGAACAAGAAAGTCTGTGAGACTCTTTATCTCCAATGAAACACCACAAAACTGGAAGTAGAACTGAGGCTCAAAGTGGTAGAGCACTAGCCTTGAACAAAAAGAACTCAGGGGGGCTGGGAAGGTGGCTCAGTGGTAGAGCGCTTGCCTTGCATGCTCAAGGCCCTGGGTTCGATTCCTCAGCACCACATAAACAAAAAGAAAAAAGCCGGAAGTGGCACTGTGGCTCAAGTGGTAGAGTGCTAGCCCTGAGCTGAAGAGCTGAGGGACAGCACCCAGGCCCAGAGTTCAGGCCCCACGACCAGACCCCTCCCCCCCCCCAAAAAAAAAGAACTCAGGGACAGTCAGTACCCAGCACTGAGTTCAAGCCCCATGACTGACAAAAAACTGAAAATATGTACCTATATATGCATAAAAATATAAATATATACATACATATTATATTTATAAAAATATATAGGATTGTAAATACGAATATGAAAATATTTTGTCAAGATTTTGAAAAGATTAAAAGCCTAGAAACTGCAAGCATTGCACAGCTTGAAGTCACGTTCATGGTAGTCTGTCTGCTTATTCATATTGCCTAAACACAGCAAGTTTGTTGGTTGGTTTATTTACAGCTCTTACTATGTAGTATAAGCTGGCCTCCTTTAGCCTTGCCTCCAGAATGCTTGAATTATAGGCATGAACCACCACACCCAGCTATAAATTTTATTTCCAAAGCAATGCTTTCTCAAACTTCGATTTGCATATAAATTTTATGGAGATCTTTTTTTTGTTTTTTTTGGGGGGGGGGGGTCCGGTCATGGGGCCTGAACTCTGGGCCTGAGCGCTGTCCCTCAGCTCTTCAGCTCAAGGCTAGCGCTCTACCACTTGAGCCACAGTGCCACTTCCAGCTTTTTTTTCTTTTTGCTTATGTGGTGCTGAGGAATCGAACCCAGGGCCTCAGGCATGCAAGGCAAGCGCTCTACCACTAAGCCAACTTCCCATCCCCTTTATGGAGATCTTGTTAAAATTAAGATGCTTCCTCTGTAGGTCTTGGATGAATTCTTCATTTGTAACAAGCTTTTAAGCCTATTAGCTGCTCCCAGAGCCATTCTTCCTCTCCCCCCTCCCTTCAGTCCTACTAGGTTTTGAATCCAGGGCCCTGAACAAGCTGGCAAGCATTCTACCACTTGAGCCTTATCCTATCTTTTTTACTTTAGTTATTTTCCAAATAAGGCCTCTAATTTTTCTCAGGTCTAGCTAGAGGCTGTAATCCTCCTGTTTATACCTGTGTGGTAGTTAGTATTATAGGTATTCACCACCAGAGCCAGCTTACTTGTTGAGTTGACCCGGAACTTTGACCCTTCCAGTCCTTGTCTCCTGAGTAGCTGGAATAACATAATGAGCTACTGCAGCTGGCTCATGACTAGTCTTGGAAAGCAAAGTTTTAGACATTTCCAGAAGTTATTTGACCATAGAAAGCTTTTTTAAAATTATGCTGACAACACCAGTAGTTAGTTATGACATATATGTGCTTACCCTCGGGGATTGGCCAGCTATGGCCCATTGGCCAAATCCAATTCATCATATTTTTTATAAATAATATTTTGTTAGACCACAGCCATACCCACTTATTAATGTATTATCTATGGTTGCTCTCCTGCTACTAAAGTAGAATAGTTACAACAATGACCAGTTGACCCACAAAACCTGAAATATTTATAATCTGATCCTCTACAAAAATGTTTGCTAGTCTCTGGTTTAAAAAAGTTTATTTGGGGGCTGGGAAGGTGGCTCAGTGGTAGAGCGTTTGCCTTGCATGCATGAGGCCCTGGGTTCGATTCCTCAGCACCACATAAGCAAAAAGAGAAAAGCCGGAAGTGGCGCTGTGGCTCAAAGTGGTAGAGCGCTAGCCTTGAGCTGAAGAGCTGAGGGACAGCGCCCAGGCCCAGAGTTCAGGCCCCACGACCGGACCCGAAAAAAAAAAAAAAGTTTATTTTGAAAACACCTGCATATTCTGTTCCTTCCATCCCTCCACAGTCTTTGAATGCAGTTGTGTGCCTTCTATAGACCAGGAGTGGTAGAATCTGAAACACAATGGTAGCTTGAGAATCTTCTCAGTTGATTCTGATTCATAAATGTCTCCACTGAGAACACTGGTTGTCTTGTATTGTTTTATTTGTCTGATTGCTTTTGGTGATACTGGGACTTGAACTCAGGGCTTTGTTCTTGCTAAGCAGGTCCTCTGTTTCTTAAGCCAGCCTCCAACTCTTTTTGCTCTGGTTGTTTTGAGATAGGTTCTCACTTTTGGTTGAGGACTTCCAGGACTGCAGTCTTCTTACAATTACCACTAGTGTGTGCCACCATACCCAGAGTTTTCTGTTGACAGTGTCCTCAAAAACTTTTTGCCTAGGCTGGCCTGGAACCATGATCTTCCTGTTCTTACCCTTTTATGTAGCTGGGATGACAGGCACACATTACTGCATCCCATTGTTGGTTGAGATGAGGTCTCAGGAACTTTGTCCCCAGGCTGGTCTCAGAGTGATCCTCCTGATGTCTAGAGGAGCCACCAACATTTGGCCAAGAACGTTTTCTTTTTCTTTCTTTCTTTTTTTTTTTTTGGCCAGTCCTGGGACTTGAATTCAAGGTCTGGGCACTGTCCATTATCTTCATTTGCTCAAGGCTAGTGCTCTACCACTTGAGCCACAGCGCCACTTCCAGCTTTTTTTGTTTATGTGGTACAGAAGAATCAAACCCAGGGCTTCATGCAGCAAGGCAAGCACTCTACCACTGAGCCACCTTCCCAACCGAACATTGTTTTCTTAATGGAAGTACCTTTAAGAGTAACAAAACAAGTTGTATTAGTAATGAATAAAATACTAGATACTTAAAATACAGCAGTACTCAGACTGCCTTTAAGGGTGATAGCTTACAATGTTTCTCATTCTGAAATTTTCATTAATTTTTTAATATAACATATTCAGGTCTTGATATTTCAAAATAAATTCTCCTACACAAAGGAATATACATTTCTCACATGACATGGAATTGAATGGGATTGTATGACATGGGATTTTTCTGGTTCAGAGGTTTATGTTTTCTTTAGTAGTTTTGCCAGCTTAAGGTTAGCTGATATAAATTCTTCAATATAGAGAACTCTAAAAGTGATTTTCCTTTTCAGATTTGTTAATGGGTTTTACTTCTTTTATTTTTGGTCGGTTAGTTATGGGGCTTGAACTCTGGGCCTTGGCACTGTGTTCAAGGCTAGTGCTGTACCACTAGAGCCACAGCCCCACTTCTGGCTTTTTCTGCTTATGTGGTGCTGAGGAATTGAACCCAGGGACTCATGCATGCAAGGCAAGCACTCTGCCACTGAGCCACCTTCCCAGCCCCAGGGGTTTTACTTTTTTTTAATGTGTATGAAAACAAAAATTCTGTAAGTAAATAAAATAATTGAGCACTTGGGATGCTTTTCCTCTCAAATTGCTAAATAAAACAAAGTGCATGAAATTTCTATGATCTTTTATCAAATTTTAATGTGCATGTAAATATTTTATTGCTAGCATAAATCTGTTTATTGCATTGTAAACATGTAAGTCTCAGGAAGTTTGTGTATTCATTCTTATTATTTCAACAGAACTTCATTGCAACTGAAGTACTCAAATTGTTCAGTCTTAGAAAGGAGCCAAACCACAAAACAGATTGGCAGAAAATGATGAAATTTGGAAGAAAGAAAAGGGACCGCGTAGATCATATCCTGGTTAGTGTATACTACAAAACTATTTTAATTGTATTGTCTAAAATCAGACTGTAGTTTAATGTCAAAACAGGATCCTTTTTGATTGGAAAATATTTTGTCTCCCAGCCTGTGTTTCCTCTCTGTTTTCTTAATCATTCCCTTTGCTGTGCAGTTTTTAGTTTGCTGCAATCCCATTTGTTTATTTTTGCTTTGTATTTTGGAGTCATATCCAAAAAATCTTTGCCAGACCTATGTCATGGAGTTTTTTCTCAGCTCAATTTTCTTCTAGTAGTTTCAGATTATATTTAAATCTTTAATCCATTTTTAGTTTATTTTCATATAGAGCATGACATAAGGCTCCAGTTTCATTTTTTTGCATGTAAACAACCAATTTTACCCAAACTCTTTGTTTGTTTTTATTGTAAGTGATGTATAGAAGGGTTACAGTTACATAAGTAAGGTAATGAGTACGTTTCTTTTTGAACAGTGTCATCCCTTCCCTCATTTTCTCCCATTTCCTCCTCCCCAAGTTGTAATATTTATTTCCAACATAGTGTCTAATGAGTATCATTGTTGCATTGGTTTACCCTTCCCGTTTCTGTGATTCCCCTTCCCTTCCCCAAATCAGATAATCTTATAGAAGGGGTAAGAAGTCAAAAACAGTGACCACAGGGAATAAACCAAAGGTCGGGGGAAAGAAAAAAGAAATATCTGCAAACAGTATGCTAAACAAAACCTCTTGTTTCCATTTCTTGGAGTTCAATTCATAAGCATCACTTTATATGGTCATATGCACATAGCTATTGAGCTATTATGATCCTCTGCTAGACATATTCGAGTTTTTACAAAGGAGAGCGTCCATGCAACCTGTGTTTCTTGGGGTCTAGCTTACTTTGCTTATTAAATTTTTTCCCAAGTCTTTCCATTTCATTACAAATGGGGCAATGTCATTCTTTCTAATGGAAGCATAGAATTCCATTGGCCAAAACAATTAATTGAAGAGATGATATATCCTTTCCCATGTGTGTTCTTGGTAGTTTTGTCAAAAAACAGTTGCCCGTCAGTTCCCAGAACCTGAAAACAGAAAAGGAAGGAAGGGAGGGAGGGAAGGAGGGAGGGAGAGGGAAGAAAAGGAGGGAGGGAAGGAAGGAAAGAACCCATTGCCCATAATTATGTATTTCTGGGTTTTCTATTCTATTCCACTGGTCATTGTGTCTGTTTTTATTCTAGTACCATGCTATTTTTATTGCAGTTGTTTTATTGCTTTATATTTTAAAGTCAGGTAATACAATGCTCCATGTCTGTTTTTTGTTTGGGGTTTTTTGTGCTCAAGACTCTTGGCTATTTGAGGTCTTATAAGAATGTAAGAATCATTGCTTCTATTTATGTGGGGAAAAATGACTTCTTTTAAAGTTATGACACTGAATCTGTGGATTCTTTTACACACTATGGACATTTTCACAATATTAATTCTTCCAGTCTTTGAACATTAAATATCTTTCCATTTATTCATGTTTTCTTTAATGTTTCTTTATAAGTGCTTTATAGTTTTCCATGTATAAGCCTTTCATCTCTTCGGTTAAATTTAAAGTATTTGGCATACAACAAGTATAATGGGATGGTTTTCTTAATTTGAATTTTGGATAATGTATTGTTTGGACATTGATGTGCTGCTGATGTATGTATATATGTTGTATGTGTTCTAAAACTATAATTGATTACAGTGTGCTTTCACAACTCTGGGGAGTAGCATAACAATTTTAATTCTTCCCTATGTCCTTTTAAAGCCAACTACATTTCATCTGACATTATCTCCTCATATCTGATGTGGTTTTGACTCTCTTCAACATCAACTCAATCTCTTTGTCCCTCTAAATACAGTGCTCAGAACTGAACATTTAATTTCATATATTTAGTTCAGTCATATATATATATAGATATAGATATATAAAATCATAATATGCTTTGACTGGTGCAGTTTATGATCACATTTCTTTTGTTTCTTTTTAGTATATCATACTTATAGTAGTCGCAGGAATTTAGGGAAGCCTTAAGACCAGAATCACACCTTTTCATTGGGACAGGGGGGTGGGGGTGGGGGGCGCCGCGGAGTTTAAGCCCTATCATGAAACCTTATTTTATTCTTCATCTTGCCGAATTTGGCCCATCGTTCCAAGATAACACCACATTTTTTTAGTTCTTTGTTTATAAACAGTCGTTATATTTCTAGTTTTTTGTATCATCTCTAAAATAGATACAACTGTCTCTTTTTAGCTGATTGTTAAAAACCATGAACTGGACAGAGCCAACATCCTTTCAGAATTCACTCATATTCTAGGTATTTATATACTGACTTCTACTTGCACTCTCCCAGTCACTGGGTAACTACTAATAAATAATGCTGTAGGCCCTCACAGCCTAGCAGAAGAAGGATGCATAGAGAGTATAGTTTGGTATAACTATTAAAATGAAAAAATGTTTTGCTGTAACAAAACAATGAGAGAACAGAGAAAAGCTGCTGAGTATTCAGGCAGAAACTTCTGGGTTGGTCGCTGTCCTTGAATCAGACAGGTACAAATCTGTCTGGCTGGTCTCTGTTTACTCATCTTATTGATAAAGATAGGGAAAAGACCCTGGCATCTTCTGTTGAACTAAAGGCCACATTCTATTTGCTACATTTCTACCAGCCTACTACCCTATTTGAGAAAAAGTTACCATTAGCCTGAACTTTAAATTGCATTGAATTAGTTGCTATGCCTTCTACACATAACATATAAGGATATATGTATAACAGACTCTAAAGACAAGACAAAGAAAATAGAGGTAGATATGCAGAGAATGAGTTGTCTGTTATTGAAGCAAGGAGGTTTTGAACTATGAGCACAAGACCTTTTTACTTACTAGCCTGGCACCATACTGCTGAGCCTCACCTCCAGCCCAGGCTTTGAACTTTTTTCTTTTCTTTTCTTTTTTCCTTTTCTTTTTTGAGCTTTCTTATAGTAAAAGTAAAAAGTAAAATCATATGAGCCTGACTGGCTTCCAACTTACATTCTTACTGCCTCAGCCTCAGAAGTGACAGTATTGTAGACCTAGGCCACCACTCCCAGTGTTTTTGTTTTCTTACTTGTTTATAATACTCCAGAATCGTATCCAATTTTGTCTTTGGATATGTGCATTTTATAAGTGTAAATCCACGTATTTAATATTTTGTGGTTTATATGTGTATATATATTTGTTATTATACACAACATAAAAGGTGTTATGTCTTTTTGTTGTCACAGACAACATACCTAAAATCCTTAATATCTATAAAATACTGGACTATCCTCACATTGAAATACAGTTTTGCAGCTATTTTTATTTCCTTCAGCAATTGGGCTTCTCCAAACACTTTGCAACTTTAAAAGACTTTCCTTCTTGGGCCATATCCCATGGTAGGACTACAAAGTCAGCAAATTTGAATTAATTTTCTAGCTCTCGTGTGAGAGCATTGTCTAACCTTCTTGCCTTCTAAATTCTAGGTACAGGAGCTCCATGAGGAGGAGGCACAGTGGGTGAACTATGATGAGGACGAGTTGTGTGTGAAGATGCAGCTGGCTGATGGGATCTTTGAGAACTTGATCAAAGACACTATTGATACTCTGAATCAGATCAGTGAAAAACAGGGGAGAATGCTACTTGTGTGACATCTTGCAAATAAACCGAACACTGAGTGCTAATATGAGTCCTGGGCCTTTCTGCCTTCTGATACACACCCCATCTCCATGATAGCAAGAGTACTTCTGGACTTTGTACCTGTTCTTATGGACTGCTTGTGTGGAATTCATGGGACAATGCAGTATTTCAACCTTGTCTTTACAGAGTGACCACTGGATTGTTGGGTGTTCTCAGTGGGCAGGGTAACACTCCTGATGTTCATCCTAAACCTCATGTTACCATGCTACTAGATCTCAGGTGAGGGCTGGGATTACCAGACTTACCTTTGAGCATAGACAAGGGTATTGTTTCCTCGAGCATGAAGTCAGGAGAGGGTATATCGATAAATTCATCATTAACTGTTTGAAATGTATTCATGGTCTCTACCACAAAGTCATAAATGGGTAGTATAGTCTCTAAACAGTATTAAACCCTAACTACTTCTAAACTAGGCAAATTCAAGATTTCTCTGCCTATTTCCTGTTCCAGAGTTTAGCTCATTTCTTTTGGAAGCCCATTTTCTTTATTATCACAGTTAAGCAGCACCAAATGGGCCATCAAGTAGCCTTGTTTCTGAGCAGAATGTAAAGAACTGTGACTCTTGGCACTGTGTTCAGTTTTCTCTCTGGGCATGAGATCAGAGAATGCCCGCACTGAGGTTTAGGCTCCAGGACTGCTGCAGGGCTGCCTCCTCTCCCCATTCTCACCCCTGCTCTTTTCTTACTCGTCCTGAACCTCTACCAGCTGCTCTCAGAATCACAGATACTCAGGACCATCTCAGGCATCCAGGCATGGCAAAAGTGGAAATCATTCATTTTGGCCTTCAAACCTTCAACTCCCATTTCTCCCCAAGAAGTCAGAGATGCTGTTACTTGAATGATTTAGGAAATGAGTGTGTGCACCAAAGACAAAAAAGACACTGTCTAGAGTTTGTGTGCTTGTTTTGTGCTTGGAACATTTTTTAATTTATTTTCAGGTAAATTATTAAATTGAAAATGTGTGTCCCTGTTCAGAAGTGAAAAGTTCTTGTAATAGTTAAACCTCCGTCTTGAAGCTTCTATGGTTCCTAGTCTTTGCACAGGAAAACAGTGGTTTTAACCAACCCATACACATCAAAGAAGTCAGTTCAATTCAGTGAGTGAAAGAACATGAGTTTCCAGCATGACCTGCAGTCGCAAAAGCAGGAGGAAATGATAGAAAGACACGATAAAGTGTACTCCCGCCTCTCTGCAGCATTGCTTCTCACAACTCTTACCTGTATCTGAAAAAAATCTTTAGAATCCAGCTGCTACATTAGAGCACAGCAGATGCCCTCGTGGACCTCAGTACCTGCCTTCCTGACTGGCTTCTCCTCCCAGTCCAGTCCCTCTTCAAGTAATCCAGAAGAATGTGGATAATCTTAGGCGTGAATGTAAATGCCTTAATCTTGAAGGTCTTGATTAGAAGCATGATATAAAACATCCACTGGATTCATACTTATAAATGTTCTGGAATGTTATAGCTTCAAAATGTTAGAAAAACCCCAAAGATGGTAAAATCTTTAATTGTGCACATTTGTCCATTTCTGCATCTTCCTTCCAAACTTGCCTTTGCGTCTGAAATGTCTCACTATGCACACTTCCATTCTTTACAGCTTCATCCTGTCATTATAAGAAACTTACTGAAATAATCATTGGACTATTTGCATTTTGCACAATGACTGGTGTGAATAGCTCTTGACAAATAAGGAAAGCACTGAAATGTTGTGATTGAGTCTCGGGAAATGCTCAGATTGATGTGTTACCAGCATCTCTTCCGAGCCATTGATGTTGAGCTATAGTCTTGTAGCCATAATGAGCAAGTTGACTAGAAGAAGCAAAGGTTTCTTGGGGTTATTAACTAGTAGTGTGGAAATATTCTTTTCATGTGGCCAAGGAAAAGCAAAGATGTTTCTTTTCAGTTCATATTTGAAAGACAGAAAATATGTTGTCTACATCCTTTGGCTGTTTGTAGGATCACATTGTCCTTATGATTCTGAAACTTTACAGCTGCTATAAATTTTTTATAAATGAATATCAAAATAGTATAATAGGAATATAGGTTGTTTTTCTACATCTTCATTGTTTGGAACTAAAATCAGTTTTTAATAAGATAGTTTATCTTTACTGTTTATATAACATTATGATTCCAGAAAAGGAAAATATACTGATAGGTGTGGAATCAGCAATCTGGTAAGACTTGCTGCTAGAAATGTGGTGGCAGCAGCCCTAGCCTATTACAGCTGTCTTTATCATTCGAGCATCCTGGGTTCCATTGAGAGGCAGGAATGGATTAATTTTATTCTTCACCAGAAATTGTTATCCATAGTTTGGTAGTGAAAACAAAAACAAAAACCGGTATTGTATCTAACAGGTTTCTTAATATTTTAAGTATTTGGATCTAATTGAGATGGATTTCTAGTGAGGAGTAGGAATGATAAATACTGAAACCTAACCACTCATTCCCTATTGGGATCTTTTGAATCAAACTCTGCCTCTTAACCAAGAACCTAAATATTCCCTCTTTCTAATCTTTACTCCCTTTTTCCCTAAACCCATCCTCTTTCAGTCTTTCTTCATAATCCTCTAAGAAAAAAGGTCTTTACATCAGCAGTAATATCTTTTAGAATAGCACTATCAGAATTTAGTCGTAAACCAACTTGTAGGCTTCAGATTTACTTCTGAGTCCAAAATAATTTGTGCTATCCAGGGCAGTTAACTCTGGGTTAAATAAGTACAGGGTATAGATTCCCTTTTCAGGTCTAAACAGGAATTTTTACTGTAGGGAAAAGTGGGAAGAGCTCAAAAGTAGTTAATAAGGAAGGTAATTTGTTTTTCTTTTACCTAAAAGAAAAGAAAATTCCTTCTGTGACTACAGGTCTCTGAGAAATTATCTTTCAAGAGATTTTATTGCTCATAAAGAGTGTTGTGGCCTATTGATAAAAACAATTTTGTTCACTTTCTTGTCTTGAAAAAAAAGTGGCCTTAGCTTTTTGCAATACTTGAATAAAGTGTGTACTCGCAAAAGAATTTCTGTAGCACAGCATTAGAGACTCATAACTTTTCTGCAAGAAATTCAAACTTACATCTTCCTTTTACTACCTTAAGAATACTAGTGAATAAAATATTAATTCAAAGAGCAAGTGGTAGAAACTACAATGATGTTTAATGCAAATTGTAGGAATTTACATGTTTACAAATCATCTTAAACTGGTTGTGCAGCAATTCAATAAAATATCTTTGTATTTTAAAAAATGTGAAGAAAAATGTAAACTGATGTAAAGGAGGTACTGTCATTTTAATTAACCTATATTTAATAGCTTTTCCTTCTGGACTTTGCAAAGCCTTCTTGGTAAACACATTGCAAAGCATTACCTGGGAGGCTCAGCCTCCTCGTGTGTACTGTACTGTGCAGACATGAAAAATAAACCCGTTTACTGTGTATGTGTAAATAGCCTGGCCGGCAGGCCATTTCCAGCCAATAGTCACATCCAGTGCAGCTCTGCACAGGAGACTAAGGGTGTGGTTTGTAAGTATGAGCTGTAAAATAACTGGGATGAATTCCCATGTACACCTGTGTAAATAGATTTGTTAACTAAAATGTACTTTAAGATAAAAATCTGTAAATAAATGATTTATAAATTAATTTCATGTCCGGTGCTCATTCTTCCTCTCATAAGCCAAGTTCAGGAAAGGAATTCTCAGAAAGTTCAGTTAATTCCAATTTCTTATTTGATTGAAGGGCACTTAGTCTTGGCAGTAGCGTAAGATAAGTTGTACACAAGGGGTATTTACTCCTACATTCAAGTGCTATCAACATAATTTAGCCTGTAATCGCAGCTACTCAGGAGGCTGAGATCCAAGGATCGTGGTTCGAAGCCAGCCTAGGCTGGGAAATCCATGAGCTCACAGTGGTAGAGTGCTGGCCTTGAGTGAAAGAACTCAAGGACAGCAGCTAGGCCCTAAGTTCAAGCCCCACGACCAACCAAAAAATAAATGCAACTGGGTGTCAGTGGCCCAGGCCTGTAATCCTACCTACTCAGGAGGCTGAGATAAGAGGGTTATGGTTCAAAGCCAGCCTGGAAAGTCTGTGAGACTCCCAAGTAACCACACATAAAGAGCCAAAAGAGCTCAGGGACAGCTCCCAGGTCCTGAGTTCAAGCCCAAGGTCCAGCATCAAAAAAATTAAAATTGAAAAAGGTAGGGGGCCATGGCTTGAGTGGTAGAGCACTTGACTACCATGTACTATGCCTTGGGTTCAGTCCTGAATTCAATAAAACCCCAGCATAACAAAATAAAAACCACATTAAGCTGAGCAACCTGTGCTTTGACATGTCATCACTAACTCCACTAATAGTTGAATTAAGACAACTTTTTTGGTCTTAATGTGCTGAGTGGTGGAGAGATGGATAATAAAGGATGCAGGAATGGTCCTTGGCCTCATAATCTTGAATTCTAAGGGAAGAGTTAACAACAAATAATTTGAAAACCATTGCATGACAAACTAATGAGTTGCCTTTGCAACATACATACAGCTAGAGAATTTAATAGTAGGACTGGATCCAAAAAGAGTTCACTGATCAGTTATAATTGGGCTTTGTTTGGGATATACCTGGGCAGCCCAGCCTGGCCCCAAACACCTGGGCTCATTCAGTCCTGCCTCGGTTCTGAGTGACTGGGATTACCGCCACACGCAGTTTATATGAGTGTTTCAAACATTGATGGGCTTCTAAATTCATGACAAATGCTATTACTCCAAATGATTTGTTTTATTTGTACTGGAAAAATGACTTGTAAAGTCACATACAAGTGGGCCTCAAGGAAGATCTGCGAACTGACTAGGTGGTGGAGGGTAGAATTTAGTTCTGGAAATAAAAGCTTGGAGGAGAACAAAGCTGATGGACAGAACAAGAAAACCACGTGTCATTGAAATCTGTCCAACAAACTAGAAGTAACCACCCTCCTCTCACCTAAATTCCACTGCCTCAAGATGGCAACATCTGCTACACCAAAGCCCTTACCACATTAAGGAAATTCTCAGAAAACCACTGAGCCCAAATTGCATCAGATACACGAAATTCCTCAACTCATAAAACAGACATTTTCAAGTCTATGACTGTGGCTAAGGACAAAAGAGTAATGATCAAGACTGGGGGCGGGAGGGGGGCGGATCAAGTTACTGTAACCTTGAATTAAAAATACATGAAATGGGTAGAATGGGAGGCTGGCAGAGGAGAAAGTAAGAGACAAGAATGGGGAGGGGCTGGGAAGGTGGCTCAGTGGTAGAGTGCTTGCCTTGCATACCTGAGGCCCTGGGTTCGATTCCTCAGCACCACATAAGAAAAAAAGCTGGAAGTGGCGCTGTGGCTCAAGTGGTAGAGCGCTAGCCTTGAGCTGAAGAGCTGAGGGACAGCGCCCAGGCCCAGAGTTCAGGCCCCACGACTGGACCCCAAAAAAAAAAAAGAATGGGGAGAACAATTGTGGCGTTTGCTGCAGAGAAGCAAGGCAGGGGCTTACAACATCCCAGAGAAGCTCAGAACTGGAAGTGCTGTATGTCTAGAAAGAGCATAAGGCATGGGGATCTTTTTCTCTTTCTCACTGGGTAGAGCGGTATGCAGATAAGGTCAAGTAGGCAGATGCACGTGTACCAGGGGAAAGCAGTGCATGATTCAAGGTCACGCAAAACATACAACACTACTCCTGGCTTAAGTTGCACAATGTTTACTTACAGCTAGAGACTGCTAGATTCAGTGCCTCGCAGTGCCTCTGCCCCCCATGGCAGATCTACCCCACAACCACTGTGGACAAGATGCCCACTAGGGCTGTGGTGCCAGACCTCCTTGCCCCTCTTCCTTGGGGCATGCCCAGAGCAAGTCACAGCACTGAGCCTGGACTAAGAAGAGACCATTCCCTCATGGAGTTAAGCCCGGCCTAGGCCATAGGAGTCTTGGTCAGGAAGAGCACCTGGACCAGGTTCCATGCTCAAGTGACACAGGAAGCTGCAAGATTACCTTTGCTAACCACCCCCTTCCCTTCCCCTCCCTCTCTCCTGAAGGAGCACATAAATCCAGTAGGACCATATTTCCTTTCCAGTATGGAGGCAGTGCTGAGTCTGATAGACCCTAAACAAATACACTTTGCTCGCAGAGTCTCTGTCATTCTGAGATAGCATTTTACTGAAGTCACCAGAACCAGACCAAGAGGATCATGAAACCCCCGCTAGAGGATGACCCTCAAGTGGAAACCCCGCATGCCTGGAATTAGCCAGCTGACGTTTAAAAAAAAAAGTTTCAGGTGGAGTCCATCGTATACTCATCCTGCCTGCGCATGACTCTCACCCAGCTCCATTTCTTCCTTCCCGAACTGTTGATTCATATACATCCTGTTCTGCCAACAGATCGTTGAAGATTATTATCCTTTGCCATCTTGGCTAGTGCGTTTTAGTGAGTATTGTTGGTCTGGAGGAAATGCCAAGTCATTGGGAAAGGGCCAGGCTATTGCAAGGGAGTGGGATGAGGAAATTTCTTTGGGGGACAACAAAGCTGGCATTGTTGGAGTTCGCCTCCTCTTGTCAAGGAGATGGGTGTTGTTGCCAAGCACAACATAGGCTTCCCAGGAATGACAGATAGTAGATGAATGTTCCCAGCACCCTCCCTGTCCATGGACCTTCCAGGCCTGGGCTGCAGAGACTCTTCCTTGAAGATCCACTGCTCCTGGTGGTTGATCCAAACCTTTCTGCCCTGCTCACCTTATGCATGATCAAGGGAGTGGTAGTGTTCCAGTGTTCTGTCGGCCTTTCCCCTATATTGCCTCCAGATTTGAACTGGGAGGTCTTATTGGTTTGTAACTTCAGCCCAGACCACAAAACCCCTGCATTCTGATGGGAGAAATGAAGAGACTGTTCCGATGTGCTGAGATGGAGATTCCACAGCAGAGCCTAATTGGGTGCCCACTGGCTCCTCTGTTCCATCCAAAGTTCAAGACTATTTAACGCTCATTGTTTTCCTGTCCCTCCTTTCCGCAAGCCCCCACATACATTGCAGTATCATGTGTAATAAGATCAGACCATGGCTCCTGGATGATATCAGCCTTGTACTACTTTTGTAAAGACCTGGGATTATCTTACTATCTGTAAGTGGAGCTCAAGTATAAGTACTGCACAAGTGGAAGAGTGGTAGCCTTGCACAAAGAAGTTAAGGGATAGTGCCCAAGCCCTGAGTTTAAACCCTGGTACCAATACAAAAAGTTAAAAAAATAAACTCATTGTCTGGGAAGGTGGCTTAGCGGTAGAGTGCTTGCCTAGCATGCATGAAGCCCTGGGTTCAATTCCTCAGTACCACATACACAGAAAAAAAACAGAAGTGGCGCTGTGGCTCAAGTGGCAGAATGCTAGCCTTGAGCAAAAGAAGCTCAGGGACAGTGCCTGGGCCCTGAGTTCAAGCCCCAAGACTGGCAAAAAAAAAATGTTTTGGGAAGTCAGGCACCAGTGGCTCATGCCTGTAATCTTAGCTACTCAGGAGGCTGAGATCTGAGGGTCTCAGTTTGAAGCCAGCCTGGTCAGGAAAGTCTGTGAGACTCTTATCTCCAATTAAACACCAGAAAACCAGAAGTGACACTGTGACTAAGTGGTAGAGCACTAGTGAACTGAAGAGCTGAGGGACAGCACCGACAAAAAACAAAAATCTTTTGGGAAAGGAGAAAGAAAAATGATAGAGAGGGTGAAATTCTTCAGAATGTATTATAAACATGCATGGAAATGTAACAATAAAATACCCCACTATATAAAATGTAAGCTAACAGTAAACAAGTAAAAATTTTAAGACCTTGGCAGAGCTTGGGTTTTAGCTGAGTGGTAGAGGGCTTGCTTAACATGCACAAGGCCCAGGGATCCCAAGTAGTACAAAAAAGTAAATACTCTCTGGCAAACTTTCCCTCCTGTGTCCTTTGCCCATTTGGGAACCACATGCCTTCCTCCAGTGTTATAGGACACTAAGAATGCGATTATCCAGAATTATCAACTTCTGAAGGTAGTTTGACGGGTAAGAAGGAAGGGGAGGCAGCGGTACTGATTTCACAGCCAGCAATGCCTGCCCGCCTGTAAAGGTATCCTAAGCTGCTGGCTTTCTTTGCAAAATTCTGCGTTGGTAAATACAACAAGGTTTAACAGAAATAATTGCTGACCTGTTGCAGCATTGCACCAATGCTCTTCCATGTGTTCTTGAGCCCTCCTCTTTCTCTCCCCTTGACACTTTAGGCACAGCCATATGTCAAACAACCCCCAAATGGAGCAATTTCCCCGGCCCTAAGAGCACAAGAGGAGATGGCATTGTTCTTGAACTCGTTCATTAGCAGAAGGTGCTTTCATTTCCCAGGAGGACAGTTCATGCCCTTCCTTGCATGACTTATGGGGTGTGGAGAAAAAATAAATAAAACATAGGTGTTGCTAAGTAAAAGACATCATTAGGTAATATCCCTCCTGAGCCAGGTTCATTCCTTCCTTCCATAAATAGCACCTATTTCCCGGCACCCTTCTATGCTACAGTGGATCACAACACAAAATCATTCATCAAGGCCTCCTTTCTAAGAGCTTACATTCTAGCACGATGAAACAGTGGGTGAGCAAGCCACAGAGTAAATGGGAGAG